CTTCTCGCCAAGGCCATGTTACTTGGTATCTACCATTATTAAACTGAAGTGTCTCCCTAAAACGTTCCATTGCGGTTTCATCTTCAGATTGATCGATTCTATCTGTGATACCTATACTCTCAATACTCCAAAAGTCTTCCAAGTTTGGTTTTGTGCGAAGAACTCTATCAACACATGTGAGCAAGTTTGTTTCAGTGGCATTTTCTCCATATGTAAGGATCAGCATACTAGCTTCAGGTGTTTTAACAACTTCATCATTTGATTTTATTCTACCAGACAATATCCATCCAAGCTTTGATGATATTAAATAAAATCCTGGTTGTATTTCGATTTTTTCCGGTTGAATTATATCCAAATAATAATCGTTTCCCATTAAAAGTTCTAACGTAACAGCTTCATTCTTGTTTGGAATTGTATCCGCAAGCATCAAGTTTTGTGTAACTTCTTTAAACCTCCTTGGTGAATTGAGCTTTACTTGTTTACGCGTTTTTGTTCCAGTCAATGTTGGTACAATATTTGCCACTAAAGTCATGTAAGTGCCATTATACAATTTTACTTTTAGCTTTGTACTTTCAGTCTTTATAACCTTTTCTTTTTTACTACCAAATGTCACTAACTGAATATGTTGCTCCTTATCAACCTTAAGTCTAAGTCGATGCGCCAAATCTTCAGTTATGTAAGTCCTTTGGGAGCCTGAATCTAGAATTAATCTGACTTCATCAGATGCTCCACTTTCAGGATTCTCAATACTACATTTCGCAGTTTGCATCACAACTGATTCATCACAAGACAGGAGTCCTATTTCACCAGAAATATTTTCAGCTTCATTGCTTTCAAGGCTCTTTACTTCTTTTGAAAGATAAACACTCTCTTTAGGTGTCTCCCTTCTGAATTTCCTTCCACATAAGCTCCTATGGTGGGTGTTAAATTCACCACAATATACGCAGCCTTTCGACGATTTACACTGACTTGAGATGTGTCCTTCTTTGAGACATCTATAGCAGCTCCCTTTAATTCGTCTTTTTCTTTCGGTTATAGTCGTGTAATTTGGACATTCATCGCTCCAGTGTTTCTGGTCACAGTATCTACATTTCAATATGTTTGAATTCTTTGACTTTTCACTAGTGACTAAAACACTCGATGAAGAAACTCCTTGCTTTTCAGGTCTGTTAAACCTTCTCGAACCATTTGTCGAATTCGAATTTATATATAGCAGAATCTTTGCTCCAATGCTTTGGTTTCACAATACTAGTATCTGCGTTTTCAGCTTTTTCTTTCGCCACGATGTATTGACGAAGTAAGTCACGTAAGTTACTCACTGACCACCTTTTTTCAGCTCCTTTCATTATCTCAATTTGAAGAAGGACGTCATTTGGTAATTTTCTTCTTATCATTGATACAAAGATGTCTTGGTTTGTATCTTGGCTCAAAACTTCAAGACATCGAAGGTGTTTCTCGACCTTATCAATGAACTGTCTTAAATTCTCCACGGAATTTCTTGCAGGATTCATATCCATCAATGCTTTGTAGTGTGAATCTATTGTCTCCTGCCTATTTCCGAATCTTTTATGCAATAACTCAATAGCGACTGAATAATTCGTATTTGATAAGGTAAGACCTATTATTGCATTTCTAGCATCTCCCGTAAGCTTGCTCTTCAAATAATTGAATTTATCAACACCTGAGAGACTATCATTTTTATGTACAGAATTTTCAAAAGAATCCCAGAATTCGATCCAGTATAACTTGTTTCCATTGAAAGATGGTATGTCAATCTTAGGTAATTTTACCGTGTCTTTCTTTACTCGTTTGCTTTCAACTAAATCTCTCTGTAATTCCATTTGAGCTTCAAACATTTTCTTCATTTCTTCCGTAACTACAGCTAAAGATAAAGCACGCTCCTTTTCTTCTATCTTGTTATGTTCTGTTTCCTTACTTTCTTGCAAAGTGTCCTCAAAAATCTGTAGCTTATGATATAAAGTGCTAGCCTCTTCTATTATATCGGAGTCATTTTTTATTATTAGGTCTATAAATTCACTGTCTTTGTCATCGATTGCTTGAGATAATTTCTCGGACTGCATCATAAGCTTGTCGTTATATAAGTTGATACTAAGCTTAGCTTCCAGCACACGCTGACGTAGTTGTTTATATTCATCAACATCAAACAAATCACTCAAATCAGTATTCAAAATTTCTTTTACGTTTTGTATCTCTTCCAACAGTTTGTTGTAAAATCTTGTTCGCACACCTTTCAAGAATTGAAGTCCCGACATACTGGATGAATTGTCAGCACACTAATTTCACTTTAAGTAATCAATACACAAAACTTTAAACACTGCTTTTTATGAGAATAATTGCTGCTCCCGGGTTCCGGCGCCAATCAATGTAGTGAAGATATAATAACAACTTTTAAACCTTTATACCATTTTAACTTTTATCCCCATTACATCGGATGTTTAATGTTGAATAGATAACTTGAAAACAACTTTAATATTCATACCTTTTATTTTCCTTTATTTTTATAATTCCAAATACCTTTTAACTTTAAGTTCACAATGTCATTAATTTTTATACATCACAGCATAGTAAATCTCAAATCAGTCCCAAACATCGAAAAAGTGAACACCTTTTATAGTAAATATTTAAGCGGGAAAATAAGCATGAAAATATCGAAAAACATGAAAATCAGGAAAAACATAAATACATGAAAATATTTAATAATATTGCTCCCATCAATTGTTAATATACTCCATTGGGAGCAACCTGCTCCATTCCGTAAAAACATAACAAAATATAACATAGTTCATAAACTCGCTCTTTGCGACAGGTAGCAGCAAAACAAAATTACATATAGACCCTGTTTTATGAGGAGAAATTTAAGATGAAAATATTTAAATAATCTAAAAACATGAATAAACTAGAAAAAAGCAGGATAAATTGAATACATGTTTGTTGTCAGGATGGAGAAGGTTTATCATTAAACCTCGCCAAGATACACTTTCTCGCTCACCGAATAAACCTTCCAATACCAACCATGTATTCTATATTTATAGTCAATGATTATACCCCCAAAAACGAAGTTTGGGGGGGGTATATAGGAGTCACCCGGTGGTCGGTTGGTCGGGCGGTCGGTCGGTCGGTCCAGACGTCCGTTGCATTTTCCTTGTCCGGAGCATAACTTGAAGACTTATGGTTGGAATTCAGTATAACTACATACAATGGTCCAGCACATTGAGAGGAAGTGCAGTGCAAGCAAGAACCATAACTCATCTTGAGTAATTACAGAGTTATTGCCCTTTGTTAACTTTTTTTTTTTCCCCCCCTTGTCCCGGGGCATAACTTGAAAACTACTGGTTGGAATTCAAAACCCAACTTCATTACAATTGTCAACACAATAAGGGGAAGTGCAGTGCACAAGAACATAACTCTATCTAAAGTAAATTACAGAGTTATTAGCCCCTTGGTTACTTTTTCCAATTGCTTTTTTTTGTCCGGACCATAACTTGAAGACTAATCGGTTGGAATTCAATATAAACTACATACCAATGGTCAAGCACATTGAGAGGAAGTGCAGTGCATAAGAACCATAACTCTATCTTGACTAATTACAGAGTTATTGCCCTTTGTTTACTTTTTCCTTGTCCGGGGCATAACTTGAAAACTACTTGGTTGGAAATTCAAAACAACTTCATACAATTGTCAAACACAATAAGGGGAAGTGCAGTGCACATAGAATCATAACTCTATCTAAAGTAATTACAGAGTTATTGCCCCTTTGGTTACTTTTCCATTGCCGTTTTTGTCCGGACCATAACTTGAAGACTTAATGATTGGAATTCAATATAACTTCATACAATGGTCAAAGCACCATTGGAGAGAAAGTGCAGTGCACAAGAACCATAACTCCATCTTGACTAATTACAGAGTTATTGCCCTTTGTTACTTTTCCTTGTCCAGAGCATAACTTAGAAACTACTGTTTTGGAATTCAATAACAACTTCATACAGTTTTGTCAAGGACATTAAAAGGAAGTGCAGTGCACAAGAGCCATAACTCCATTTTGACAAAATACAGAGTTACTGCCCTTGATACTTTTCCTTGTCAGGAGCATAACTTAAAACGTACTGGTTGGAATTGAAAACAACTTCATACAATGGTCAAGCACAATAAGAGGAAGTGCATTGCACAAGAACTATAACTCTATCTTCAGTATTTATAGAGTTATTGCCCTTTGTTCCTTTTCTTTGTCTTTCTGGACTTATTACAGAGTAATTCAATTAAACTTCATCAACGGCCAACCACATTGAAAGGAAATGCAACATATAAGAACCACAACTATCTTTAATTGCCCAAAACCATAACTCTATATTTCAATTCTTTTACAAGGTATTCTGTTACTAGTAACATCCTCATTTCCGAAGCAGTCTTGTGGGGGTATTAATCACATTTAGTGATAGTTCTAGTTTTGTTTCATGCACAGGTACATACTGTTTTGAAAGTGATCCTAGTGTCTGTTGTAATGTATACTAGCAATGTACAATCTAAATTTTAAAACTTAAAATTTCTTGATTTCGTTCTTCTGGGAAAATGTAAGGCAGTGGGAAAATTAAGGCAGTTTTAATTCTTTTGAAGTTTGTAATTGTTAGTGTAAACAGAAATAATACTTTACATTTTGTTGATTTATTAATAAATCCTTTGCATTTGTCTTTTTGGTAATAGGTTAAAATGACACACAATACCTTATTCCCTAATGCATTGTGTCAAGCATAGTCACACCTGGGTAAATTAACTACTATGTTAGCTAATCACTTGAAACCAGTCAGTCATTTTCGGAATGGCTGGTGGTTAACTAACAGCATTCAAGGGTAAATAGCTTGGAAGTCTTTGACCGTGTTTTCTTTGCCAAGGAGTCTCTTGTAAAAATAAATTTTAAAGTTAACTATAAAGCTACATGTATATTCATTAATTAAAATCTGTTTTTTGTTGTTTATTTTAACTAGGGGTGTTGTGCAATTGTTTAATGCTGTGAGGAAACAACAGAAGATAGTAGAGGATGAGATTCAGCAAGTTGGTATGTCAGAGAGAAAGAAGGACAAGATAATGGAAGGAATGACAAAAGATAAATTCCTTACTTTACTAAAGGGAACCAGTAAAACCAATGTTAAAGCTGAAAAGGTGAGCATTTACTTTGATACTCTTTTTAGACTCACTGAAAGCATAACTGGCAAATGCAAATAGCTCAGTATACAACCAAGCTTGCTTGAATAAACAGCAAAGTCAAGCCTGTTGGTTGTTTAGGGCCAAGTGTGCTGGTAGTTTAGGGCCAAGTCTGCTAGTAGTACAAAGCTTAGCTTGCTGGTAGTATAGTCAGGTTTGGCCAAGTCTGCTGTTAAGTATATGGTCAAGTAAGTCTATGGAGATATAGACCAAGATGCTGGTATAAGTAATTAAAAAACCAAGCTCGGTTTGATTTGTAGTTCCAAGGCCTGCGTGTAGTCCAGTCTGGATATGGTTGAAATGGTGATGACATAATGTGAAAAAATTAATTTGTAGTTTAAGACTGGATAAAAGTGATTACTTTTCAAAATTCATAATTAGTTTTTGTTCCTCAATTAAAAGTTAAAAAAAAATGGGATTCATAGTTAAACATCCCTTGCAAGTACACATTACCTTTTACCAATAACAGCTCAGAAGGGAAAGGATCCATAATGAATATGTTTATTTCATATACATCTTTCATCAACAATATTTTTAAGATGTAAATACTCCATACACGTTATATTTATTTTTTCAAGCCAGAGGAGTCAGTTACCTGTTACCATTAAAAAAGGAAGAAAGTGATGAAGAAGATGAAATGGAGACAATGTAAAAAGTGGTAAAACTTGGGAAATACTCAAGGATGATTACATGATTGGGGTGCTAAGATGAAAGACTGGGACAAGGAAGAAAGTGATGATGATGATTTTGATGCCCAGCAGCAACGATGATGATGATCCAGGACTTATCAGATACGTGACTGAGAATTAAACAAGCTGTGATAAAACGAAAATCTGTAGAAAGAGATCGTTCCTGAGATCTTAAAGAAGAACATTCCCATCCTTAAAAGCGAAAATATAGCATACTTCCCAATATTCTTAAACTGTAGACTATTGAAGATTAAGACTGTTTCAAGATGCAAATAAAAACATATATCTTAAACTGCTTGCTTAAAAAAAATTTACATACAGAAAAGCTACAAAGTTGGATGAAGCAATACAGGTTTCAGGTAGATGGGATACATTAAGATTGGATGGTGCGTGGTGAAGGCTAAGATATTTCTTGTCTGTGATGACACAGGGTAGTTGTGAATCATTCATCTTAAAAAAAATGATGATAAATAAAGTGTGTTATTACTAACAAGAGCTTTTAACAAGATAATTGAAGGAAAGATTAATGTTGATAATGGCATGAAACGATAGCTGTCATTTAGTTATAACAAAACGTGTAGTATTTATTTTTAGCTCGATTAAGGTGGAAGGATGAGATTATTTGAGCCCACTATGGAGTAAGCTTCCTGGAACTTACCAGTAGTGTTGTCATATGAGGACACTTGACTCTAGTAGGACTCAAACTCCTGATCCCTGGGTTAAGAGGCAGACAGACAACTAGGCTGCTCCCCTTTGTTGTCATTTAAGCAAGTCAAGATTGCAATTGTCGGAAATGCAAGAATTTTAAGACAACTTTGAAAGAAACCCTGTTTTGTTTTGACTTTATTTTCTCTGCAGTACTGGTTTGTTCTTTTAATGAAAGAAATTCAATGTCAGTAATTTACAATAAGATATACATTCTGTTGTCATGTCACATAAGTCAGGGGTCACTTCTCAAAGATATATTGTTAAGTGATGTTGCTTTATCCAATACAACAGACTGTAATTTGTTTTGCAAAAAAAGAAATATTTTGATAAAGGAGTATAAATGGAATAAACACTTCAAATACTTTAAACTAGAGAAAATGTACATTTGCATTTATCTGAAGAAAAAAATAAATATTGTAACAATTTCTCTGTAATTTTTTTGTGAAATATCATTTTGATATATCATTTTCATTACGGAAAACATAGCACATTGTGTTAATTAATTGAACTGGTTAAATTGGGGGGAGTGGTCGGGGTAAAACTTGTAAAAATCCCCCTCTCTGTTAATGTGGGTCAGCCTTTTCAGGTTAACTTCAATTAAGTAAAATCAGATGATTACATTATGTTTCAGTTAACAAAAACTGGATTTTTTATGCCCCCGCCATTACATGTCATTTTGTAACAATTTCTCTGTAATTTTTTTGTGAAATATCATTTTGAGAAGTGTCCCCTGTTCCGTCCTTCCGTCTTTCTGTCCTGTCATTCCGTCATCATCAGTTTCCGTTCATTATCTTAAGAACGGTTGCACACATTCAACTCAAATTTGACATATGGATATGTCATGAGAAAATACAGGTCAAGTTCGAATTTGGTCATGGTTAGATGATTTTTGGCAGAGTTATGCCCCTTTTACTTTGAAAATAATATGAAATTTTCAGTTTCCGTTCATTATCTCCCAAAGGTACAACACATTTCAACTCAAAACTTGACATATGGATGCGTCAAAGGAATGCGCAGGTCAAGTTCAAATTTTGGTCATGGTTCAATGATTTTTGGCAGAGTTATCCCCTTTCACTTTGAAAGTAATATGAAATTTTCAGTTTCCGTTTATTATCTCCCCAACAGTAAAACAACACATTCAACTCAAATTTGACATATGGATATGTTTTTGGTATGGCCCAGGCCAAGTTCGAATTTGGTCATGGTTCAATGATTTTTGGCAGAGTAATGCCCTTTCACTTTGAAAAATAATATGAAATTTTACAGTTTCTGTTCATTATCTACCCAACAGTGTTACATATTCAACTTAAATTTGACATATGGATATGTCAAAGGAATGGGCAGGTCAAGTTGGAATTTGGTCATGGTTTGATGAATTTTTGGCAGAGTTATGTCCCTTTCACTTTGAAAATAATATACATGTAGATACATCTTAGGAATAAGCAGTTTAAGTTTGAATTTGGTCGAGGTTCAATGATTTTTAGACAAACTTATACTTTTAGCCATTATTTTGGCTACAAATATGCAATATATGCTATTTTCAAAAGGTTAAGACTGAATAATTTCAGTGCCTTGAACATTGTATAAAAATGGTTTGTGTTAACATGGAAAAGTTTTAAGGGCTTTGAACTTAAAATGAAAGAAATAATTAATGCACCATCTGAAATTTTGGCTGCATGCGGGGGCATCCGTGGCATGATGACACATTTCTAGTTTTTCTTTATTTTGTAATATTACTTAAAGAACATTTAACTATGTAAGTAATTACACTAGTGCCAATTACAAGTTAGCATTAAGTTATTACATTTAATGTTGTTAGATGAATGAAATATTTATAAATAAAATCTGCCAAAAGATTTGCTTTAAAGTTTTCATTAACAAGTGGTTACAATTGGGTATTTTAAATTTCTTGGCATTGATGTGGAACTAGTGATTCCCATATGTGGGAAATGTTTTATGCTCATGACAAAGATGTGGGCATTTCCATACTTGGGAGGTAAATGTTGGCTGTTCAGGTATGTTTCAATGTTCTTACAGGGCGTACAGGACTAGTCATTTCATATTTGGGAAATGTTCAATGTTTTAAACAAAGATGCAGTTAAAAGGGTGCAGTGCTAGTGATTTCCAAACCTGGGAAATGTTCATTTACACATTTGCAAAGACAAGGAACAAGTGATACTTAGCAACCTTTACAGATACAATGACATTGCATCTTTATTTAAGAATGACAAATAATGATATTTTTTATTTTTATTTATAGCATGAAGAATGTGCTCAAAATTGAAAACAAAATATTATACAAAGCACTACAATCGTAACAGTTTTGATTTTCTTATTTCTTCCAACTCTATGTCATACTGATCAAGTCTTTTTTGTCTTTCTTGTAGAAACTCTGCATATTCTTCAGGGTCTAAAGACTTTACCACCTCAATACCAACACTATAAGAAGTCCCAATAATTTGTTTGCAGATATTTTCAAGTGACTGTCCTCGATTTTGTGGATCTTGCATCTTTATTTTGGCTATTTCATATACATGTTTTAGTGTTACTTTTCCTGCAACATCGTCCTCTGTAAAAATTAAAGCATATATAAATGTAAGTATTTCAACTTGTAAGTAATGTGAAAGGTCCTTCAATAGATACAAACTTTTTGCAGGATGAGAAACAAACAAAAATGCTGCATCTGCATCTTATTCTCAACATAGAAAGGGTATGTTTGATTATTTGGTGAAAATAAGATATGCCTTAGTTATCTGAGAAAAAAATACAACTTTATGTATTTTCTTGATATTTCACCATTCAATAAGCCACTGATTTATTGCAGCTGGTAGGCTTGTCAACTTTATGCACATCAGTTCTGGCACTAACATGAAGAAAGATATTAATGTCTACAGTGACTACAGGAAAGATATTCTTACTAAAGTCAAAGTAAATTTTTTTTAAAAAACAATTTTTTTCCATGGGGCCCTTTAAAAAACATACATTTAAATGTCAATGATAAACTTTTTTTGTTTTGGTTTACTCTTTTTTTGGGGCATTTGGCGCTAGTTTTAGGGGTTTTGAGGAAGCCCTCGGGTTTTGGGTGGGCCCGATTTTTTTCCCCGGGAAACAAACCCACTTTTTTCCCATAAGCTAGTTTGGAAATACCCTCCTCACATAAAGAAATCGAAAATTTTTTAAAGGGGATTTAAAACCCATAGTAGCGAGAGGAAAAGTAAACAAAATTAACCATTTGTCCAAAATTTTTTTGGCCATTATAAATTTTTATTTGAACTTAAAGGGTGTCCATAGGACCCATTATGCCCCCACTTCATTTTGCCCCGTCAAAATTTTAGCATATTTACATACCAAGGGGCATGTTTTTTGACTTCCCATAAAGTGTTTTTTCCCAACCCCCCAAGAAAATATATTATATAATGTAAAAGATTAAAGTGCCCACACCTCCAGAAGAAAAAAAAATATTTTCAAAAAAATTTTAAAAATTGAGAAAAAATTTGTACTAAAAATTTTTAAAAAAGGTAAAACATTTTTCAAATCCAAGTCATTTTTACATTTTAAAAGGGGCGGTTTAAAGTTTGTTTTTGAAGATCTTATCACCTATTTTTCAAACGCAACCCAAAAAAAGGGGGCTTTTTTATAAATATTTGACCACTTTTGGTAATTTTTTTTGGATTTTGTGCCGTTTTCCCAATATGTAGATATTTTTATTTTTTTACATTTTCCACAATTTTTTCCTTTTAAATACATTTTCAAAAATTTCACGAAAATTAACATAAATCTGGAGGCGTGCTGCTTTAAAGGTACATAGTTTCACTGAGGATATTCTAGTTAAGGGTTTTAAAACTTTTCCCAAATGTGACCTAGATAACATGTGACCTTGCCCTTTTGCCCTAACCCAACCAAAAAATTTCAAAAAGGGTTCATTTGGGGGCGGGGTTAAAAAAAGGCCATTTTCCCGGATAAGTTTAAGGGAAAATGCTTTTAAATAGGCTAAATTTAAGGGAGTCTATCCCATTTCTGCCCCCCCAGCGGGTTTGGGGTTTGGTTTGCTTGTTTAAGTCTTTTTCCCATCTGAAGATTTTAGAAAAAAATCCCCTTTTCTATTTTTAGGCCCCCCCAATATGCCCCATTTAAAGTTGTGGGGGGCCCGTGCCCCCTAAAACCCAAAACAAAACCGACAAAATTTCCCAAGCCCTTTTAAGGAAACAAGGGGGTTTTCAAAAACTTTAAAAATTTTCATTTTTATCAAGACCTTAAACCCCTAATTTGCCTCAAAAAAAAAGGAATTATCTACTGAGCCAATTGGGCAACATCAAATTTATTTTTAAGCTTTTTTTTTTCAAGTAATTGATCTAAAAATTTAATAACTTTTAAATTTGTATGTTAGAGATGAAAAGACAACCCCATCAATTATGTTTTCAAATTTTTATTAAATGTGATTATAAAAAATAAAAAATGTATTGGGATATAAAGAAATCAACATACTGTTTATTCTTCCTTTCTTAGCTCCAGCTGCCATTTTCAGGAAATATGATACAGGAGGTTTATGAGTGGTAATTGAAACTGTTCGATCTGGCTGTAAAATATATATTATAAATAGTGAGATATGGCTGTAAATATATCAATTACAAGAAGTGAGATCTGGCTGTAAAATATCAATTACAAAAAAAATATGAGATCTGGCTGTAAATTTATCAATTACTAAAATGTGAGATCTGGCTGTAAATATATCAATTACTAAAATGTGAGATCTGGCCGTAGAAATATATATATTAAATAGTGAAATCTGACTAAAAATATATCCGTTACAAAAATGTGAGTTCTGGCTGTAAATATATCAATTACAATAAGTGAGATATGGCTGCAAAAATATGTATTATAAATATAGAAATCTGGCTGTAAATATATCAGTTACAAAAAGTGAGATCTGGCTATAAATATATCAATTACAAATGCATGTAGTGAGTTCTGGCTGTAAATATATATATTACAAAAAGTGAGATCTGGCTGTATATATATCAATTACAAATACATGTAGTGAGATCTGGCTGTATATATATATTACAAAAAGTGAGATCTGGCTGTGAATATATCAATTACAAAAAAAAAGTGAGATCTGGCTGTAAATATATATTTTACGTTATGCTCTGGTATCATTATTTACAAAACTGCCACATTGTGCAAAAAAAACAAACTCTTACATGAATAAATGTTGTTTTGATACTTTTGTATAAAATGACATTATAATACTGGTCTTGCATGAATATCTGTCATTGGGCTTTTTATTTTTTATTAAACTATTAAAACAATTTCCACACCGAATCTTATAAGTATTGGCCCTTTACCAAAATTCATTTTTATAATCTTTTTACCTTATATTAACAAGTTTTCTTAGAATTCCGTTGGAGGAATTAATTAAAGCACAGTAAAGTGAAATTCTGGACTTGTATTTCTTTCATGAGAATAGTTACTTCAGCTTTGGAAATAAACATTCCAAGCTTCTTTCATGAGAATAGTTACTTCAGCTTTGGAAATAAACATTCCAAGCTATTTGCATTAGGTGATTAAGGCTAAATTGGCTAATAGTCAACATTTACAATTTTTCCAGAAGCCATAAAAGAGCCACACTTGTCAGATGATGTGTAACAATCTCCATGATCATCCTTAACACTAATATTTCTTTTTGTAAACCATTCTTATATTTGGCTTCTGTCAGGTAAAAAAAATTTCCAAGAAAAAACTTGGTTTGGGGGAAAACTGCACGATTTAAAAAAAAAAATTCTTTGGGGAAGCTGCCAGTTAAACGAAAAAAAGGGGAATAACAGCCCTGATATAAAAGAATTAATTCAAAGAGAAAAGATTGCCACAGTAATAAATACACAGTAGTTGTAAGATAAGGTAAAGTTAGCTTACATTTAATTTTATAAAGGTAGGTATTGGTATTCCTGTTTTAATGTCATTAGTTAGATCATTGAACTGTTTGCAGAATGGTCCTATCTGTATGTTTCTCTGAAAAATATCAATATAATACATTAATGTCTATGACTTTATGATATAAATAGATTTCAATAAAAACAATTACCTATATTATCATACACTTAAGACAATATTTTTATAAACTTTAAAAAGAGAATTTGTATAAATAAAGCATAAATAAATACATGAATATATGACATAATTTACATTTAGGGCCTCTCAACAATAGCTAACAAAAATTTGTAAGACCAACATATATAAACACCAACATCTCCCATCTGAAGGAGGTTTACATGAAGCAAACAATAGTAGTATTTCAAAAGTTTAAGGTATGGATCTTAACTTCCAGTGCAAAATCTTGATAAATACTAGATCTGCACATGCAACAGCGAATTAATTATATAAATATAATGAAGAACTCCTGTTTATATGACCATAGAAATATATATGAGCTGTTAGTTATCACTTTAAATAAGTACATAACAAGAACGTGTTTGTTAAACACAAATGCCCCCGGCTCAGGTTCTTGTCAGTAGCAATATTTCAAAAAATATTTACCCATTCACTCAGTTATGGACAGAAAAATTGCCAAAAAATTGTAAACACAAGTTATATAGCTTGACAAAGTCATGGCATTTTGTAATTGTGAAAAATATAAGTTGCCACGTCATTGCTCTGATTGTGAAATTGAAAAATATTCAACTTCATGCAAGTTATCTTCCTACCAAATATGAAATACATCTGTCAATAAATAAAGGCTGTATGGGCAAAAGTGTAAAAATCTATTTTTAGCACTGGTGGCCTTAACCAAACTGACCCCTAACTCTATCCAAAAGAAGAATACCATGTAAGTTATCTTCCTACCAAATATGAAATACATCTGTCAATAAATAAAGGCTGTATGGGCAAAAGTGTAAAAATCTATTTTTAGCACTGATGACCTTGACCCAACTGACCCCTTACTCCATCCAAAGGAAGAATACCGTGCAAGTTATCTTCCTACCAAATATGAAATACATCTGTCAATAAATAAAAGTTGTATGGGCAAAAGTGTAAAAATCTATTTTTAGCACCAGTGACCTTGACCCACTGATCCCTACCCCAATCAAAAGGATGAATACCATGCAAGTTATCTTCCTACCAAATATATAATATATCTGTCAATGAATAAAGGCTGTATGAGCAAAAGTGTAAAAATCTATTTTTAGCACTGGTGACCTTGACCCAACAGACCACTAACTCCATCAAAGTTTATGTTTCTATCAATTATAAATAACATCTGTCTATAGAATAAGGTCAATACACCTGTAAAAATCTATTTTTAACATTGGTGACCTTGACATTGGTAACAATGACCTTGACCCAAATGACCCCTTACAACACCCAAAGAAGGAGGACCTCCCTTGGCATGTTTGTATTAAACTAAGACATCAACTAAAATATAAGGCTGTATGAGCAAAAATGTTTATATTTATTTTTTAAACCAGTGACCTTGACCCTAAAGACCGCTTACTCCACAAAAAACTAGAGGACCATCAAAGGTATCCATCTACTAAATATGAAAGATATCATTAAAGAAATTAAGCAATTAGGAGAAATTTAAGATAAATCCAACTTGTTGAAATAAGTTAACCAGACAAGGCCCTATTTTCAAAGTGAAAAAAGGGAAATAACTGGGAAATATGGATGACACAGTTATATAACTTGGCAATATCATGTACTTTGTATTGATAAGTAAGTGTGGAAATTATAAAGCCATTAGTATAGATAGAACTTAAAATATTTCCAACTTGCCATTTTAGGTTAACCATTATTCAATTTCTAAGTGCTGAAAAGGGCAATAACTTGGTAAATATGAAAGCCAGAGTTATGTTACTTGCCCAGATCATGTACTTTGTATTGATTAGTAAGTGTGTAAACTTAGAAGCCATTGGTACAGGTAGAACTTAAGAAAAATCCAACTTGCCGTTCTAGGTTAACCTCGTACGGACAGACAGACGGACGGACGGACAGTTCAATCACTATATGCCCGGGGGCATAAAAAGATTTTAAAGATATTTCAGATGTAGTTAGGGTGTTTTTTTACAGTGCAATCCCTCTCACTGTTATCTATTTATATCTTAAGTTTCACTGGAATCTCTCTAATAATTTTAGAATTATTCTCTAGACAAGGACAATACAGACCATGTTAAGCTTTGACCCCTTAATGTGACCTTGATCTTGGTGATTGGGGTCTGGGTGTTGCACTTAACAGATTGTCTTAATATGGTAACTTTTTGTACAAACTTATTTCAAAATCCTTCAATGATCCACAGAAAATAGCTTTGGGCCAGCTTTAGAATGAGAGTTTCTATATCCCCATTTTCTTTAGAAAACAAAGTGTTATTGTCACAAAATAGACCCATCACAAATGCACAGTCTCAAGATGGTGAACATTTAAATTAGAATCCCTCAAATTATGATGACTAAATAGTGCATTGCATGTACAAGTTTTGCTCTGGTAAAGCATTTTCCTCTGATGTCAGATACCTTGACTTTTGACCTAGCATCCTGATTAATGTGGGTACACTACAGCTCATGGTGCTGAACATTTCTGTGTTTAATAATACTAAAATCAATCTATGCAGCACAAGTAAAATGCTGCCATTTCATCATATATTGTTACTTTGAACTTGCATACATTGACCTGGGGCCTGCTGGTAAAACTTGATCTCTTCATGATTATAAACATTTCCCTAATTTCAAAACTACTAAATTGGTCACACACATTCATATTTTGTCTGACCTCTATGCATGACCTTGGCCAGAGGGACCTGAACTTTTGTGTAAGACACTCTGCTTCGAAATTGTGAACATTTGTACCAAATTCTATTAAATCCATAAATGCATGCAAAAGTCATGATGTGGACAAGCTTTTTCATATGACCTTTGACCAAGACCTAGTTCATGCAGGTGGCACAATTTACAGACTGTTCACCCTTCAGACACTTGACAACCAAGCCATTTTTTGCAGACACTTCACCCCTCTGACACTTTATCCTTTTTTTTATGCATTTCATATCCCCCCTCCCCTCCATTTTTGTTTTGTGTTTTACTCAAAATTTAATGCCAGAAGGTGAAAATTTGAAATGTAATAAAAGTGATTAAATATATTTATTTTTTTAACATATTTGATTATATTAAAAAATATTACTAATTAATGCAAATCTGATGTGTGATAGAGATATTTACATTTAACTAAAAGGGCTCATATCCAAATGATAATTTTTGAAAGCAAATAAATATGATCCTTTATACAGTCTCTTTTTTTAGAAAAAAAATGTCTTAACATTAAATTTGCTATGAAAATTTGACTGATTTGATTAACTTATTTTACATCAATTGTTTGAAGTGTATCAATTTTTATCTTAGATACATGATAATACTTTATAAATGCCATTCACACTTCTTTTGTTCTTTATAAATGACAGTACCTGGATGCTTCATTTTGAAATCAAAATATACATGTACAATTATTTGTCAGAAATTATAAAGCAGTTAATTAGTTGTCGGTTTTTTTTTATTTGAATGTGATCTTTAAATTGTCTTTCATGTTATGCTTAAATGTTGTAATACATTTCAAAATTCCATTTTTGATTAAATATTTTATCAAAAACACTAAAAAATTAAAAGTAAAGAAGATAAACAAATAACATAAACATGTATATTTCTCGCTGATTTTGGGGGGTGAAGTGTCTAGAGGTGTGGTGTCTTCAAATTTTGAGGAGTGAAGTGTCTGGGGTGTGAAGCGTCTTGTTTGCAGTGGCATTTTGCCTAATTTATTTGGCATGAACGGTTTAACCCATTTTACAAACTTTTTTTTCATACTAACAAACCGGAATGACATTGCCTGCCAAAATTATCTCGATGTCTCTTTGACAAGTCTAAATTAGTTGCACTTAGTGGCGCTGCTCCACAATCTCCTGGATAAGACCCCAATGTATATTTGGGGAGTAAAACATATATATAATAGAATAAAGCAAACGATGAACCTTATATAAACACCTGGTTTAGTCCCTAGGGTTTAAGCCAGTATATAGCCAGCCTGGCTGAGTTGCATCAGATTATACATTTAGCTCTGGTTGCATCTTACGACCAGTTGGAATCTAGGTGTATTCCACCAGACAAAAAAATGTAGACTATCCAGGTTGACTTACGGTCAGTTTGATTAATATGTCTGCATAATAAACAGGCCATTATTTGGTCAGGGTGAACCTGACTACCGTATGGAAATGTAGACATACCAATCAATTCAGTATCCGAAAATACTTTAGACGAAAACAGTTACATTTATATCTGAAAATTTTGTACACAATTTGAATACCTGTCCAAGTTGTGGTCCAAGTGGGGGAGCAGCTGCTGCTTTGCCTGCTGGTATGTTTGTTTTTAAATATGGTGGATGAATAACCTTTCTGGTTACTGACTTAATAACCTTGGCAGCCTTTTTTGGAGGCATGTTTTTAGTTGTCTCCCCTGTTAGGTTGATTGCAACTAAATATGTTCCTCTGTCCATAGCAGGGGTTTGAAGATGTATGTTCTTAAAAAAAAAATTATACACAGGTTATTTATTCATTCTCCTGTATGAATGGTCTTTACTTATAGTAAAATAGTAAAATGCAAAACTATTTAAATTATAATTTGATGAATTATTTATAACACTGAAGCAGACAGATATCCATATTCCATTTAATGTCACTTTTATTATGTGGATGGTCAACTTTTGTGTCTAGGTATACCCCATCATGTATACTTCAATGTCCATGACAGGTATCACATGAATAAGAAGTTATTTCAGAATTCATTTAATATAAGGACCAAAAGAACCTAAAATACAACTGCTTAATTTAAATTGAGAAAAACAATTGTCCATTCCTAATTTCCATGATTGCCTTCATCCATATATACAGCTAGGGGCTTCAAATATGCAGATATTTTGGGTTTGCAAAAAACTTGTAATAACAAGAGCAGTCAGGACAGTGCTCGACTGTTTTTAGCAGCGAAAAAATAAGCCTGGTCTTTTCTGTTTATTTTTGTAAAGTTGTTCAACGTACTGCTCAAAACAGTATCACAAACTTTTGTGTAAACCAGGTCAACGATAATTATTTATTTGTAGCAATTGAAAAGCCATTAAAACTAGAATGGTCAATTTGTGATAGTAAAACAATAACCTGGATAAAGTAGGAATTAACATGGAGGAAGAGTTTTGGATACTGATCAAGTAATATTTTATGTTCACAAAGTCATATGTAATGTGAATCAAAATGATGAATAAAGTGCAAATTAAAAAAAAAAAACTTTCAAGTGAATACCATTATTATATTATCAGTACATGTTGTTATAAAGATGACTGTTGCACAGAAAGTAAAACTTAAACCAAAGATTTTGAAAATTCACAAAGGGCCATAAGTCCACAAGGCAGTGAAAATCAGTGTCAGAATTATGGAATTTGGAGTGACCTCTTATTATGGTCATGAGGAGATGTATAAAATTCAAGTCAATACCTTCAATAGTGTTGAATAATGATGTTGCATGCAAAATTTAGCTCAGTTCACAAAGGTTCATTATTTTGTCAAAATTCATGTTAAGAGAAAAGAACGTTGGGCAGCAACCTTTTAAAATGGTCTCAGCCAAATGTGTAGTTACAAGCATATATCTTAATGATTCACGAGATGTGATGTATAAATGGTTGCACATACAACTTAAACCAGTGTTACTCTGAAGCTGAAGCCTGTGCAAGTTTAATAGCCCCACTAATCTTCGAAGAGTCCATTTAAAAGATGTCATTTTCTTCGGGCTTTTCACATAATCTAAAATATAGTTGTGACCCAATGATGAACTGTTCATATAATCATGCTAAATACAGTTCAGCTAACATTCTCCAATAAAACATTGAATTCTGAAACAGGTACCAATTTGGCATTCTTTGCATGTTAAAATCCAACATAGGATGATGCACTGGCCACATAATTTCTATCTTCATTTTGTGTATTGTCAACCCTTAATGGTGTTACCCATAATCATTTATGATAACTCAGAAATAGATTATGATCAACAACTTTCTGCTCAACAGACTTCAAATATAAAGCAAATTAGCTTATCAACTACACTATTTTAGTTAATACAAAACACATTCAAGATCCTATGGCAACTTTAAATGTGTAGCAATTACAAAATTGTCCTTCTGCCCAATATCACAGAGACTACCATCCCTCCAGAACTTTATTACATGTAAATGGTTTCCGCACATGAATAATGGAAATAACTATAATTGTAAACAACAGATGATTTTCACTTTGTCCTTTCTTCTTCATCAAAAATTAACAAACAGCTTTTACATTCTCCCATTTATTGCAATAAAAACATACAAATGAACTTGAAACAAAATTAAATGAGTGTATTAATTGCCACTTGTCTACATACAAATAATGTACCTAAGCTCCATTGATTTATTATCAATGCCCATTTTTTTATCCAATATTTAGTTGTTTAACATACATGTATATTTAATTGTGTTGAAAGACAATCTTTCTGATCTAATAAAGATTAAACCACAGTTTAAGTCAGCTATTTACTTGCAGGAAACAAAGAAATCCAAAATACATTTTTTTTTACTTAAATTAAGAAAGATTTTCGATTTTCAAACTTGACACAAATGTTTCATTTATAAAAAGGGGCAAAACTGGCATAAAAACTTAACAAGGAGAAATAAGCATTCAACATTCTTACTATTTAGGATACTTTTGTTTGTCTTGTGTATGGAGCCATTCCTTTCAGTAAACAGGAAAAGTTAAGACTTATGTACTGGTACAATAATATATCAACCTGATTTTGTTTGTTATTTTTCTTTTCTTTTTTAACTTAAGTCAGACTCAAACTTATTTATGCCTTATGTTAAACTAATCAGGTCAGTTCACCAGTATCTAACACAAGACAGACATGCAACATTATTCAATAATTACTCAAGCTTTATAATTGAATATAAAATATAGATATTCACATACAAATTAGTATACATATAATATTTTAAATAACATTATCATTTACAATATATAAATTAACTATCATCTTTCTTAAAGGCAAAATTTGCAAGTTTAGAGTTAGTTGTTTGAGACAATGGTGTCTTTTTAACATCAGTTTCTATACTGTCTCTGTGTTTTTTGACACCCTCCTCCGAATCTGTATCATCACGTTTCCTCTTCTTGTTTTCAGAGTTATCTTTCGGTTCTGTATCAATACTATTTTCTTTACTCTTCTCACTTGAAGCCTTCGCTTTCTTCACCCAAGTCTGAATTATAATATAAAAATATAAACCAAGTGATTTATGATCAGTTATATTGTTGTTTTTTATTTTGAAAAAGTTCCTTGTACAATGATATGTATTAATAAGTTTAGCTCCAGGTCTTCAGAAGAGAAACATCTTTTAACCTTTTTGCCTACAGGTAAAAAGCCTGACACCCAAACAAGAGAACAGGCATGTTTTATACAACCTATGATTCGCTGCACAATTCTACCATCCCTATAACTAAACTCAAGGTCTTTTAGCAAAGTAGATTTTAAAAAGCTTTTCCTATATAAATCATTAAAACAATTGTGACCAAAAGAGTAGGGTCAATATTGAATTTAGCCCTTGACTCAGTGCTTTTGGATATACAATGTACTGTTAAAAGAATATGTGGGAAATAATGAGCAACTAACGACAGACATAATGTGATGTGATCACGAAAACTCAAACAAACAATGTTGATATACTATACCTGTCTCTCCTCTTTGGCTAAAGCCCTAAATTGTTCAGCAGCATATTTACTGAACTCTTCCTCGTCAGTCTCCTGATGGCTTTCCTTCAATCTTTCACAGTTCTCCTCCAACCATAGGTCAAAAGCTGACGCAGGTCTAAAACATACAAGTAAATAATATTGTATGTAAGTAGTTTGACAGTATCAGTAAATAAATCTAAAAGGGCTGTTGTAGTTGATACAAGTAACACTAGCTAATTGATTATATTTCTCTAAACCACTCTAAACCAAACATTCTTATCTACTAGTATTTAACAACTTTATTACTTAATACAGAAAAGACAGTGGATTCAATCAATTTTGTTTCCCCATTTTGTTAACTAGTAAGGTATAAAAAAATATTATTAATTAGAAATTTGTTGACTTACTTTTGAGAAGCTGCCTCTTCAATTTTGTTTGTTTTAACCGGCTCCGATTTCTTTTTCATGAATAGCTTAGGCTGTGATCCCTACAAGACACACAAATATATGGTCATCAAGTTCAGGTTGTTTTTTTTTGCCCAGATATTTGTATAATTTATAAGTCAAAAGAATAATGTAAAGATCATATGGGTCCTTCACTTATGGCATGTGACCATTTTAGTTCACATAAAATGCCTTATTTTACATTACTTCCAGTTCCAGTACAAGAATGCACAGAAATACAATGATTGACCATCCGTAAACTAACTAAATAGCTTCTTAAGTTCTGTTAATATAGAATTCAATAAAGTTGATGAGAATAAAGCCTGTAGCGATGAGTGGTAATCATAAAACAGCAACTGTTAAACACTCATCCATTTAGATTACCATCATTTTCATTATTTGTGTTTAAACAAGAATCAGTCACACTTATTCATAAGAGAATATCTAAGACAATATCACAAGCCCTAACTTTTTTTTAAGTAATTTTAAAATTCATCCAATAAATTTCTTAAACTTGTCCAAAACTTTTTTATTAATTATTTAAATTACATTCACGCTTACATGTATATCCAAAAGTATTCTATTAAAGACACAAATTAGTTTGTGATCTGTTGCAGACTGACCTACACTACATGTCTTTAAATTCAGGGTGTAACAGCATACCATACTCGCGGTATACCGTACCGTTTTCATTTGGTACAGTTCTTGGTACGACAAATCACCTGTATGGTATGGGACGGCATTAAAAACCATTTTCAAGGGGAGTAATTATTTTAGTAAAAATTGCAGTAATCTTTAGTAAAAGATGAATTTAAATCAGGGTCAGTGTCTTTTTAGTCAAAATATAGAAGCATTTTGGATTTCAGGTGAAAAAATAATCAGGAAAATGTCTTCTTTGACTGCTATTTCAATGTGCTGAATTTATTTTTCTGACGTATTGTTATTTTGTAAGAACTGACCATCGGCTGAAACTGCCTTTTGGCAAGCTGAAATTCGTGAATAAATGATATGATATCTTGACATTTTTGCAAATAAACCCCACATTACTGAATCCAAAATATTGTCAAAACACTGTAACAGACAGCTAGTTGTTTAGAGTTATGGCTACGCTATTTTGTTGGATATTTTCCATACCTTTCCATACTGTCAACGGATATATGTAACTGTTAGTAAATACGTTATAACCATTATGAATGTGTTATAAGTGAGTAAAGTAAAATAATTTTTGTGTTCAGCTTATGCTCATTATTACACGTAGTCCGCAAATTGTATCATCCAGTACATCTAACTGTTGAACATTTTAAATTTTTCTATTAAACTTGAGTAATTTATCCAAAATAGTTATCACCTATCATATGACAATGCAAATGTGATGTTTCTATCACTTGTACTTCTTTATTGAATGATATTTTTCTTGTAGGTATTTTACTTTTCAATGCTTCAGAAAATATTAAAGCTTTTAGCCTTTTACTTTAACTATCAAAATGTCAATAGAAAACATGTTGTTACATCACAACTTTAAATTAATTTTGCATAATACATCTGTGTGAAAATATAAAGTTTAAATGGATTACAGACAATTTTCTTTAGTCAACCTGTATCGTGATATGTATCGTATCGTGAGGTGAGCGTACCGTTACACCCTTACTTTAAATGCCAATACCAATTGGTGAAGAAGTAAACATGCAAACCTTTTTCTGTGATTTTGTTGATTTTGTATCCAGTGGAAACAAAGGTGAGGGTTTTTCTTTCTTCTTTGACATACTATCAAATACCTGTGTACCCTTGGTGAATGATGAACTAGATTGTTGACTTGATACCTGAACACAGCAAAATAAACACATATATGCTTTAAAAAAATCTCAGCACAGCATTGACAGTAAACAGAAGAGGATCATAATTGTTCTGGATGGCTTACCATTGGGAAGTTACCAAGGTCTTTTAGCTATGATGGTTTATGAGAAGAGATTCAATACTTTATTTAAAGCAAGTCATTCTAATTAAATTACTAATATAAGTCAGATCATTAAATGTTTTTTCACAAGCCTTTTATTTAGCCTGAAATTGTATAGAATTTTTATGTATATCATAATGGGCGAGATAGAATTTACAGCAACTCAATAAAATACAGTTAAACTTCAATGAAATACATAAATTGAGAATCATTTTACATGTGTATAAGATTACCTTGAAAGGGTTAGATCTGCTCTTGAAGGGATTCTGGGACTTGTCTTGTTTGTCTTCTTTGACCTTGATAGCTAACATCGGTCCTGTTGTGATAAATCAGGTGTTAATGTACACAGAAAAATTTAGAAACAAAATTTCATATGGTTTCATATTTCTCAACTGTGTTTTAATAATGCAGATTGTGATTTTTTTCTTCAGATTTTATAGTGGATAAAATACTATATTCCTAATTATGAATAGCATCTTTCTAAACACTATAAAACAAGCAATTATCATAGTATTGCAAGCAATCCATAAGTCCCCTACCAGTTAGAACCCAATCAACATTCTGAAGGGCCATTCACTAATGTTTTAATTTTTCTCTATTTTAAGTAAATTTGTTGGAAAAGTTCTTTAAAAGTGATCACAGGAAACAGTTTTTATGAACAGACAGACAGACGGACTGAAGGACACTCTAAAGTTAATATTTTATTAATGAAACATCCCTGTTACCAAAATATCACATTTTAAAAGCAAAATTCTTAAACAGGAGACTCTTGAATTAAAGATGCAATTTCATAAAAATTTTCAACTCTTTTTGACTAATCACAAATATTGTTATATTTGCCATGTTTTAAGCCTATTTGTTGCCAAGGCAACTGATATTTTTTCAAAATAGGAAGAACAGATAAGACATGCATAATCTCAAGACTGCCATCTACCCATATGTTAAGTTTCATAAAAATATTTCCAGTACTTTTTGAGTTATCACTGGATAAAGTTTATGTGTAAAATTTGCCATATTTTCAGTCTATGTGTTGCCATAGCAACCAGAATTTTCAACATAGGAAGAAAAGAAAAAGACGTGCATAATCTCAAGACTGCCATCTACCCATATGTCAAGTTTCATAAAAATATTTCCAGTACTTTTTGCTTTATCACTGGATTCAGTTTATGTGTAAAATTTGCCATATTTTCAGTCTATGTGTTGCCATAGCAACCAGAATTTTCAACATAGGAAGAAAAGAAAAAGACGTGCATAATCTCAAGACTGCCATCTACCCATATGTCAAGTTTCATAAAAATATTTCCAGTACTTTTTGCTTTATCACTGGATCCAGTTTATGTGTAAAATTTGCCATATTTTCAGCCTATTTGTTGCCATAGCAACCAGAATTTTCAAACATAGGAAGAAAGAAAAAGACGTGCATAATCTCAAGACTGCCATCTACCCATATGTCAAGTTTCATAAAAAAATTTCCAGTACTTTTTGCGTTATCACTGGATCCAGTTTATGTGTAAAATTAGCCATATTTTCAGCCTATTTGTTGCCATAGCAACCAGAATTTTCAACATAGGAAGAAAAGAAAAAGACGTGCATAATCTCCATACTGCCATCTATCCATATACAAAGTTTCATAAAAATATTTTCAGTACTTTTCAAGTTATCGCGGGATCCAGTTTTGTGGACGGACGGACTGACGGACTGACAGACGGACGGACGGACAGACAGACGGACGGAGGGTAAACCTAAAGTCCCCTCCGGTAAACCGGTAGGGGACTAATAAAATAACACACAATAATTTTCAGAGAAGTTATTTATAAAACAATAATGATCTTTACCTAACATTAGAAGACTACTAAGATCTGTATATTTGGGGAAATTTTCAATCTTAGTACTGACTGAATATTCAATAATGAACAGTGCAGACCATGACCAGTGATAAGATGTCACAGATAAGCTGGCTAATCTTGGTCTGCACTGGTTGCCTAGGTAGAATTAGTTACCATCAAGATTAATTACTATAATAAAATGTCTATAGTCACCTGATGAGCTCTCATCTTCCTCCATATCAACATCTTGTTCCTGTGTTTCCTCTATATACTCTGTCTCGTACTGTTCTGCCCTAGAGACACTTGTGTACGGTGTTGACCTAGATTCTTCCTCATAACTACCCAATAAAATATTTTTACTTTATTATATATTATCATTACAATTTTTTATGGTTTCATCTAACTCTAAATTCTGTTAAGGTCATCATACTAATTTGGTAAAGGTTGTGACACTAATTCTATTAAAATCATCACACTTAACCTGTTAAAGGTAATAATCCTAATTCTGTTACGGTCATCACACTTATTATGTTAAGGTCATCAAACTTTACCAGCTTTAAAGCCGCAAAAATCCCTGCCCTGGTAGGGAGAATTTTGTAGGCGTGTTTATCAGATAAATCATGCAAGGGACGCTGTACCTGTGCTAAAATTAGCTGATGTAAACAAACACTATAGCAGACTATTACTGATAAGCAGCTCCCTTCCTAGAGTAATATTTCAAGTTTCTACTGGAAAGTTAACACTGCCACTTGTATTTGTTTACAACCTGCAGTTCATGACCCCATTAACTCCGCCCCGGAATTTTCAAATTTTTGACAGTTAACTGATTTTTTTTTCACAAAGTACATTTAAGTGAATCTTTTGTGATATTTTCTCTGCCATTTTATTTCAAAAATGTTGCAAAGAAGTTATACAAAAAGTTTTTAGGCAAAATACTTCTTGGTTATTTTACTATTTCAAAAAAGGGCTGTTAGATGTGAAGCATGTCAAAAATACCATGAAAATCTGCCCCAGTGCCATCTAGTGGCTTAAATAGTCAAGTTGCAGGTTTAAACAAGAACCACCCCAAATGCCCATCCATACAAAAAACATATACCTGGGTAGAATCACCAACTTTTGCTTATCTTTTACGATATTTTCCTCACAATACAACATGATATAATAGTACCTGATTATATATTGTTTAATAATTTAATATTTTCATAATAATTGTGTTATAGTAATATGAAACAAAAGATAAAGCTTAACAATTTATGTTTTTCATAAAGTCAATAATTCAATGCAATGATGCTGTGAAACTAAGACTTCAAGTTATAAAGCCCATTAAACATTTAATGTGATAAAAAAATGAGGTATAAACTCTATGGAAACAAACTAGAAAACAATTGTAGAGATTTAAGGCCACCCTTAAATAATTATCTGTTTGCTATTGCCGGCCTACCCAGCGAAAATGCCCCGACTCAAAAGTTTTTTTCAGCTTAAAAAAATCAGATTTTTTTTTATTTCCGCCAAATCAGCCAAGGCATCGACCTCAAAAATTCCCTCGAAAACAAAAATAGAATTGGAGGAAAATCACACATTTATATGTAAAGTAACGAGTGATCATTCATGAGGGCATTCTGTGCGTTACTATTTAAAGTATTTACATAAATAGCGACCAACCAGGGAAGGATATTTTCCATTACGTCACTCAGTACTGCATACGCGCGGCAATTAAGTTGAATTAACTAATAATAGAACATATCAAATTAAGGTTTGGAAACGGGATTAAAAATAATGTTTGTACAATTAATGAATATTTGTAAAGCATTTATATGGTCACTAGTTTACCATGTGGTAATTTTAATGTGCTTTGGAGTACATTTTCGTTTGTTTATGACTGCCGACACAGATTAAATACTTAGCCCATGCAATAAAACATTTCTGGTAGCTGTGGGGATTCTGTCATAAAATTGACCGAAAAAATAAATTTTTGGAAGCTGCGGTCCTTTCATATGCATTATTGTTTTGATAGCAGACACAAGTAATGCACAATATCTTCAAGATCATATAAAATGTAAATAAAATATCACAATCAAAATCACAGATATACATACGTCTAATTAAACTCCATGTCAAAATGCACTTACGATTAATAATATGTCAATAATTGACACAATAAATATCCAACAAATTTTTTTACTTGAGCAATAATTAAACATGTGTAATCATTCCTTGATGTTTTCTTCTGATATATAAAAAAAGAGGTGGAAGTCAATTGAGTGTCGGCACTTCTTTGATGATTCGGCAACAACTACAGGTGTGTAAACATCAAAGATTCACAGATTATTCAGAAGAGCCGACAAGTCATTTGTCAGAGGTTATTTCGTGTGTAAATTTTGTATTTATTATTTAACAATGGAAACATTATATTCCCTTTATTTATGGATGCTACTTTTTGCGCGAGTGTTTTTGTGTCTTTTGGCGTTATGGAATTTCAACAATCGGCGATAATTTTCAGTAACTAACAATGAAATATTTTAACATTTTTAAAACAGGGGTTCAAATATCCGCCATTCAGAAATTATAGGAGACAAATCTCGCGTGTGCTATTTTTTACAGACGTGTAATAAAATGAGTAATGAACACCCGAGAAAACGAAATGTCCTGGTGTTCCACTATAATTTTTCCAGGTCGTACGGGAATATTTACGCAGGATTAGTTTATCACATCGGTAATTTGACCATGCTTGAATTTATGTCTACATAGTCATTTTTTATATTTCATGTTATGATTACTAGTGAACATGTTTTTTATTGTTTTTGACTGTCTTTTACATGTCAGTTTTGCCGTCGCCGATGATGATAGTGTAGTCCAAATTTCCACAATCTGTTACAACATACTAATAACTTACGTTCAGTAAGAATCATATATCAAAAAAAAAAAAAGCCTACCTACCGACCCACTCCTTATAACTCTGGGTCGGCAATAGCAAACATATATATTATAAAGGATGGCCTAAGAGGTTCATTTCAGAGTAAAACATGAAAATAATTTGTAAGAATCACCTGGAGCTAGGTGAAGTAAGGTTTTCCTCCATTAATTTAAAGAAAGAGTAAAAATAATTATGACCAAAGAATATGTTCACTCAGATAAGAAGTGTAGGGACTAGAAAGGCTCAACTGTAATTGACAACACATGTGATCATATTTTTACCTTTGAGCATATTGTTTAGCCTCCTCCTCCTCTGCCTTCCTTACAGCCAGTTCACTGATTTTCTGTGCCAGCTGCATGTATCGCATACGACTGCTGTATTTGATGGCCAACTGTAACGTATGCTGGTCAGACATCATATCGCATACCTCCAATGCTCGAGCTTCCCTCTCTGATCTTGCTGAAAGCTACGATACATATAACACATTAATAGCTTGAAAATTTTGAAAATAAAATACAAAGAAGCCAATGATGGTTTGAAATAGCCCCACAATAATGTCCTGAAAATTCTCATAAGATGCCTGACATATGACGACTAGGTATAAAAAATATTTTTGTTGTACAACAACAATTTTCAGTAATTCAAAACTGAAATTTTCTAGGGCTTTATGCTATTGTTCATGTTATGATAATGTATACTGCCGAGAGCCGATTCAAATCAATTTTATTAGTTATCTATCTTTTACTCACTTTTTTATTTCTTTTTGTAAGAATTAGACTGAACAACATTCAAATCCAATGATGTTTTATTTTAGTGCACACCTATTTAAATTGCTAACATACAACATCAGATAAATATGCCTAGAAATAGTCTTTTAGTTTCCAAAAATCTTCAGCACAGGCTTTGTTTATCTGTTGTTTTTTCCCCCAATTTTAATACATTTTTCAAAAGCCAATCCACCTAACCACTTTCTTGGATGAATAACCAGTAATTATCACTTCGATGATTTCATGCAATGCTGGATTGTATCTCGATGCACTGGCATTCATGTAATAAAATAACTTGTTCCAAAAATAAGTTTGAATAAAATCTATACAGCAGTATAACAAACTGACTATCAATAATGACTTACAGCAAATAGTTTCATGAGGGCCTCCTGTGCAGGTTTAAGGGCCTCGGCCTTAATTGTCTCATCAAACTCAAACCCTTGTCTGGTCCAATGATCAAAGTGTCCTGACAGTAGGTTTGTCCTCCATAATGACTCCTGAAAATATTCGTTATAATCTTGGATACAATAACATAACTATATAGGCAATGTGTTTTAATAATAATGCATATCTAATTTATCTATTGTTATTGCTAGGTCATATTATCATAAGTACTTTAATATTTGTAACACTAGTCTTCAAACACCAATTTGTACCTTAACCATTTCATTATTATTATATTTAAACAAGAGTGCCATTGTCACAAAAATTAAGATGCTCAAAATAATGAACATCTTTATAAAGTAATACTAAAACCATCCATGTCTGTAGAAGATATGCTCCTGACAATGGTATTCCTCCTATCTCTAAGTGTAACCTTAACATTTGGTCCACACATAACACTTTTTCTCATGGTGGTGAACGTTTTTATCAAGTACTACATAAGTCGTTCCATGCAAGAAGATATGATAAAGACAAAACAAGACGCAGCAAGCCTGTGTAGGGCCATGCTTTAACAAGTTTTTTCAAACGTGCATACAAAAAGTTTAAACTCTTTACTGGTTAAAAACAACATTATGTAAAATAATATTTTTTAACAATAAATTTGCTAAACAGTTAAATAAAAAGCATAAGAATTACCTCATATTGACTTTTCTCTGTGGCAAGTTCACATAAAGGTATCTGGAAGGGCAAAATGACAGGAGCTGGCCTGGGTAAAGTGGCAGGGTATCTTGAGCCCTTACATGGTATACACCTACAACAAATATACTCTTTCTCCTTTTTATTTATATAATTCATTATTTTCAATCTTTATTCACTTTTATCTAACACGGACACTGTGAATAACAAATAGTGACTTCCTAGCTAAAGACCTCATGTGCCTCTTCTTGAGAACATAGACAATGAACTTTCTTAAGTTTACTGACATGATGCACATGATGACCCCTTACTATTTTGACTTAAAAAAGAAAGTGTCATGTCAATCTATTTAAAAGTCATTATATATATAGTAATGGTAAAATTACCTGAGCTGTTGGGGGTTTTCATGGATACCAACTATCCAGTAATGGTCTGATTTTCCTTTGGCCTGTAAAACATTATCAATTTTAAAACACAAATCATGCAGGAGGTTTCTTAACATATTATTTGCTTTTCAACACTTACTCTAAAACTCACATGTCCTGTAGGGTTTATTTTAATTGATAAAGATTTTAAACTAATGATTATTTTTTTAAAAAATACTTCAAAATAATTCAATTAAAGCACTTGCAACAAAAATTGCACACTTTCATACTTAATAAACATAGGCTTTTTATCTGTTAAGGTGCTTTGCATTATCTAAAACTTACATTTGTCCTTGTGTTAGCAACCTGTACCCATGTTTTACCCATATTTCTACAAAGCATTCGCACAATTCCAGTAGAATCCATATAAAATGGTGTTCCTTCAGCCGAGAACCTGAAAATATGTTTTTCATTTGATAAAAGGAAACTGTATCATAGTATTATGGGGGCATTCTAGCTTCATAAAGCAAATTTTCAAGACACCTTGATATTGTACATGTCTTATGATGATGACTTTCTAAATAACACCTGAAAAATAAAACCTCTTATCTCCATGCACTATTTTTTGTCAAGCATATTAATTATATTTTGTATGCAAGCTGAGTACCTTTCTTCCATACCTGACAGTTCCAAACAGTTCAGTCAATGCAGTAGATATAGCCAATAGCTTTGTTGTGACACCATAATTTAAAGTATTATTTTTCCTTCTAAAACTACATAGTTCAAACATAACAGCAGAGACTACATACCCTGCCCATGCCAATGTAGACTTAGATGACAATGGTAAAGGTTCTCCATGGATTTCCCTCTTCCATTCTCTTACATCCAACAAAGAAACACCAAGACACTGTTCACCAGGTATTCCTGTAATAATATGTCATCAGCATATTAATATTTTGTGAAATTAGGGTGTATCTAATATTATGTTGAAAAAATTCAAATTATCTCTCATATTTTAATTTTTTATCTTTAAATGATTTAATCAGCAATTCAGGCATAATTTCTGAAACAAAATAATTATTTTAACCATACCCATTCCTCTGTGGTAAACAATCATCAGCTGGTTTTGATGTCCACTCATACACACCACTGGTCCTGGCAGGGTAAATATCTCCTTCTGTACACCAGCCACTGAGAACAGACGCAAGTTTCTAAGTTCTGTGGCAGCTGCAAGCCATCCCTCACCAAGTGTAACACACTGAATCTCCTCCTCGTCGGGCATACTAATGCTCCATTCTTTATTGTTGTCCCAGGATGAAAAATGCATGCAAGTGAGTTTACTGGAATAAAAGAAATATATATCAACAAATATAGAATGTTTCTAATTTATCTATACAATTTCTAAGGTTACAAGAAAGTAAAAATCATTGAAAACTCTTAACATCTGAAGGTTGTTCATGTGCTCAAAAATTACCTTTAAACTTCAAATTATTTTAATCCAAACAAGTTTAATTCTAGTACTTAAAAGCCACAAGGAACGAAACAAGAACTTTCAGAAAATTCTGTCTTACAATTGTCGACGTCTTTGTTGACTTATAAACAAAAAACCAGTCTGCTTAAAACAAAATTGTTCTAATCACAAACTATTTTTACCTTGCAGCATCAGAATCCCCCTCTGTTGCTAGGACAACAGCCTCAGTAGACAAGTCTGACATAGTGTAATTAAAGTTGTTCATTATATGCATAGCATGATGTATGGATGTATCATGGAACTCTATATCAATAGAATTCTCATCATCTGAGTTGTACTGTTTCACAACTCCCACAGAGTTCCACACCTGTAAGTGACAAAAATCAAATGTGATGACAGGGTACTCGAACATTTTACTCTCTGATATCATTCAGACACCTTGATATAACCACAAACCTTTCTTCAACCATCCAATCTGATCTACTCTGCAATATGCTTCACAACAGACCACCAACATAATAAGGCAACATATTGGAACTTTCAGTCACATGATTCGATTTAATTTCAGCTATTTTGTTTGTTTTCATTTTGGTTGTAAAATTTCAAAAATTTAATAATTTAGTCATTACTTATTTTATTCCATTATTGTAACTTTAGTCAGTTGAAAACATAATAGAAGAAGAGGTATCACTTAGAGAAATACTGAGAGATGTGTCATTTGTCATTTTCTTGCAAAAGAGCACTGCCTAATAACCCAAGCAAACTTCTGTGACGTGAAATCAAAGTCTCTTAACCAAAGTATACAGGAAGAGCAGACGTTTTGCTATTGCACATTCCTAACATAAAAATTTCAATATCACTTAGATTCAGGATTTTTCAAATCCACAGAAATGTGAAGCAAATGACCCAGTCAGCAACTTTTACCACTAGGGAGCCCCTGTAGAAGGCATCTGTAAATGTAAGTGTCCATCGCAGTAAGTGTCAATTACCAGTTGAATGAACTACTTTCATAACAGAAGATGTTTTAAAATATCCTAATGTAAAAATTGTCAAAGATACATACCATAAACCTACTAGAAAGATGTTCAGGTGTTGAGCCAGGCTGAAAGGGCCTCTGTAGAGGAGTGGGTTTGAATCCCTCAATGCGGACTTCTGGCTTTGGTATTTCAGACTTCTCAGAGGTTATACTTGAGGCATCATCATCTGCTTTCTTGAAGTCAGGAATACTATCTGCAAGTTCAATACATTTTGTTGCTGAATTTCAAGTCATACAATAGGGGCCCTTTGTGCATTTTTGTAGACACATAACAAATCAGATTTGAAAAATTGACAAAGTAACCTTCCTGGATTTATGCACAAAATTATTATAACCAGGAAAGGAGCACCATATATGATCTGTAGGAAAGGATTGAGAGTCAAAAGCAAATTCAAGAAGGTAAAATTTAACTAAACTTTTATATTATTTACTTTGTATTTTAAAGAAAAGCTAGTGACTGACCCGAAGCAAAACTTTCCATTTTTTCCATGACAAGCAATATCTCATAAAGGGACACATGTTTTATTATCATGAGAAGTGTAAATGGCATGATAAAAGTTGGGGTTTTTTTATGATAAAAGTTCTGCACATTAAGTAATCATCAAAGCACTCAAATGACTGGTGGGTTTTTCGAGTCATACCTTCAGAACTAAAGAAATTCGGCAATTTTTAGCCTACAGTGTTAAAGGCGAAGATTTGATGTTTTTAAAATGCTTTATTTCACTTCAGAGACAACATGAAGCCAGTGTAAAACCAGGAAACTAGCAGAAAATCTTACATGAAGGTATCCCCCATTATGACCCTTACATGCATGTTAATGCTAAAAATAAAGATGTATATGAGAAAATAATCTGGGTAAATTGACAGCTGAAAAGGCAATAAAGGGGGCAAATGTAGTGAAAAATAGTAAACCAGAACATGCAGCTAATATGCACAGATTTGTACTGAAATTTCGATAAATACAAGCCAGTAGTTTCTGAAAAATATTCCAGACAAAGTTTCCAGATGAATTGAAAAAGCCATGACTAAGTGGGTTCCCTTTTTGGGAGCATAAATTGTGAGTAAAATTACCTCCATCATCATCTGAGAAGAGAGGTTGTGTAGGTTTAGATGTTACACCTGTCATGTCATCATCACTAGCCATTGTATCATCATCATTTGTAGCTTGTATGAGAAAATCATCATCTTCATCATCAAATACACCGCTCGCTACCTTACTACTACCTTCATCATCCTGTTTAACATTCATAATCATTATTATTATACTTATGCTCACAAAATTGCTTCATACTTATATGGTTTATGTATCTTTAATTTATATGCAAACAACTATAGTATCAGAATGCTGAGGCAAGCTTTCAAAACCTATGGCAAAAATGCTAAAATGTTTTGGATGTAATACAGTACGAGGAAATCTGAAAATGTTCATGCAAGAAATTTGTGCATAATGCACCTTTTTTTATTTTCTTAAATAAAAATTGTTTTCCAAAGGTTAGCTTATTTAAGATTTATGCCTTCTAGTCTTCATGGAAAGGATTTTGATTAGCTTGACATCAATTTGAACATTGTATAATTATAAATAAAAATCTTCTGCTGACATGGCATAAAATTTTATGAAAATGAAGTGGAAAAACCTACATACCTTTTCTTTTTCTGTTATAGATATTTCACTTAACTGTCCAAGTTGACCCTGGAATCAAAACAAACGAGAGAATTAGTAACATATTAAAGGCCAGACATGTCCTTTCACTAAATATTTAAGTACAGCCAAAATGTTTATCCGTCTTACTCAAGGTATTCTGTCAACATGTAGAGAAAAAAAGGGATAAAATGAAAATTGCATAAAAGCTATTCTAATCTACTAAATTCATCTAATTGCATTCACTTTACAGTAAAATAAATATAATTCTTCATATGAGTTTTAACTTGATAAAAGTACTTGTCAGTAAAAAAAAGGATTTTTAAGAACTACATTGTACACAACTTGATAAATATTTGTAGAAGTAAAACTAATGCACTTTGACCTGAAAACATAGGTTGCCTTACTTAACATACCTGATTATCACAGAAAACAAGTTCCATATTTCCTTTTGGATTCCAAGCTAAAGACATGATAGAGAGCCCTTTCTCATTCTTATGTCTGTAATAATCAATATACTTTTTATAATACTTTCATACCTTTTAATATACACTTTAGTTTAAAACTAGAACTATCACTAAATGTGATTAATACCCCCACAAAACTGCTTCGGAAATGAGGATGTTACTAGTAACAGAATACCTTGTAAAAGAATTGAAATATAGAGTTATGGTTGTGGGCAATTAAAGATAGTTGTGGTTCTTGTATATTGCATTTCCTTTCAATGTGGTTGACCATTGAAGAAGTTTTATTGAATTACTCTGTAATAAGTCCAGAAATACAAAGAAAAGGAACAAAGGGCAATAACTCTATAAATACTGAAGATGGAGTTATAGTTCTTGTGCACTGCACTTCCTCCCTCTTTTTGTGCTTGACCATTGTATGAAGTTGTTTTGAATTTCAACCAGTACGTTTTAAGTTATGCTCCAGACAAGGAAAAGTATCAAAGGGCAGTAACTCTGTATTTTGTCAAAATGGAGTTATGGCTCTTATGCACTGCACTTCCTTTTAATGTCCTTGACAACTGTATGAAGTTGTATTGAATTCCAAACAGTAGTTTTCAAGTTATGCTCTGGACAAGGAAAAGTAACAAAGGGCAATAACTCTGTAATTAGTCAAGATAGAGTTATAATTCTTGTGCACTGCACTTCCTCTTAATGTGCTTGACCATTGTATGTAGTTATATTGAATTCCAACCATTAGTCTTCAAGTTATGGTCCGGACAAAAGAAAGCAATGGAAAAGTAACAAAGGGCAATAACTCTGTAATTACTTTAGATAGAGTTATGGTTCTTGTGCACTGCACTTCCCCTTATTGTGTTTGACAATTGTATGAAGTTGTTTTGAATTCCAACCAGTAGTTTTCAAGTTATGCCCCGGACAAGGAAAAGTAACAAAGGGCAATAACTCTGTAATTAGTCAAGATAGAGTTATGGTTCTTGTGCACTGCACTTCCTCTCAATGTGCTTGACCATTGTATGTAGTTATATTGAATTCCAACCATTAGTCTTCAAGTTATGGTCCAGACAAGGAAAATGCAACAGACGTCTGGACCGACCGACCGACCGACCACCGGGTGACTCCTATATACCCCCCCAAACTTCGTTTTTGGGGGTATAAATATATATTTTAGCTAGAATGAGATTATCAATATTATATTTTAGCTAGAATGAGATTATCAATATTAGGTTTATAATGTTGAAAGCTTTAGGTTTGTTTGGACAACTCTAGAGACTTTAGAATTCACCACTATTAGTCATATGAGGAATCATGGCTGTGACCAAGTAAGGCTCAAACTCACAATCCCAGGTTGAGAGGCAGACACATTAACTACTTGCCTTTCCCTTTCTTTCAGATACTATAGATAGTTCTATTAAACAGATATTAACTATAATGAAAGTTTGAAACAGTGACTTTGTAAATAGGGATCATTTATACATCTAGACAGTCAAAAGCAGTTTAAAATAAGAAAGAGTAAGTCAAACCAAGGCTATAGCAGTTTTTAAAATAGAAATACATGTACAAGGTCAAACCAAGACTGTTCATAAACAACATTTCCAAGTCTGTAAACAAAGGCATCAATACAATAACATGCTAACATTTATATCTATACTTATTGAATGTATAGAAAAAATATCACTTACTTATCAACACATTTCTTGGACTGTAGATTGAACACACAAATCCAACCATCAGACCCTCCTGCTGCTAGGTATTTCCCATCTGGACTAACAGCCAGCACTGATACATGCTATAAATATTCAAATACTAAAATATTAAGAAACAAAAATACACATTTTCAAAAAGAAAAAAACATCTTTAAAAATCTTTAAATACCATACCAATATATCTATCAAATCACAAAATTTACAAACTTAAAATTCTCACAAAACCAACCTTCCCACCATTATCATCACATAAGTGGAACAATTAAAGGGCCATAACTCTGCCAAAATTGATCAAAATACAAATTACTGACAATATGGGCCAGGGCATTCTGTAAAAGTTCGGTTATAATCCATTGAGAAATGTAGGACGGGCATAAAGGGGAAATTTAATTCCTATAGATTAATATCCTAAATGTAAAATTTTGTAAAATAGACCAATATCTCTTGCAGAGAGTCAACAGGCAACATCTCACAAATTTTTAAAATTTTGAAAAATATCAAAGTTTCACTATACCTCAGTAAATGATGAGTCAGTCAAGGTAGATAGTTTCTTCCATGTTTCTCTCTCATACATATGAATCTCTTTCTGAACTGGTATGAAGAGTATCTACATAAAATAGACATCAAATCTTATCATTCTTGTAACCATAACCTTTTACAATTTCAGTTTTATTTTTTTGTTTTGTTTTTGTTTTTTGCATTAATTTATAATTTAAAATCATAGCATATAGCGTTAAAGAAGCAATAAGTATAATTCTATGAAATTTCCCCCATAAAAGCATTTACTAACCTAAATTAATTCCCCTTTTCAAATAATTTTGGTACAGAAACATAGACCAAACATTACTCACTTTCCCATTTTCTGGTTCCCAGCACATCCTACACATTGTTTTTGACAAACTGTTGATATAAAAGAAACATGCACAACAATGTCTAAATTCTTTATTCTAACACGACCCGCATTTTTCACTATTGAATATAGAAGAACCGAAAGTGTGTGTTATTATGCAACAGAGTCACAGTTGACGTTCTATATTTAGATATGTGACGTAATCATTATACATGTGACGTAACCACTAAAAGAATCTGACGCGCTTAAAATAAGTACGGAAACAAATCAGGCGCAATTTTGCTTAATATCAGGTACGGCAGCATTTATTTGTTGATGTCGTGTTAGAATCGAAATAATATATCCAAATCGGTGATTTTATCGCTTGATAACATCACTGTTTGTCGTTCAGATGCGCATCATTATATCACTCGGGCTACGCCCTCGTGATATAATTCCTCGCATCCGAACTCCAAACAGTGATGTTATTGAGCGATAAAATCACTGTTTGGGATATATTATTTCTTAATTCAAATTTCATTGCAAAGTAACATTTTCAGTAAATTTCTTAAAAAAATTATTTAAAAACTTGGTCAATTTTAATTTTAGATTGTCACTTCAATGTAAATATATTGCAAACAAGTTCATATGAATCCATCTTCATAAAGGTTTAAAGCTCTTCACTACATCAAAGCATAAGCAACATTCTGTAAGAGTGCAAAATAATAGTAACCCTTCAAAAGTCCTTGCAAAATATCTAAATCATAAAATAATGCAAATTCTTGTTGGGGGAAAAAACACCTACAATGACAAAAAGAGTGTAACTTATCGTTTGCATCCCATAATTTTTCTAATGTTTTACAAAATCATAATCAAATCGCTTTTGTTTCCATTAAAATTTTGTTCTAGTAGCAACAATGCATGAAACTGTGTCTTAAAATGGATTAAAATTGAATGTTAATTCAAGATTTTTAGAGCAGATGACTTGCTTAGACAAATCTAATTTGTATGCACTATTATTGAATTACACAGCAAAAGATGTTACCACAAGGGCTAGGATCAGTTCTAGTTATACATTGAGATACAATGGACTGGGCATTTTATTTCGAGAGAAACGGAATTCGAGTAACGTGAAACTGCCGCCATTTCGTTGACATTCGTACATGTATATTTTTTTTATATACGTGCCTGATTAAATGTGCAAAGAAGTAGGTTTGTTATTGTTGTTAGCGGCAATGCTACAATATTTAACCGTTGAAATGACGGTAAATCACTTACAACTTCAAATTATAAATGAACAAAAATATATCATTCAAAATTTAATACATGTAAATTAAAAGTGAAACATAAACACACAATTATATTTGATTTAATTGATCATCGGACGAAAACGAAAGTAGCAACTATCATGAACCGGAAGTACAAATTAATGTATGCAAAATGACGGAACATTAATTATTTTTGATAACACACATCAATACTTAGGCTGTTATTTGACTAACACCCGTCAGACTGGCACGAATCAACTTTCTTTAAAAATGTAATTAAATTTTAATTTTAAGTTATCTAACTATTAAAACCAAATAAGTGCTGAAACAGATAAAAGCCACTTATACGACGTGTTAACAATACATGATGACCGGCAATTAAAAATTACTATGAAACGTGTAAATCACAAGTGACAACATCTCACCTTGATGTCGCCGACCTTTGATCAGTCGGCTGTTTTCACACTTCGACTAATTAAGATGAAAATATGTTAGACTTTAATTGACGGGACCAAATTTTCTTTTCGACTAAACAGGAGTCTCGGTAAGTCAAAATTTGACATAAGCGGAGTTAAAATACAAAGATAAAGAAGGAAATTTGACGGGACTTTAGAAATTCTTCGACTTACGCGGATTTTGAGTAAAGCGATTTTGACTTATTGAGAGTCAACTGTATATCTAAATAAGAATCTTGTATACCTCGCATCACTACACTTAGGTAGAAGAGAGAAAGATTGTATCTGTGAACGATCACTCATCTTCCATAGCCGGACAGTTCCATCACAACTTGAAGAAACCTTAATAAATATAAAAAACTTTTAGCACTGATTGTTTATGGTAATAATGAGTTGCCTATGTCACCAGTATAGCACAAAACCAGTCTGCATTTTGGTTCAGTCTGTGTTTATGTTAAAAAGTTAAACATAAAAATTTAACCAGTCAATTGTGAATGCTGGCCTAAATTTACAATGCTTGCATGGAGTCAAGACAAGTCATTATCAGACCATTGTACTTAAAAGAAAAAATTAAATAGATAGGCATTAAGTACAAGATACATCTAGTAGAATGTACTACTTTAATGACACCATGTTTAAACCATTTTACTGTTAATAATAGACAAATAGCAAATAAAGTAGGAATCTCAATGACATGATAGATCAATTAATGTCTTGAATACATTTCCTATACAAGAATAATAGGTACTGTAAAATATCAATAAAATTTGAACTTTTTGAATTCTAATTCATTTTTAATGATGAAACGAAAAGGAAAAAGATCATATAATTAACCAACCAAGAATTCTTCCTTTGGATCTATAGCCACACTGAGTACAGGTGCTTCATGTCCCTGGCAGGTTTTATAACTACAATTGCTCACATCAACAATCTTTATAGTAAAATCACTGGAAAAAACACATTCTTTTACATAAAAATTACTCTCATTCCAAACATCCTTTACACACTGCCTGATCTCTTCAATTAAAATCCAATAAATACTTCAAAATATTTGTTTATACATAGACTTAACAGCAAGTTTACGCAAAAGTTAATATTTCAAACAACTTAACATTATAAATTGTCATATCATTGTTTAAAACAAGAGCCCGGTTTGAGCCGGGTGATGCTCCCCAAATAGGTTTTGGACACAGGAAAGTACACCTCTTGTAGTTTCAGAGTTATGTCTCTGGAAAAAGTTCAAAGTGCAATTATTCCAAAATTAGGCACGGCAGAGTTACTGTTCTTTGCACTGCACTTCTAATCTATGTAATCTATCAACCTACAAAGTTTCTTGATAATATCTCTTATGATTTCTGAGTAATGTCCCGGACAACTTCAAAAAGTAAAAATAAACAAAGGGCAATAACTCCAGAATTAGGCAAGGCAGAGTTATGATTCTTGTGCACTGCACATCTACCTATTGAGATATATCTACCTACAAAGTTCCATGTTGATATCTCTTATAGTTCTACAGCTATGTCCTGGACAAGATTTTTCTAAAAAGGGAGATAATTCAAAAATGAGGCTTAACAGAGTTATGGTTCTTTTGCACTGCACCTCTACTCAATGAGATCTATCTACCTACAATGTTTCATCTTGATATCTCTTATCATTTTAGAGTTATGTTCTGGACAAAGTTCAAAGTGTTAAAATTAACAAAGGGCAATAACTCAAAAATTAGGACAAAAAAAGTTATTGTTCTTATGCACTGCACATCTACCCATTGAGATATATCTACCTACAAAGTTTCATGTTGATATCTCTTATAGTTTTACAGCTATGTTCTGGACAAGATTTTTCTAAAAAGGGAGATAATTCAAAAATGAGGCTTAACAGAGTTATAGTTCTTTTGCACTGCACCTCTACTCAATGAGATCTATCTACCTACAATGTTTCATCTTGATATCTCTTATAATTTTAGAGTTATGTTCCGGACAAAGTTCAAAGTGTTAAAATTAACAAAGGGCAATAACTCCAAAATTAGGACAAAAAGAGTTATTGTTCTTATGCACTGCACATCTACCCATTGAGATCTATTCACCTACAAAGTTTCATGTTGATATCTCTTATAGTTTGAGAGTTATGCCCCGGACAAGATTTTTCTATAAGGGGAGATAATTCAAAAACCGAGCAAAATAGAGTTATGGTTCTTTGACACTGCACTCCCCCTCAATGCCCTCTACCACTGTATGAAGTTTCAACAAATTATCTCCAAGGGTTTTCAAGTTATGCTCCGGACAAGACAACGGACAGACGGACGGACGGACTGACAGACAGACAAGGCGCCGACTATATGCTCCCCCGAAATTTTTCGGGGAGCATAAAAATAAATGCTGCAAATATACAAATTATACATAGGAACATACCTAGCACCAGCAACTAGAGTTGAACCACTTTTATTTAAAACAATGTGATTGGCAGGGGCAGTAAATCTTGTCAAAATACCATCTGGAGTACCATCAGGAAATGTATATGCTTGAATTGTGTTTGTATCAGTTGCTGCAAAGTAGCGGTTTCCCTGAGATGAAAATACAACATTGATGGAATTAAGAAAATACAACATTGATGGAATTAAGGGAAAAAAACATTGATAGAATTAAGGCTCTAAGAGTAAAGAACACAAATATCGCAAGTAACTATCAAAAGAACCAGGGCTTTTTTTCCTTCTATAGCCGGGGCCAGTATGGGACTGCTTCCCCAAAGAAAAATTCTTTAGTTTAAAAGCATGCAGTTTTCCCTAAAATTTGAATTAAGTTTTTTCTTCCCCTTTTGCAAATATATCGAGCAATGTTTCCCCAAAATCAAAGGCAGGACTGCTTCCCCAACCTGTTAAAAAGCCCTGAGAACAATGAGAAAAATATTAACAATGGAAAAAATCTGTCAAGCAAAAACAATACTGAGTACATTTTTTATTTTAACATAGTCTCCATAAGGCCATCCTTAAACAAGAGCTGTCGGTAGGACAGCAACGCTCGACTATTCTAGTGCTTGATAGTAAAAAATAATGCTTGATAGAGTTACCTACTCCTGTTTACAGGTTGGTGTCATGATGGTGAACAAGTATGCAAAGTTTCAAAGCCATATGTCAATGGACTTTGAAAATATTTGAGGTATTACAAAAAACTTTAATGTAAATTCTAAGTCGAAAAAGGGGCATAATTCTGTCAAAATGCTTGATAGAGTTACCTCCTCCTGTCTACAGGTTGGTGTCATGATGGTGAACAAGTGTGCAAAGTTTCAAAGCCATATGTCAATGGACTTTGAAAATATTTGAACTATTACAACAAGAGCTGTCGGTAGGACAGCATGCTCGACTATTCTTAGTGCTTGATAAAAAAAAAAGGCCTGATACAGTTACCTCCTCCTGTTTACAGGTTGGGGTCATGATGGTGAACAAGTGTGCAAAGTTTCAAAGCCATATGTCAATGGACTTTGAAAATATTTGAACTATTACAAAAACTTTAACGTAAATTCTAAGTCGAAAAAGGGGCATAATTCTGTCAAAATGCTTGATAGAGTTACCTCCTCCTGTTTACAGGTTGGGGTCATGATGTTGAACAAGCGTGCAAAGTTTCAAAGCCATATGTCAATGGACTTTGAAAATATTTGAACTATTACAAAAACTTTAACGTAAATTCTAAGTCGAAAAAGGGGCATAATTCTGTCAAAATGCTTAATAGAGTTACCTCCTGCTGTCTACAGGTTGGGGTCATGATGTTGAACAAGTGTGCAAAGTTTCAAAGCCATATGTCTATGGACTTTGAAAATATTTGAACTATTACAAAAACTTTAACGTAAATTCTAAGTCGAAAAAGGGGCATAATTCTGTCAAAATGCTTGATAGAGTTACCTCCTCCTGTCTACAGGTTGGGGTCATGATGGTGAACAAGTGTGCAAAGTTTCAAAGCCATATGTCAATGGACTTTGAAAATATTTGAACTATTACAAAAACTTTCACGTAAATTCTAAGTCGAAAAAGGGGCATAATTCTGTCAAAATGCTTGATAGAGTTACCTCCTCCTGTCTACAGGTTGGGGTCATGATGGTGAACAAGTGTGCAAAGTTTCAAAGCCATATGTCAATGGACTTTGAAAATATTTGAACTATTACAAAAACTTTAACGTAAATTCTAAGTCGAAAAAGGGGCATAATTCTGTCAAAATGCTTGATAGAGTTACCTCCTCCTGTCTACAGGTTGGGGTCATGATGGTGAACAAGTGTGCAAAGTTTCAAAGCCATATGTCAATGGACTTTGAAAATATTTGAACTATTACAAAAACTTTAACATAAGTGGTTACGCCGACACCGACGCTCGGGTGACTGCAATAGCTCTACTTATTCTTATCGAATAGTCGAGCTAAAAACTTTAACGTAAATTCTAAGTCGAAAAAAGGGGCATAATTCTGTCAAAATGCTTGATAGAGTTACCTCCTCCTGTCTACAGGTGGGGGTCATGATGGTGAACAAGTGTGCAAAGTTTCAAAGCCATATGTCTATGGACTTTGAAAATATTTGAACTATTACAAAAACTTTAACGTAAATTCTAAGTCGAAAAAAGGGGCATAATTCTGTCAAAATGCTTGATACAGTTACCTCCTCTTGTCTACAGGTGGGGGTCATGATGGTGAACAAGTGTGCAAAGTTTCAAAGCCATATGTCAATGGACTTTGAAAATATTTGAGGTATTACAAAAACTTTAACATAAATTCTAAGTTGAAAAAGGGGCATAATTCTGTCAAAATGCTTGATAGAGTTACCTCCTCCTGTCTACAGGTTGGGGTCATGATGGTGAACAAGTGTGCAAAGTTTCAAAGCCATATGTCAATGGACTTTGAAAATATTTGAACTATTACAAAAACTTTAACATAAGTGGTTACGCCGACGCCGACGCTCGGGTGACTACAATAGCTCTACTTATTCTTATCGAATAGTCGAGCTAAAAAATGTTTGTTTGCAGTAACCCGACCCAGAATTTTCAAGGTGGGTAGGTAGGTCGATTTTTTTTTTAATTTTTTTTTATTGAACTGTACTCCCAAATAAACATGAAATTTCAAAATGCTGGACATTATATGCTTTGATAATCTGGTAACAATTAATAAATTGATAACTGAATTCTAATTTAATAAGACCTACATTTTATTTCTTCTATTAACCTTTAAAAGAACGAAAACAAAGCACAAGGCATAATTTTCTGATTCCAAAAAAAAAAATTTTTTATCCAGACCATGAAAAAAAAATTTGAGTAGGGACAAATTTTGTGAGTCGGTTGCGTTACTGCAAACGAACATTTTTTTAAGGATGGCCTAAGCAGACAAAGAAAGAAAAAAAATAAGACTTCACAGAGCCTCAAGAGGTACCGTACAACTTGGTTTCTCTAAATAAAAGTGTCCTACATACTGGAGTCCCTCTCCCAAATAATGTGCATTTAGATTATTTAGGTACTTTTTATAAAAAAAATAATTATAGCAATATCTTCACCTTGATGGCTATGGCAAATGACTTGTCTCCACACCTGTGAGAGATAGCATCATCATCTTCTATACCATCCCATATCCTCACATCACCATCAGATCCACAAGTCAATATATACCTTAAAACATAACATTTACTATATTATATACATAATATGATAAAGAATAGACAACTTCAGATTTATTGAGAGAGTGCAATAAATTAGTAACTTTGTATGACTCAACAACTAACTAACATGTTGTACTGTCATTTTGTATTATTTTATAATACTGTGTGTCACTAGTTTTTGGCCCATTTAATTCCTTGTAATGGTCTTACAACATGAACAAATTTGTCCATTTTCAATGAGCCAAAACCGCTTTGCTATTCAAAATTATCATGATCATATTTACCTAACTGATCACTGGGCAATTGCTGAGAAAGAACCAGTCAGAGGTTCTGCCCAAAAGCTTAACACAGAGTGAAATAACTGCCTGGAATAGGGCTATTTTATTTGTGGCTCACAAATTCACATGCCTGTGACAAACACAACATTAAAAAATCTACTGGTTTGTTAGCCAAAAGTCAAATCAGACAAGTCAGAATAGGAATTCCATATCCTTGTTAACACTTGTTAATTACATATACCAGATGCACACATCATGTATGAAAGAGAAGTAGCATGTATTGTGATGATGTACATTTCATCTGCCAAAGTGGCTAAGCAATTTGCATTTAGCTTTAATGGTCTTAATGCAACAGAACCGTTTTTATTCCATACATCAACATTCAATTTCTTCATTGAATACTGGCATTATTCTAAGTTCTGATCCATGTGAGGAACTATATTATGACTATCTACATGTATCTATATTCCATTAATGTCAAACCCCTCGTTGGAACAAAGACAAAGTGCAAGAAAACTAGAAAGAGTTGTTTAAAAGGGGATAAGGAAGCATATTGTTAAAAATAGGAGGGCTGGAAAACTAGGCTGAGACATGTCCAATGCAAGCCATGAGTGCAATGAACTGCTCTGGGATAGGGAGTGGAATGAGAATAGTCTGATGTTGCTGTGAATTACCTATAACACAGACTGAGAGGATGGACATGGTGTGATGTTTAGGGGTGGGGTGTCACATATTCTTCTGCAGGGATAGCAACCAGATCATGGTGAACACTATTGTAGAAAAGGGATATCCTAGCAGTGATTAATCTAGAAATTCTTTACAATGCATCTGACGACACATATGTTTGAAAACAAACCCAAATCAATGAGTCTTGTCACAAAATAAATGCATCTTAGCAGAAAAAATACATTTTCAATTGCAGATCCTTGATATGATCTGTATGTATTTTTAAACAAGGGATTAAGTGATATTTAGTATATAAATAGTTATTTTTGGTACTAAATTTATGAAATATTTCACATGTATATGCACAGCATTAATTAGTAATCAGCTGGGGTATGTGTACACACTTAGACATGCCGAAGTGTTAAATGACCGTTTTTTAATTATTTCACAATTGAGATTTTTTCAGACTAAAGTTTTAATATTAATCAACATGTTTGGTTTACAAAATTTATTTTAGTTTAATTGTGTAGGAAACTATAAGCTTATAGACACACTTTCGAATCCGTTCCTGGAACCAACTAGTACTGAGCAATGAGTGTAAAGTTTCTTTCTCAAGGAAACAACGACTTGCCCCTGATGGGGTTGGAACCAAAATGCCGAAAATGGGCTGTTACGGTCACAAGCAACAATTGCCTGGGATTTAACGTTTTAGGCAAATGGGGGATGAGTCTTGTCCCTGTAATAGTCTGAAATTAAATTATTCATCTGATGAATGCATGCATCAAATGGGACGCACATATTTTGAAACCATGCGTATTTTTTTACTTTTATACATATTTTACGCGGGACGCACATCTAGATAAATCACTGTACTAGCATCTATATGAGTTCCAGTTTTTGAACCTTCAGGGAGTAAAGCATGTTCTTGAAGCTAGGTTTGACTATAATCTAGCTTAATCCATAGGGCTGCTCTTCTTTGAACATTTTCAATTTCTACTTCTTGTAATTTGGTGAGACTATACTTCTGAACTCGACTTGAAATTTGAACCATTTTCAGGTAGAAATACCTATCATCTGGCAGGTTTACTTTCCCTTCTTTATTTCTTGCTGTTAAAGTATTTTATTTGTGACTCGACATGCCACTTTTTCTTCAAGAGTGTGAGAAATTTGACAGATATGGAAGTAAGACGAAAGTTACGAATTAATATGAGGACGAATTAAGTTATGAAGCAAATTTTGAAAGAATACCTTCCCGATTCTTCGTAACAAACGTCAGTAAAACCGTCACTGTGGGCATAACGCATTGATTTGGCGGCCGGCATAATTAAGATTTTAATGGAGGTTGATACAGTCACGAATTCAATGTTTAGCACAATACTTGCAGATTCCCGCACTCTTTTTGTTTACAAAGTGCGCTAAAACGTGCATAAATTCTGTATTATCCCGTTTTATTCCTTTCTATACCAGTAGAGAATAAAATCTGTAATCATATCACGGTATGTATCCGGATCATCGGGGCCCGATAAGAACAGGCTCGAAGTCTAGAAAACTGTTCTGTATGTTTAAATAAATTAAATTTTGTCTGAAGATGCCAAAGTGAGATGGTTAAAATTTGCTGGCTTCAGCAAAGTTAATAACTGGCTACATTTGAAATGTGATGGATAATGCCTAGGGTAGCTTTTAACAAAATGTTAATTAGCTTTAAGTGTACATTTATAACTATTAATATAAAGAAATGAAAATTTCGTTCTTTTAAAAAATGGTCTTAATGGCGAGCAGGTCTTAATTCAGGGAATTATATATTTCTAAATAAGAATATTTTCTTTGTGTATTCCATGTAACTATAACAAACATTAAACGCAAACCGTTTATGTTGAGTTATTTCTTGAATTTGAAACATCTACAATGTGAGTACATCAGTTTTCATAATTTCAGGGTCGTTTACAACTTTGGCGACTCTTATTTAATTTTTTCATCTATTTAGCATGAATATACAAACATAAGACAAAGACATAAGTTATTTATATACGGAGTCGAGTTAATTTAGTGTTGTAAACATCGAACCTTGAGTTATACGACGGGTAGTTAATATATTTCGAGACAATGTAGACGGATCTTTATCGTGACTGAAATGAACTCCTAACATACAATTTCTTTCATTCATCTTTACCGGCAAAATTTAACTAAACAAAGTGTAGAACCCCAACATGTGAAAAAACGGACTGCCTGGATGTTTCAAATTTGTATTGCAGACAGTGTACATTGACAAGCTCGACATGACAACATTTGTTTGTAAATTTCAAAGGAGCTTAATGGCTGTTCAAAGCCTCACCATTGCATTACTTGATTCCAAAAATAGCTTTCAAATTGTTCAAGTATATTCAATTTCCAGTTCCTAAGTAATCTGTCATTTGTGATTGTAACACCATGTGTTACAAATATTAACTGGAATATTGCAAGGAAGAACATTTACAAAATGTGAATTCCCATCCAAAAAACTTTTTTCAATTGTTCTAGTAGAAGAGGTATCGTTTGGAGAAATATTGACTCACACACACACACACACGCACACGCGCGCGCGCGCGCACACACGCACGCACACACACACACACACGCACACACACACACACACACGAAAGGCAAAGCGTGAACACAAAACGTCCTTTCACAGAAAGAATTGATTAAAAATAATTAATTGACAAATATCCATGCCGAATTAATTTAAATCCTGGTCATTATCTTGTTTAAATCATATATTATCTTTTGCAAACTTCAAGGAAGCCAGCGATTTCATTTGAAAACGTTTGATTTTAAGTCATTTTTAAAGAAAGGCGTTTCCAAAATATTATTTTTGTCGACAGAGAAACATTAAAGGGTCAGATAGTTAAATCAAGAATGGAAATTTGAGTACTTTTGAGCAACCGGTCGAAATTTCCTCCTTCTATAATGATTTTCACCATGATGCAGGAGATGTTTACAGTCACCCAAAGCAGTTTATATTGCTAATGTTTGCCTACATCAGTTTCAATAAACAACTTTAAAATTGGCAAAATTAAAATTCATAACAATATACATGTACAGTATTTTCTTACACAGTATTTGTTATCTACTTTCTCTGTATAAAAAAATTAAAACACATATATTGGTTTTAAAATAATTTGAAATTAGCATGGAATATCTATCGAAATGCAAATTCGAGAGATGATGAAAATAATAGATGGGCAATTATAAGATCCTTAATTGTTTAAACTACACTAAATATGTAAAACAGAACTTTGCCTCGTAACAGATTAATCAATTGTTTAATAAAAAATTGTATTTTTTGAATTTCAATACTTTAAAAAATAGAATTCGAGGTGTGTATTGTATGTATGTATGTTTATTTTTATGTACATGTATATACTGTATGTGTGTTTGATAATGTTTACATTAACATAATTATTATGTAATATATACATTGTATATTAATAATGTAAGGTATGATGGAGGATGACCTGACCCCCTCATACCTATTACGGGGTAAATAAACAGGGTTAACCAGAGGGGGGGGGGCCTTAAAAATAAAACAAAAGCAAAAAACTGAAGAAAGACAAAAACTGTCTCAAGTTAAAATCCTAGCTTGTTTAAGAGAGTTGATATATAGATCTCAATTTGTCGTTTACTTCAAGCCCAACTTGTGAATGTTGTGGAAATTATAAATTGCTGAACACTACATTTTAGATAGATTTTTACACTGATTAAACACATGTGAGCAAAAATTAGGTACATCAATATTTTAGTTTAAACAAATTATTGTCGTACATAACCTAAAAAAAATTGTGTGCCAAAAGGTATAATTACAGCTGTAGCATGTACAGGGTAGTGATTATGGTTGACTTCCCTTGTTTCACAAGTTAAGATCAAAGTTCCGTGTCAATCTGGGATATCCCCGCCCCTACCAAGACGCCTTCCCTCAATCTTAAAATGCATCACTGGACATTGTCCCTAGCGTAAAGTGTAAAGACGGACATTTGCCCCACCTGTTTGGAAATTTGCTAAATGAATATCAAATGCAGTCTTTATTTCAATAAAAATGCAAAAATATTTATAGTTATGTTTAATGATATTTTATCAGATCGCTACATTTATTACTAAAAATACGCTATATATTTATCTATTTTCAATTTAAAAACTAACCCTTTATGAAAAACTCTATCAAAATATTTTGAAATACATTGTATCACAAAGTATTATATACATGTCGACTTCCTGGTATCGAAAGCCTTACAAATTTGTTTATAAATGTCTATTAATTTATATAGAGAGGAATGTCATGGAAGGAAACCTGGTTGGTTTTGAAAAGAAGAGTTAATGTTATATAAATGTTTTAAAATCGTTCAGTGCCATTTCATACACAACTTATAAGTGATCTTGATCGGTAATTAAGTTGGTTAACTTTATTTCCTTTCTTATATCAAGGCATAACATGAACTTATTTCCAATAAATTGGTAGATATTTTAATGTACCGTTTGATCAAATAGGAGTCAAAGTGAAAAAAATGAAAGAGTTTGTAGGCACTAGCTTATAAATAAGGAGTCCGCTTTATTTCTATATGAGAAGGAAGGCATTTAGTGTTGTTTAGCCTTCTAGTAACAAAGCGAATCAAAGGGGAGCCACTGCGTAATTTTGTGCCGCTTATCTTCCCTTCATTAAAAAGGGCCAATTTATTGCAACATATTCATTTTTTCATTTTTACTGAACTAAGAATATAAAAAAAAATTAGATTTATAAGTTAAATACTTGGTGTTTACAAGCATGTGAATGTTTACATTTGTTGTTGTTGTTGCATTGTTGTACATGTACCGGAAGTTTACAATTTAACATGTTAATTGGGAGCACCTGCTACGAGACAACGCGAGAAAGACACTGTTTTGATGTTGCTAGGATGACAATATAGAAATTGTCAGGCTCGTTTATCACAACTACCGGTAAATAAAGAGATCGGAACCTAAGTACGGCTAAACATTAAGTGAAAACTGTGGAATGGCAAGTTATTTAAAGGAATTAGAGAGGGAAGGGGCTCTCCCAGCCATCCGAACAACTTCTGGAACGTTTGAATCGAGCAGAAGAGTAAATTTTGAGGATGACCGTTACACCCGATCCCGATCCCCTACAAGTGGCGTCTACGGGCACCGATCTGAAAGCCCAATGTTTCAACCAAGGCCTCCATCACCTGGAGCGGCAGGAAGAAGATCGGCACAAGAGGTAACATTACACTTTAAAGTCATTATTTAATTAAATGTATTGGCGGCATGCATGTACTGACTAGTTTTTGTTTACTTTAAAAATTAAAATGTTACCACTATAAATTAAATAAAGTTGCCATGTTTGCTAGTGATTGGTATCCATGTCCATTTAGGCTTTTTTTTCTCAGCAACATTTATGCATGCCATATGGTGATATCATATAGTCTGTTTTAAAATTTGCAGGATCTAAAAAGTAGTGATATCAAATCTTTAATTAAGGAACCGACATGTTTCTATAGTTAATTAGTCAAATTAATTAGACTTGTCAAAAAGACATTAAGGTAATTTTGGATTTCTCGTTCATTTCATTACTTCAACTTCAATAAATTCCCTGGATACTGTTCAGCAGTTTTACTGTCTGTGCTACCAGGCTGTTTGATTTTAACACATTTAAGTAGTGAATTTATGGAAAAGAGTCAACTCGGCCCTATACCAACTCGGCACGGGTCAACTCGGCCAACTTTACATTTGTTAAGGTAAATGAATAATAAGAAATATCTTATTATTATATAGTTATACATAGTAATTCTGCCGAAATAAAGTATATTTAGAAAAAAAATGTTATTTATTTGTCTTATATTTATAAACTCTCTCTGTCAAACTACGTAAATAACCGAGGTATATTAAGTGAAAAAGCAAGACTTGTTTCCCTTAGTTTCCATTCGCTTGCAAGATAATGCAAATTTAGTCGTGTTTAAATCGCTAGTTTGGGGCGATTAAATGTCCGATTTTAAAATTTGTTACACCAATTAAAAGCTGGTGATCTTAGCTTCCTCTCAGTATATATGTCAACACATTGTTTGACACTGAAGGTCTTAAAATTTACGGTTAAACCTACCACGAGTCAGAAATACTGTGAGATACGCAATCAGTTATCTTTACTCGCAATTCTACTGATAAGAAAAAAGATAAACTTATACAGAATCACAGAAGAACGCCCAACACGACAAAATTGAAAATGTTGCAGGTCGGTTTGATTGAGCCTGTTCATGGACGGTACTGGAAAGTGCAAGTTACCGTCCACGCCCCCAAAGCCTGTCTGCTGCTAGTTCTGAAACTGTTAATCCGTGTTTTATAAATAATTACAATAATAACAATAAAATGTGATAACACAAACCTAAATATTAATAATTAAAAAGTGGGCCGAGTTGACCCGTACCGAGTTGGAATAGGGCCGAGCTGACTCTGGGGCCGAGTACGTTTTAGGGCCGAGCTGACCCGGATTCGAATTCTATAGCATGACATCCTCTACCACTTTAATCATTTATTGATCAGATTATATCATAATGAATCAGATGCTGATTATAAGTATTTTGTCATTGATTAATTATTTTGGATATTTTACAATATTCATCATAAATGAAAATAAGAATTGAATGCCTTTGAGTACATTTAATGCAATGTAATTATGAACCTAATAGCTACTTCTCCAAATCCCTTCTTAGGGCTAAGACATGCTCATAGCAAAGAAGGCAGGTCAAATCATTACAAGCACCAGGGATGATAATAGTTACCCGTCATGATTAACTTTGGATGTGGTACTACAAATGGCCTTTTTTATTAGCTCACCGGAGCATGCTCAGGGTGAGCTTTTAGGATCAATGATTGTCCGTGTTCCGTCCGTGGTCCGTCCGTCGTCCGTCCGTTCACATTTTGTTGTTAACACTCTAGCGGTCGCATTTTTGCCTCAATTATCATCAAACTTGGTCAGGATGCTTATCTAGTTGATAGCTCGAATGAGTTCGAACATGGGTCATCTCGGATGAAAAACTAGGTCACAAGAGCTAAAAAAAGAAAAACCTTGTTAACACTCTAGAGGTCACATTTTTGCCTCAATCATCATCAAACTTGGTCAGGATGTTTGTCTAGGTGATAGCTCAGATGAGTTCGAACATGGGTCATCTCGGATGAAAAAGTAGGTCACCGGAGCTAAAAATAGAAAAACCTTGTTAACACTCCAGCGGTCACATTTTTGCCTCAATCATCATCAAACTTTGTCAGGATGCTTATCTAGTTGATATCTAGGATGAGTTCAAACATGGGTCATCTCAAATGAAAAACTAGGTCACAAGAGCTAAAAATAGAAAAACCTTGTTAACACTCTAGCGGTCACAATTTTGCCTCAATCATCATCAAACTTGGTCAGGATGTTTGTCTAGGTGATAGCTTGAATGAGTTCGAACATGGGTCATCTCGGATGAAAAGTAGGTCACAAGAGCTAAAAATAGAAAAACCTTGTTAACACTCTAGCAGTCACATTTTGGCATCAATCATCATCAAACTTTGTCAGGAAGCTTGTCTAGGTGATAGCTCGGATGAGTTCGAACATGGGTCATCTCTGATGAAAAAGTAGGTCACTGGAGCTAAAAATAGAAAAACCTTGTTAACACTCTAGCGGTCACATTTTTGCATCAATCATCATCAAACTTGGTCAAGATGCTTGTCTAGGTGATAGCTCGGATGAGTTTGAACATGGGTCATCTCAGATGAAAAACTAGGTCACCGGAGCTAAAAATAGAAAAACCTTGTTAACACTCCAGCAGTCACATTTTTGCCTCAATCATCATCAAACTTGGTCAGGATGCTTATCTGATAGCTCGGATGAGTTCGGACATGGGTCATCTCGGATGAAAAACTAGGTCACAAGAGCTAAAAATAGAAAAACCTTGTTAACACTCTAGCGGTCACAATTTTGCCTCAATCATCATCAAATTTAATCAGGATGTTTGTCTAGTTGATAGCTTGGATGAGTTTGAACATTGGTCATCTCGGATGAAAAACTAGGTCACAGGAGCTAAAAATAGAAAAATCTTGTTAACACTCTAGTGGCTACTGTTTTGATCCAAATATCCTGTAAATTGGTCTGAAAGTTTGTTTTGATGATTTCTAAGTCAAGTTCGAACATGGGTCATCTTGGATGAAAAACTAGGTCACACCGCCCAAATATTGAAAAACCTTGTTAACATTCTAGTGGTCACATTTTCGACTCAATTATCATCAAACTTGGTCAGGATGCTTGTCTAGGTAATTGCTCGGATGAGTTCGAAATCGCATGTGAAACTAGGTCACCGGAGCTAAAAATAGAAAAATTTTGTTAACACTCTAGTTGCTACTGTTTTGATCCAAGTATCCTGGAAATTGGTCTGAAAGTTTGTTTTGATGATTTCTAGGTCAAGTTTGAATATGGGTCACCTGGGTAAAAAACTAGGTCACACTGCTCAAATATGGATAATCCTTGTTAACACTGTAGTGGTCACATTTTTGACTCACCTGTCATGAGACTTGGTCAGAATGCTTGTCTAGATAATTGTTTGGATGAGTTTGATGGGTCAGGTGAGCGATCTAGGGCCATCATGGCCCTCTTGTATAGATTATTTGATAGATTGTTACTTCTTACCAACATATAAAGAATAGGAAAATATATAATAATAATATATATTATATCACTTTCACCAGTACTTAATCTCACATGGTGAGAATATTGTGAAACCTGACAGGGGCTAAAAATTGCTACATGCATTCAGCAGTTCTTTAGGCGAAATATATGGCCACTTTTAACCTTTCTTTCTTCTTTAAGTGACTATTTCTTAAATATAACGACAGATAGAGTTTATATCATTGTTTTAGTGCAAAGCATATTGACGATACATTGATATCGGATAACAAATATCAGCGATACACTGGTATATTTATAAATACCCCTAATTTCTTGTATATAATTAACTTTCATACCTCAATACCTGTTTAAATGATTTAAGTAAAATACATATTTTGTTCATCCAAATATGATCTGATCATTTTCTTTGTCATCACTGATATCAAATGTGTCCATTATGTAACAACAGCTTAGTATTAGACATGCCCACCTGCTTTTTTATATGTTTTACAATGTAGGTGAATTTTCATAATTTGCAAACATTTAATTAAATAATCAAAATTATTAATTTTTTCAAATGTGTATAGATTATTGATCGACAGAAAAATATTAAAAACATACATCATTTCGCAACATTAAATCACTCCTTTTCCTTTTTTGGCTTATCAGTATAGGTTAAAGTTTATTAGTACATATTTACTAAATTAAATTGGTCAGGTGTGGCTGTCCGTGCAACCAATTTAACTTTGTAAATAGGTACTAATAGATTTTAACCAGCAAAGTGTTTTAAATTATTTTATAAATTATTCTATAAACAGTCGAACAGTTTGATGATTTACTAAAGTAAATATGTCGTTATGATTCGTTTAAAATACTACATTATCCTATTAGTCATAAAATAATTTCAAACACTAAAAGTAAAATATTGATTTATTGGTGTATCATTGATATTTGTCATCTGATATTGATATATTGTCAATATGCTTTTGCTCTGAATCAATAACAGCTCTAGTTTTAATTTTAAAACCATATGAATTGTTCCTGTATTTAAGCAAATAGGTCACCTGTCATTTCTGTCAGCCCAGAGTTACAGATAACTTATTGATACATTAACTTACTTCTCTATTGGAAAAAATACTGGAGCAGAAGCTAGGTCATATTGATTTTTGTTGGAACTCAGAACAATTAGTTTCCATAGCAACTAAAGCAAATACAAGCATAAACATCTCAGATCTAAGTTGTTAATTAGCTGATTCATAAAAAAAAGAGATAATTATTATTATGCCAATTGAATAATTTATAAAATTAGTTTTTTTATCAATCTTTAATTTATTTTGATGTTCATATAGTGAAGAGAACAAATGAAGCATAAAAAATGCAACATATCATTTCACGTTACATTTTCACTAAACCAGCATGTAATGGGATTTCTAAATGATATACAGCGATTTTGGCTTTATAACAGTGTTGCTATGATAGTTTTTAATTAGAAAACATCATGAGGCATGCTATGCTGTCTCTAAATGGAATCAACTATTCATGAAGCAGTAAACTGTATGAAGTTTAATTGGTTCCACCTTTAATTTCAAAGATTAGAAGAATTTTTTATGATTTTGTACATTTATGCGTATAATTATCAATGTAATACTCACTGTGTTCAGTTACTGTTTACTTTTGTTTATTATTACTCAATATTAGATTATCAATATAAAAAAATTAATTTTTTTTCACAGCTTCAAGATCAGGTAAAAGTGTTCAGAGAAGAAATACAGAAGAAAGATGCACTTATACAACAGTTGTCAAGGTAAATTTGGTTTATACATGTATTTATGAATCTTTAAGTAAGAAAATAGAACTTGATAAAAAAATATTTTGATAAATGCTTATAATTAGTTATTAGAAATTCTTCAATTGGATAAAAGAAATAATTCTAGTTGTAAAATGTGATATTATTTCTTTGTAATTTGATTTTATTATGAACAGAAAGCACTTGTATTTTGCATAGTCATTCACCAACAATCTTCTATTTTCAGTATGGAGTCAGTCACCAAAGTCCCTGTTAGAAGCCAAGCAGACTCTATCCGGGTAAGTTTGTCCAAATAAAACAGTGCTTTTTATCTTTTACTAAAGAATTGAAGTAGAATATTTTCACTGACTTTTGTGTAAATGTACTATAATCTAAGTTACATTCAAGCAAAATTTGTTTGATTCATGCAAATTACCATTTTGGGGAAAAAATAGTTTGCTCAATTAAATGAATTACAACATAGTCTTGTACACCATAATGTTATGATAAATGAATCATATTGTGTTTTTCTGACCACAAATATTTTTTCATTTTTCAGTTGGAGCATATATATATGGGTGATAGACAAAGCCTCGATGCAGCACGCAGTGAACTTGCTGCCCTGCAAGTTAGAACTGAAAAACAAGAAAATAAGGTACAAATACTTGAAATATTTTCCACAGTATAAAACAGTGTGTTCATAAATTGAGTGTTTTAGTATAAATGTCATAACATTTTAAATTTTTTTAAAGGATTTTATTTTTTTCAAAATAACTGCTTGACATATAATATTACACTTACTAAATATAACATTAAAGTTAATTATTTTTATTTGTCTCAACTCTAGATTAGAGAATTGGATAATGAGTTAGAAATTAGAGATGTCAGGATAAAAGAATTACAGTTACAAATGGAAACAGGACGTGAGAATGAGCGCAGACTACAGTCTTTGGTTGAGTCACTACGCAGCCAGGTCGTTGACCTTGAAGGTCGTGCCGGAGCTATAGAATCTGTAGCAAGTCGAAGTGAAGTGACAGTGTCGGCATTACAAAAAGAAAACAAAGCATCAAATGAAAGAATAGTTGAACTTGAATCAAGGCAAAGGTATTGAATACTTAATGAACTATCTCCTTATATTGTATTGTAAACACCCAATATTTTCAACTTTTGTAATGAACTTACCCTACTTTGAATTAGAAACAGTTCTTTGCAAGGTGTTGAAATTTCATCTTGAAATTAATAATAAAATTGAGCAGTCAATAGTATTAAGTCAGGTATGGGAGCTGTGGGATGGTTGAGCTAAATTGTTTACTTAAGGTTTCAAGCAAAGTGATTGAAGAGTTATTTTGAGGGCGTAGTCGACTGACAACACGTTAAATTTAAGAAATAGTCCCTTAAAGTGTTAATTTGATCTTATCCTATCACAATGTAGAGAATTTTTGACTAAATTCAATTAAAAGTATAACAGTTGTTATAATACAACTAGGTGTCACAAAAAAAATCTGCAACTTATCTTTTATAATAAAAAAGGAACAAAGTTTAAAATGTGTTTCTTTGATATTTTTATCAATGAAAGATCACCATGTTATGAAAAGGTCTCATTATTGTTTGTCAGGAAACTCTTAGAAGAGAGGGAAGAAGCCCAGGCCAGAGCTGAATTGCTGGACAGACGTTTTAGAGAACATTTTGCACAATTTGCAAGTATTTTGAAATTTGAGAGTATTTCTGGAGGAGTACCTACACCAGAAGAAATTATCAGACAGGTATGTTAGTGAATTGAAAGTTTTAAAATACATGTAGTTTGATATGGAAGTGATTTATTATTATTTTGTTAAAGGGTTTAGTATTTAAATGTAGAACCATTTGATAGCCTGCTATGTTTGAAATCTTAAGTTTTGTTACATGACCTTCATGTTATGATGACACATTTTTAAAACAATTTAAAATATCAATTCAAAATCTTCGGTTTGATATCTGATATGTTTGTGAAGCTTTAAACTTATATGTCTGTTCCAAATAATTTTTGTAAAGAAATTTAAAAGTCTTTCATTTCTAAGTATGAGATAACACTTTTTTTGTTATTACACAGATTTCAGCACAAGCAGAAGAGAATGCAATGCTTAAAGGGAAACTACTCACACTTACTGAAACTCTCAACAACTCTGAGCTGGAAACCAAAGCAAGCAGAGAAACAATTATGAGACTGGTTTCAGAAATGGGTAAAGAGCAGCAGACACAGTCTAAATATGCATCAGAATTAGACCATCTCAGATCTGTAAGTAAAATTTGCGTGTGTGTCTATATGATTTCTAACTTCCTATAAATTCTGCTTATGTTCACTTTTTTCTGTACTTTCTTTGCTGATTGTAGCACTATTTTGGCATGCTGTGGTAGTGTAGATTTGTTTCCCTTCTACTTTGTTTAGAGTTTGCTGTGCCATTCCCTAATGGGCCTGGTTATGTGTGCAAAATCTACCTAAACTGTATTTTATGAAAAATATTAAAGGTAAAAAATCCAAACCTAGCTCTGCTATATCTTGGTCCACATTGATTTTGTTTCTTCTGTTTCCTACCCTGGCTCCTCTCTCTTGTCTTTTTGAAAATTATTTGCAGTAACAGATTTTTCTGAAAATTTAATAAGTAAAGAATTTACTTTATATATTTTCCACAGAAGTAAGTTTTACAGAAGGCAGTTTTATTTGTTTGGGATATTCTTGAGTCTTTTTAGAAAAAAGAAATATACAAGAGACAAAGATATTACCAATAGCTCTGTTTTAATATTTTTTAACAAATATATTAAATATTTTTGCAATTTTTTAAATTTGAAAAATGCAACATATATATTCTGCTTAGTGCTTTCTGAACACTGCATAAATAATTCTATATGGCAAACAAGTAGTAGCAAATGCATAATACAAAACATGACATTGTAGAGGAGCAGGGATCGTTACCGTAGTTACGATGTCACTGAACCACGCCCTATGAGATCTTGTTTGAAATCCCCAACTCATCACAGGGATCGTAGTCTATCTAGGGTAGGTCAGGTCATGCACCTAGGAATAAAATATCTTCTTGTGGCTTTTAGATTTATAAATTTAACTTGTTACTGTGTTTGACATTTGAGCCGCGACATGAGAAAACGAACATAATGGGTTTGTGACCAGCATGGATCCAGACCAGCCTGCGCATCCGTGCAGTCTGATCAGAATCCATGCTGTTCGCTATCAGTCTCTTTACTTGTTATAGGGTCTGTAAGTGAACAGCAAAGATCCTGATCAGACTGCTCAGATGCACAGGCTGGTCTGGATCCATGCTGGTCGCAAACACATTATGTTGGTGACGCGGCTCATATCTTTTTAGTATATTAGCACTTAACCTGCTGAATTGTAATGGATTTGCCCTGCTTTGAATTTGGAACGGTCCATTAAAAGTTTAAGAGATTTCAATGTCAGAATATAAAATTTGAGTACTATACGATCAGTACAACTGTATAGACTCTGGCCAGACTGCATGGATATAAAGGCTGGCCTAGCTCTATACACTGGTGGCAAAGGATGGTCACTTTTGAATTCAGGATGCCTCCAGATGAGCGAAAATATTTCGATAGATTTAAACTTGAGAAAAAATGTACTAAGAGTTTAGGAAAAGTAGAAAGATTCAAGATTTGAGTAATCATTTACATGTTATGGGCGATAAATGGTTATTTTTTCATTATGTGTTACTTTATTTCTACTGCGTTACTAACGCAGTAAGGGCAATTTTTGCATATTTTGACCTCTTTTTGTAATTAACATGGGTTGAAAGTGCCATTGATAATGTGTACATTGCTTCCTTTTGGTTAATATACAGTATTATGCTTTTAATTACCATTCCAAAATTTTCACGAAAATAAGCATTAATCTGGAGGCATGCTGCTTTAAGGGTTTAAAAAAATGTTTCTAAGTGTGACTATTTAATACCTGGGCATTTTTTTTTCTGTACTTTTAAAAGCACTTGTTCAAATAATATTGCTTTTCCTCTAACATATTCTTGTAGTAAAGTTTATCATGTAGAAGCTTAATGAAATTCAGCTTTATATTTGTTTTTGATACTAATTAAAAACTGAAATTTATTGAATTATTATAACCAAGTATGTTTTCAATTAAAAATTTAAGTTGCCTTTTATGAATATTCTTCCAATTGAACCCTAATACAATAAGAAATGGAAAGTGTCATACAAAACAGTCATAACTTACCTTTCAAGAGTTATGATACAGTTGTTTTGACAATATGGTTTAAATTTCATTCTAAATTGCATACTTCATAACATAAAAGTTAATTTGACAAACATTTTTTTGGTCTTATCTGTATACCATATTTTTTTACTTGATATATACTGAATTGATGATAACAAATTCATTATCAGCAAAGTGTTTTAAGTTTTATAAACAAGATAACTTAGAAAAGATGGAATTTAGGGTTAAAAAAGTAATTTAACAATATTTTATATATTTGATATGGTATTGAATAGTTAATAGATAAGATTTTGATAAGTGTTTAATTCATAAAATTATAGGAGAGAGACCGAGAACGTGGAGTGAGAAAAGATTATGAAATGGAGATAGGTATGCTAAAAGAACGTTTAGAAGCCTCACAGAGAACGATAGATGCTCAACGTAATGAACTTGATATGAGGGACGGTCGCCTTAACTCACTTGAACAAGAATTACGATCCCATACCACTAAAATACACAGTACCAGCAGCCAGCATGTTTACTTCCGAGATCAGCTTATTAAGATCCTAGGCGATATTGATTCACACTGTGACGATGAATACATCAGACGTAGAATTGAAAATCTACTTTTCTCCAACAGAGATCTAAGAAATGTAAGCTGGCGAAGTTTTTTTTTTTTTTCATAAAATTATTTGTAATATAATTCTTTACAAATCTTATTGAAATTCAAGTGATTCATACAAAATGGTGTTAAATTGTAATCCATATATTAAACAAAAAAGGAGATGCAGCGATTTAGATAAACAAATTGTTCAAAATGGTAGTAACAAAATCAGTCATATATCACATTAAAAAAAACATAAATCTAGTCAAATGATATTTAATATAGTTGAATATATCAAAGTTGTTTTTTTGTTTTTGTTTTTTTTTGTTGTTGCTGTTTTCAAAATGATGTTTATTGGTATTTTTACCTTTAGAAAAATGAAGATTTAGAGATTAGACTGAAGGAATTAACAGAACAACTTGAGACTCAGTACGGGCTTCACAAGAGTGCTGCTGCACGAGCGAGGAAAGCCGAGGCAGATGCTGCAGAGTTCCAGCAGCGACTACAATCAGCTGAGGGTGAATTGGTAGCTGGTGATGTCATGCGGGACGGATTCAGATCTGATAAAGAATCAGTATGTATCTGCTTTAGTTTAATGAAATATCATAAATTCAGAGTAGATTTGAATTAATAATTCACATATCAAAATGTAATGATAATAGTTTAATTGTCATGTTCTGGTTCTTAAACTCATAAGATTTTGGTATTGTTTTGATATTTTACTTTTTTAAGCTGACGAAAAACTTAAAAATTGATAATGTCCTTTGATAGTTCAGCAAGAAAGTTTTAATTATACATGTATTGAAAACAACTGTAGGGATTTTCATTGAAATTTTGTTTGAAATATCATTAATCATTTTTGATGACATTATTTTCTTGTTTTATTCCAGTACATGAGATGTTTACAACGTTTAGGTGAGGCAATGAAAATGGACCGTATCTCAATTGACCTAGGTATGGATATGACCATTGATGCACTTATTGCACGCGCAGAACAACTTGTCAAGCTTGAGAGAGATGCTCTTGCGGACCGCAGCACACACATTTACAATCTCCAACGCAAAGTGAAATCTCTGAAGGAGCAACTAGAAAGCAAAGACTTACACATAGACTTATTAAGGAAAAAGATCACATCTTTAGAGGAGAAGATTCTCGGAAAGTCAACTATTGAAAGGGAGAGAGATTCGGAACTGTTGAGAATCAGAAAGATGGAGAAATTAATAGAGAAGTACAAGATACAGTTAGGTGATGCAAGACAAGAAATTACCAACCTTAAAGCAGAACTTCTAGGATCTAGTGAACTCAGGGTTTGTACTTTTTATTATTTTTTTTATTATTTTTTTTTTGTGAATCTGAGTGAAATAAGTGTATTTAATGTTAACATGTATATCTAAAAATAAAAATATTTTATTTGGCTTTCTCAAGCAAATGTATCTTTTTGAATGTTTGTCTGACTTAACTTATTCATTAATACCATTCAGTATTAAATTTGTTCATAGCAATAAAAGTAATGTTTAAAAAAAACTTACCGGCATCAGATATTTGATAAAATATTGAAGCAAAAGTAACGTGTTATATATATATGTTCAGGTACGAACATTAGAGCAACGAAAAGAGACAGAGGAACTTGCTAACCAGGTGCAAGAACTAGAGAAACTTCGTAGAAAACAAGCTCACAAGATACGCGAGCTTAAGATGGAGATCGACTCTACAACAACATCATCTCAGGAAAACCGTGTTGTCGCAGATAATGCCGTTCAGGCCCTTTCCAGTGAACTCAAAACAACTAAAACTGCACTCTCCACCATTCAACAAAGAGAGAAACAGGTAAAAAATAATAGTCTGATTGTATTGAATATTTCTAAAATTCCAGGCATTAGTTTCAGTTTTTGCAAGAATATTTTCATTTGTACCAAGAAAAAAATGAATTATGCACTTGATGGCAGAAAAGGGAGATTTAAGATGACTTTTTAGTAAAAATTGTTTTAATTAGGGCAAAACTGTTCAGAATATTTAAATTTAAAGGAATATGGTTTGTTGTTGCTTTTCTTTGAAGAAACAAATTTGTGTTTATTTAACAATATGTAGTAATAGAGGCTGTGAATGGTCAGCATGAAAATATATCTTAGAATAAAGTTGTTGCAATAGTAAGATTTATATTTTGTCTTTTACAGTTGATTGATTTCCGTCATGTTGTTGCAAGAATGCTGGGATTAGATATCAATACCTTGGCGATCCCAGACTACGAGATAATCAGTCGTCTTGAAAAGCTCATTTCAGCACATCATAGTCATACGTTTACAACATTGAGTCTGGAGGAAGCTCTTGCTGACATGGAGGACGGCTTTTTCTGCGGGTACCGCGATCACCAACACACCATGGGGGAAACTGAGTCACACAATATTCGCAAGTCACGTGAACGTGTGAAAAGAAAAGCACTCAAAGCTAGGGCTAGATCATGTTCACCAACCAGGAGAATAACTCCTAAATGTTATTGAAGTCAATATTGAATAGGGTGAATTTTAAGACAAATTAAATACTGTAGAAAGGACGTAGATGAATATACCCTATCCATGTGTAGTGACTCTATCCGTCTTGGCAGTTTCTTTCAAAAGTAGTTAACAAAAAGTTTAGAATAAAACCATGTAAGACATAGGAAACTGTTTTAAGATACAAGTTAAAAAAAAAGGGTAAAGAAAAGAGACGTAGTCCAGTTGTTGAACTTACTAACCATTTTCCTGATTTTTCAGAAAATGTTTTTTTGTTTTTTTTTGGTGACAAATGTCATTTTTGAGTGAGATTAAAGAAAGAGTAATTTATAGAATCATGAAAAGATTATAGGTTGATAAAAACGTTATGTGCTCAGTTATTTGAACAATTATAATTATGCTTAATTTGGTTCATCATATGGATTTATCATGGCAGTACAATAAAGGGCAAGCGCAGTAAAATTGATCATGTTTAATTTTTATGAAATCAAGTGCTTGGTTTTGCATTCATGTACACACAAATATGTTAATATGTTCTGATATGCTTAAATTATGTACTTTATCATAAGACAAATCCATTTTTTATTAGGAATTGTATTAAACAGAACAAGAATATGAAATCACCTGTGATATATTATATTAATATATATATATATATTATAATTGAAGTTGTTTAGATTATAAGTACTAACAAAGATTGTTTACATGTAATTTGAGAGTCGTATCATTCTTATACCTATTTCTTTAGTAAATGAGATAGAATAAAAAAAAGTAAATAAAAATGCAGAAATCTTACACATTTTTGAAATTGTATGTTAGTTCTCTATATTTATTGAAAATTGTTTTTTAAGGAATCTTGTTACAAATTTATATTTAATAACTGTACTATTATACATGTATGTTAGAAAAAATAATATATCAAGGCATGTTAATCAAACATTTTTTTGTCTTAGATTAAGCTTGTAGAATAAGTTTGTTTGTATGAAGCATGGCACGGCTGTTGCATTTAATCACTGCACTGTCTGAACGCATTTTAATCTAGGCTAGACTTTATTGTATTTATATATAATGTCCTGCCGATTTTGATATTACTACTGCAAAGATCTGCTTATATTGGTGGGGGAACAGTGTGTTATACTTGTGCTCATAGGGAATAAAATGCCTTATATTTTGGGTTCACAATTTTCAGAAGAAAATCTTATAAGCTCAGAGTCTTTTGAAGTTGTTTTCTATGTTGTTTTATTTTTTATGTCTCCATAGTAATGATGTTCAAAATCCTGGTGCTTGTTGTAAAGAGGAATTTGATGAACACACCGTCTTATAAAAAAAATCAATTAAAAAAATGTTAAAAACAGGTATTTGAAAAATCTCTTTATAATTTAACATTTTTTTATTTCATTGTTTTGTTTGAAAATAAATTAGGTCAGTAGAATTTAAGAATGGAGTAGAAAACATGTAGTAAAAAATTTCTCTGGCAACAGAAAGTGCTCAAAATAAAACAAAATATGATTGATTTTTAATATGATGTTATTTTTAGATAATTAAATACTGTTTAGAAGTATACATTTAGTTCATTGTGCATGGGGAATTTGGTATGCTATTATTAGATTAAAATGCACATTCTGTTTAACCTTTATGTAACCAGATTACATTATTATTGTCAAAGTAGACAATGAATTTTAATAAGCATTTTTATCATTAATGACAATATTTAATATTCATTTTTTTAAACCTTTGTTCATACCATACAAATGGTTAAATTCTTTTTAATTTATTTGATTTATTACATCATATTTTTCCAGGCCAAAATCACTTAATCAGAAGAATAAAAAAAAAAATTGTTTTATTTTTTAATTTCTGATTATTTTAAACATCTAAATGAGTTTGTTTTTGTAAATTTGTTACAAATAAAAACTAAAAATCAAACTACAGTAAATGCTCAGAAAAAAGTAAATAAAGTGTTTCAATGTATATATTATTGCACAAAAGATTTTTTTGTACATATATTTCTTTCATTATTATATTTGTCCATTTTACATCTTACATTTTATACATTTGTTATATATTTTATTATATTGTACAGAGTAGCTGTTAACTTGGACATTTTTTTTTTAAATCTTGACTAATTGATAAAATTATGTTCTCTGTTTTTTTTATTTTTTTTTTTGCAATAGGTAGTCATGTATAGTACAGTCTGTGATACCATCTCTATGAATAAAACTACTGCCAGGAGTTATAGTCTTACTCTGTTTATTGTTTAATATCCAAGAACCAATTATCTAGGGCAGCAGATCATGTGACATTAAGGGGAGTGGTGGCCTAGTGGTTAAGGCATCTGCCTTTCAACCCAGGGATCATGGGTTTGAGCACTAATTAGGTCATGTCCCTGTTTGTTCATATGACACCAGTACTGGCTGGTTCCAGGAAGTGCATTCGAAAGTAATTAATATAATTTGCAAGAACTTCGCAATCAAGCTTAAATAAATGTATGTATGTTTAAACCAAACCATGTGACATATGGCGATCTACTCTTGTCTTTTGATAAGGACTTAAGATTTTGAGATGGAACTTCATGACTTAGTCTTATATCAAGGAGACAAACTTCTCATTCCATCCTTTTCTCTAATGCTAATGCTCTTACACTTGTCTGATAACAAATAAATATCGATCCAGTAAATGGATTACGTAATGTTGCCACAAACCAGTTCTGACCAGTGGTTGCAAATGAGCTGTCTTACTAATTTTGTGTTAATGCCACATGTACTATTCATTACTGGTTAAACACCTTGGTGTGGTAACTGCTTTTTCTCCACAACCTTTTCTTTTGCCACTAGACAGTAATTAAAGCACTGAATGTACTGAGGGGGAGGCTATGAGAGAATGTTTCAGACTTATAGTTTCTTTTCTTTTTGCTTAAAATATGCTACCAAAATAAAAAGATATGCACATTGCGCTATTTATCCTTACTGTTGTGTTCAACCATTCATATATATGGTTAATGTGGTTGACTATTCATTTTGTTAATATTCCAGAACATTTCATTGAGGTCTACATTCGGACTGTTAATCATGCAAATTTTGAAAAACCTAAACTGTCAATAATAAATGACATACCAGCAAGTATGACGACTGTTCATTATCAGATAACAATAACATTTTACAACTGACGGTTCCTTATCAAAATATTCTAGGACTGTTCATCATAAATACTTTATGTCATTTTAATATTATTGAATGATAATAACAACTGCAAGTGATGCAACATTTTTATTGAACATAAAAATTATACACATTTAGATGTACCATAATTGAGATCAATAAGATACTGTCTTGTGATGAGTATTAATATTCATGCTCTACGGACAGAAGGTTGTCTTCTCCAGAAGCAAATCTCGAATAAAATCACGTTTCAGAAAATTATTCCCATTTCATTACTGACGGCGTCGGATAATATTAAAGCTAAATATTTCTTGAAAAAATACATATCTGCAAAGCTTATTCAAAACTGAATCAACCTAAGTGAAAATTGATCAGGAAGTTATATCTTCTTTTTTTACCGCCAACACTCAACCAACTTATGGTAGTTAATCGATAGATTCTACGTGTATTTTTAAACCTCACTAGCTTGAAATATATACTGCGGAAAATCTGTTGTTAACAGGGTGTGCGGTTATTACGTAGGGTTTTCCCTGTCGACCATTTCCCGCAAATAGATGAGAACATCGAAGCCGTCAGTGCTATGAATGGTGTTATAAATGGCGTGTTTTGGAAGTTTTTGTTGAAACTTCTCCAAATCCCTCCAGAGGCGTGCACGTCGCGGAGAAGGCACACGGAAGGTCATAGTCAAGTCATCATAAGTACCAGAGGTGATTGGTTGACCTGTTGTCACAAAGTGAAAGTACGTTTGTAAAATATTGCATTATATTTTCACGCCGAACCTCATTTTTACTCTATATTCATTGATGTGAGATTGCATCATCTTTTGTTCAATTTAGAGTTTTCGGGTGAAATTATTATTTAGAGTATCTTTATGGTTTGCATAAATTTCCATGTCTCAATTTAAACATTTTGCCGTTTATTTCACAAAAATCCTTTCAGTAATAAGAAAGTTACATTTTTGTTTTATGAACCAGATTTATGTATTATGTCTGTATTTGAAGGGCCTTTATTTTACATAACTATTTTTCCCGCCGTCCCAGCTTTATTTCGTGCAAATCGATTTTTCATGTTTTGCACGATCTGTTTTCCCGCTCAGTACTCAGTAGTTTGCTATATAATGACTAAATTATAATTGACATATTGCAATGCACTGGACGTTATACAGGTCACTATGACGGTGACAGACAAATTATATTTGTCATAAAATTACAGCTTGTACAAGGTAAATTTAATTTTCTAGTGATTTTGTTTCATAAATTTTTGCTATTTCGTAAATACTATTTTCTATTAGAATTATAGTTTATTTGATTCAGGTTTAGTTATTTGGCAGTAATTTATTGTTTTCTAAATTTTCTAAATTTTAAAAGCTCTTTTTATTCTAGTGTTTCGCTTTTGCAAATTTATACCGAGACATGTTAATTGATGTATGTTAATTGAAGTTTTAATTATATTGTAATTGTATAGGAGCTATGAATATTTTATAGATATATATATATATATCTATTCATAAATAATTTATTATGGTTCTACCGTATTTGTGTAACTTTATGTAAAATGCTGCAGTATCGAAATGATTTGTTTCAATCAATTTAATTTATGTTATCATCTTACTTCATTTCATTTATCATCAGTTTTTGTTATAAGTAAATACAACGTATCAAAACTAACGTATCTCTAGAGAAGGATCTTCAGTGGCATGATTTTGGAAGACGTTTATTTATTGGTGGTTATTATGTGGCGTATATTTGAATATATTTGCAACGCAGTATTATGCGGATGTGATTGAATTTTTGTTCCACGGAATGTATGGTGTACTATAGTGGACATTTTGTTTATTCAAAGAAGCACGTTATTTTATTGAAAACCGACAAAGGTCGAGTCTTTTCCAAGGGACTTTATTATACCCTTATGTTTGATTATCATGGAACTTACCATGTTTTATACTTTGTAGCTTCTTATTTGAGGACACACCCGAAGATGACACGGGCCCTCCACACGTATGTCCATGGCTAAAGGGTGACGCATGCCCTTGTTCAGGATCCTATCAACTGTGCCAACACTGTAGGAAGTACAGTTACGCTTGATAAGATTTTATACAAGACGCCCGCCATTGTGACGAATTTTGGTCAACAACGCCACCACTTTATTGATACATAATGACAGAGACTTTACGGGAGAAATAGACTGAGATACGTTGATAGTGTTTGTTTGCGCAGTGACTTTTCATATATAATCATTTTTCATTTATAAATATTCATTTATTGTAAATAAATTTGTATATATTTTTCTGTTCTGAGTTGTTGGTTGTTTTAGATAGCAATTGTGGTCGGCCTGGTATCCCAGCGTAGTCCCTATTGTGACACCTGTCGTGACTTAATCTGGAGGTTTGGCGCTAATAGATGCCGTTTTTGTTGTCGTCAGTCAGAAAGTTGATGCCTTGACGGTATTGTCGTCTACTTTACCACCAAAGAACGAAGAATGGGCTTCCAGGAGGAATCTGCTGGAAAAAGACGTCCCAGATGCTATAATCTCGGACATATGGTTATTCCGGCGCCGAGTATAAATAAACTTAAAACACACACACTTTTGTTGAAAACAAAACAAAAAAACAACAACACATTTTCTGTAGTAATTTTTCAAGTGTTGTAAAATGAATAAGAAATTCCTCTTATGCCGCCGATTATTTTTAGAACACAAACATATAAGTTCTTTTTTTTTCATTTTTCAAATAAACATTAATCACTTCAGCGCGCGCAAATATCGTTTTCAAATTAAAGTTTCGTAAGATATGTTAATGACTTCCCGATGCTCGACTGTAAGTAATTTGTATATGTATGCAGTTTTTTTTTTTTTTGTTTGTTTTTTAATTAAAGCTTCTTATTCTTTAATATTTTTTATGTATCTCATAATCTGTATTGAAAATTTGAATTTTATTACACATGGACTATCAAATTATGATGCGTTGTGAATTGAATAAACTTTCTAATTACACAATACGGGGTCATACTGATCTTTGCGTCTTTCTCTGAAATAATTATTTCCTTGTTAAAACATATTTGACCACATATTTCTGTCAATTAACTGTTCACTTTACTTCCGATTTTGTTGTACGGAAACACATGTTTCTATTTGTGTTTTCTAATCAATTCGAATCTATAATCAGTTTAATGGGATCACCACCGGGTAAACGACTACTAGGTACTTTGGTCATGTTTTTTACCCCAAATATTTGAATGTTTCTATTGGGATTAAAATGAGCATAGTTAACTAAACAACTGGTTGTATAAATCCCTGACCTGCCTAATTCTAATTATGAGATTAGTGAATATATAAGACTTTCACTACAAAATATTCCTAAACAAAAGAGCACATGTTTAAATTTATTCCTATACAAATAAAAGATCAGAGTAGGGATCTGTCAATTGCCAGACATATTTTTAAAAGATACTTTTATGTTAAAAGTTTGATTAATGAATTATGTAAGATGAAAATATAAGTATTGCTTTTTTTATCTTGCTAATGTAAAATGTACGGAAGCCCATAAGTGCCATTTTGTCTTAGGACTTTTGTCTTATGACTAATGACTTATGTATTATGACTTTTGTCTTATGTATTATGACTTGACAAAAAAGCGGCAAAAGGGCAAGTTTCATCACATGCACCCTTCATGGACGTTGGAGGTAAATCTGATAGTGAAACAGATGACGATTTGGTAAGTGTTAAATTTAAAAAGTATGACAGTACTGTATTTCTCCTAACTTGAATAATTATCTCCCATACAAGGTTAGGTTTCGAATATATGGGCCATCTCAGAATGAAAAAAATAGGTCACAGGGCACAACAATCGTATTAACTGTTAAAGTTTAAGTATCAAAATATTTGCAAGACTGACACATTTTTAAAGCATGTGTGAAACTTTATTCTGTATAAGATATAAATTATTTCTCCTTCAGGTAAATGCGAGTAGTAATCAATGCGAGTAGTAAACGTATTCATGCGCTAGTTCAGAACATAGCAGGCCACTAAGAAGAAAAAAGACCCAGAAAACATTGACTAAGATTAACTTATGGAGATCTATTGATGGTAAACATATTGGACATTCATCTTCTACCTGTGACACTCTCTTTACAAAGGAAAATACAAGAAATTGATTTATGATTTATCAGACAAGTACAAAGGCAAATGTGCCGAATGATGATATTTTATCAAAGTGCAGAGTACAGTAGGAGAACAAAAAGTAACAAAGAAGACTGCTTTGGTAAGAGTTAAATTGTTAAAAGATTTACATAAATTAATTTTGTTTATGACATGACAACTTTAGTATACTAAGGATTAACTGTACAACTAGTTGCAACTTCTCCATGCATCTGTTTCAGTTTCAGTTCTTTTCCAAAACTGTAAGGCATTGGCCTAACAACTTGAAACTCTTATTCTTTTGGTGACTCTATTGAGTTATCTCCCTTTTAAACTTCTTTTTTAATTTTCATTTTCAGTACCTGTATACGGTGCAATTTTGATTTAAGCAGTCAAAGTCTTACTTATCAACCCGCCCGCTTATATCAACAGACCGACGGTTTGTTGGCGAGGCTATGATTTCCGTGATTGTGTATAAAATTTTCAGGCCATTTAATCAAACCCCGTCTTTGTTTAATCTTTTTTCTCCTAGCAACATTGATATGATTTAAAAAAAAAAAAAGCCTACACACTGATAATTATGATGTTTGAATAATTATTGCACTTGACATTTTATACAGCAGTGTTTTTATAAATTATATATTTTGTCTGACATCTTATAAGTATGAATAAGAGCTTATATGTATACGTACTCTGTTTTCCAGATATCACAAGTGAATATGTTGGCGTTCCATAGCTTTTGGTTTTGTCTTTGGATACAACAGGTTAACTCTGTATTAGGAGTGACACCTTCAAACATACCAGACACATCGACAGCAGGAAGTACACGACTTGAATTAGTGAAACACTATTTTTACTGTGGGTTTTCATATTCGGAAATTATTCTTTTGTTGTTTGTTATAAATAACATTAAAATATCGTTGCGACAGCTTAATAGAGTACTTAAATGTAACAACTTACGACGTCGAACTGGATATACACCAGATCACATTGTTCTTGATTATATTTCCAAGGAAATTGAGACAAGTGGTCAGTGCATTGGTTATCGTTCGATAAGACGCCAAGGAATTCAATGGTGGATTTCCTTTTTCAAAGATTTAAAAGACAATCAAGAGTATGATGAATTAAATCCTTTACATGTTGAATGCTTGAAATTCTCTTTTATGCACTTGATTCAGGCCGAGCTTGACAGAATAGCGGTTAATTGGAACTTACATTCCATACGTAAACAGAGAAATTCTGAGGTACCAAATGGAAAACCCGATTTAATGTACTTCGTTCCGGAATTGTTTGGCGGACACAATTATGGAAAGATTGTAGATCAAAATGATGTTGATGCTTGTTGCGAAATGTACGGCTTACGTAAGACAACATGCATTAAAGAATTTCAAGATTTGGTAAAATTACTAAAGCCTGACATCCGCATTCCCATGGATGTACAAGATGCTCTAGAACTATACAGGTAACTACTGGAACTTATTGATGAAGCCATATTGAATAATTTCTCTCATATGTGCTCTGAATAAATTCTCGTCAAGTATCAGATATTTAATATAATTCATTTAGATCGTTTGCGGAACAAGTTCTTGCCATGTTTTTTTTTTGTAATCACAACCCTTGAACCAACCAGTACTGGTGTCATATGAAGAAACATGGAGATGGCTCGAGTAGGACTCGAACCCATAGTCCTTAGGTTGAGGGGCAGACACATTAACCAAGAGGCCACCGCTCCCCTTTCCCCTTGTTTAAAAGAAATGGATTGTAGTACGAAACGTAATGTTGTGTAAGCTTGTTCCACCGCAAAATGGGTTTATATGGAGTTAAATAAAGGAGTATGTAAAAATCATAATGTAGAGCAATTTATTATATCTTACAAAACTTAAGTCATGCAATTAATTCAATTTTGAAAAAGAAACAAAACCAAATGCTATCAGATAGTATCAGATGTTAACTTTGAATTGCTTTTGCGTAGTGGATTGGTAAATTTTGCGATCTCATTTTTGAGTTATGTGCCTTTGAACCAGAATCTTTTACTTATTTGAGGTCAATTCAAGGACATTAAAGTAATACAAAGAAGAATGAAACACAAGGCTATTTGATCTGATAGCTATCTGATACAAGGGGGCTAAACTAGTTACATGCTTGTTCCCAAAATGTTGTTCTGAGATGCCCACAATGTAACTTCCAAACATGCAGATTTTACAGGATATATGTCTTATAATATTGTTATATTGTTATATTATATAAATGTATATAATTGTCTATTATTATTATTATTGTGGATGTATCATCTTTATACAGTAATATACCTCATAATGATGGAATCAAAGCATGTCAGTACTACCTTAATCAGAGAACAGGACAACAACATTCAGTTAAAGACATTTTACATCTTATTGAAATAGTGCTTACAAAAAACAACTTCCAGTTTGGTGATGATAACTATATACAGAATTTAGGAACAGCTTTGGGAACTAAAATGGCACCATCTTATGCTTCATTATTTATGGGAAAATTTGAAATGGACTTTTTAAATACACGTGAAAGAAAACCCTCAATATGGCTGCGATTTCTTGATGATATTTTTTTCATTTGGGACCACAGTGAAGAGGAGCTTATTACATTTTTTAATGAAATTAACAACTATCACAACACTATTAAATTTACTTATAACTACTCAAAATCAAATGCAACATTTCTAGACGTAAATTTGGAAAAGAAAAATAACTGTGAAATTGAAACTAGTGTCCATGAAAAAATAACAAATGCCCATCAATATATTGAATTTTCTTCATGCCATCCTTTGTCGTGTAAAAAAGGTATTCCATTTAGCCAGGCTAAACGATACAGACGAATTACATCAAATAACAACATATATGAAAAAGACTGTGACAAACTACGAGGTTATTTCCGTGCCAGAAACTATCCAGAAAATATCATTACAGACACAATTACCAGAGCATCAACTCTTAAAATTAAAAGACAAATCAGAAGAACGTGAAAATATTATCCCCTTTGTGTGTACATATAATCCATCTTTACCTAATATAGGTAAAATAATTAACCAATATTGGAACCTATTGAAATTTTCTCCAAATGAAAGTGTACGTAAATTATACAAATACAAACCAATTGTTGCTTATAAGAGACCGAGAAATTTACAAGACAATTTAGTTCATACTCAATTAAATACCAAACCCATGATTGGTGCAGTATCTAAATGCTGTAGACCTCGTTGTACTCATTGTAATACTTTCGTTGAATCAAATCATTTTGCAAGTACTACTATACCTAAAGAATTTGCTATAAAACGTGATTTTTCATGTATATCTTCAGATGTCATTTATCTTATAACTTGTAAAAAATGTAAAAAACAGTATGTTGGTCAAACTCAGCAAAAATGTAGTCAAAGAATGAATAGCCACAAATTTGATATTAAACACTTTCCTGACACTATTACCAATGTATCTGAACATTTTAATTCTGAAGGGCATTCTATCAAAGATTTTTCATTTATGCCAATTTATAAAGTAAAGAATAACTGGCAAATATTATTAAAAGAAACTTCATGGATGTATAAGCTAGGTACAATTATTCCTGATGGCATGAATTCCAAAATACTTTATTAATTTTGTAGATTATAATTCTCATTTAAATTTTTTTTTTTTTTTATAAAAAATTGTATTTTTCTATTTTTTATGCTTAATATGACTTAAAACTAATTTCATGTCAATATGTAGTTTATGCTGGTTTTCTTATTTTACATTGCTTTTTACTGCATCTCCACCAGTGTTTTGTATCTTTTATAAAAGATCCTACATATAAACATTTATACGCCAAATTATGTATTACATTTTGACGTCGTTGTCCTTGACGTCATTATGACGTTGACATCATTTCCTGTAAACAAAGTATGACCTGATGGAAGACTTTTGAGTCGAAACGTTGTATATATTTCAAATAAAAATAATTACATTTTAAATGTAACTGGAGTGATTTCTATATTCAAACTTACATTATTATATGATTTAAAATTTTCATACACAACATAAGAAGTAGTTATGTAAATTAAAATTACATAAACTCATAATCTATTCTGTTTCCCTTTTATAGGTTTGTTCCATAGAACTTATTCAAGACAACCTAGAAACTTCACTGGTGGATATCAAAACATGAATATTTGTTTACCAACACAAATCATTTTATCTTAAACTATGTCCATTTGTTTTATTTCCTTGCCTTAGGTTTAAAGACTGACACTTTCAAAAAAATATTGTTTAAAGGAAAAGAGCTCGCTTATATGAAATATAATCTGATAAAACAAATTAAATGGTTTTAACGAAATATATTGACAATTATTTAAGTCTTTAAGTAAAAAAATAAACAAGTGTTAACTTAAAACCAACTTTCTTTTCGGCATACAAACTTAAATATTTTGAAATCAGTCTAAGTTTTTACTTAGATTTAAACAAAATTGAAAAAATACTTATATCAAAGAAACAGAAATAATTATAGTTTTGAAAACAACCTAATACAAAACAAGAACTATTTCTAAATGTGATTAATACCCCCGCAAGACTGCTTCGGAAATGATGGAGTTATAAGTAATAGAATACATTTTAAAAGAATTGAAATTGAGTTATGGTTGTGGGCAATTAAAGATAGTTGTGGTTCTTGTATGTTTCAGTTCCAGTCAATGTGGTTTTACATTGATGAAGTGTTATTGAATTCAGAAAGAGTTACGCTTCTTGAGCACTGCACTTCATCTCATTGCGCTTGACCATTGTATGAAGTATAAAACATTAATTTTAAGTTATGCATCGGACAAGGAAAAGGAATAAAGGGCAATAACTCTACAAATACTGAAGATTGAGTTATGGTTATTGTATACTGCACTTCCTTTCATTGTGCTTGACCATTGTATCGAGTTGTATTGAATTCCAAACCATAGTTTTCAAGTTATGCACTGGAGAAAAAGTAACAAAGGGCATTGTATGAAGTTGTTTTGAATTCGAACCCGTGCTTTTAAAGTTATGCTCCGGACAAGGAAAGATATTAAAGGGCAAAAGCTCTGTAATTTGTCAAAATGGAGTTATGATTCTTGTGTACTGCACTTCCTCTTATTGTGCTTGACGATTGTATGAAATTGTATTGAATTACAACCAGTAGTTTTCAAGTTATGCTCCAGACAAGGAAAAGAAACAAAGGGCAATAACTATGTAATTAGTCAAGATGGAGTTATGGTTCTTGAGTACTGCACTTCCTCTCAATTCGCTTGACCATTGTATGAGGTTATAAGGAATTCCAACCATGAGTCTTCAGGTTATGCTCCGGACAAGGAAAATGCAACGGACCGCTTGACCGACCGACCGACCAACCAACCAACAAACCAACCGACTGACCGACCATCGGTTGACTGCTATATATCCCCCTAACTTCGTTTCGGGGGTATAAAAAGTTTTATTTAATGTAATATTAACCACTTTTGACGTCACTCTCAATATATATCAAACAATAATATTTCAGTTCCATTATATCACTTTTACTTATTTGCTTCACCCGTTCATATCTTAGTTTATTTACTAAACTCTGTTGGGAATTCAGTCGCTACTGGTCTGCTATTGGGATCATAGTTCAGCCCCTTGGTTACAATGTCTACTATTCTGCTACAAATACAGTCCATTTGTACAAGTTTTGTAATGCCATGTGGGACTTCTTTTTGACTCATAAATTCTTTAATTGTTTCAAACAGCTGATCTTTCATTTTCTTCTTCATCTTCCTCTTGTAATCCCCACATTGGACATTCACTGGAATAATTCTGCAAGAGTGCCTGCCATTCCCCAAACATCAGATTTTGTTTGATGCAGGTATATTACCAAGCAAAAATTTCTGGTGCTTGAAAGATAAGGGTACCTGGTTGCATACCTGGTGCAATAGGTGGTAGCAGAACTATTTATTGTTAACAATTTTGAAATCCCCAAGTCACATAATTTCACTACTTCTAAAGATTCTGATACAATGATGTTCTCTGGCTTTAAGTCTCGATGTAATATATAATAGGAGAACTGTTTGTGGCAAGTAAGCAACAGCCTGGGGTATCTTTTCAAGCAATGTGGCACTTTTTTAGAAGGGGGATTTGTTGGCATCGATCACCAAAACAGTAGGCCATCTAAATTTGATCCTTTTATGTACTCAGACACAATGTGTAATGCATTAAATATATATTGAATACCCCATAAAAACAGTATAATAATGTGTGGATAAGCCTTACTCTGCTGAAGAACTTTAACTTCTCGTTCAAGAGCTTTCTGGACTAGTTTAATTCGCCTTATTTTTTTACAGTTTTTATTGCAACTGGAGTAAAAAAAGATAATGTGCCAAATGTACTGTTCCAAAAGAGCCTTCCCCAATTTTAGGTCCCATACATAAACTATCATAAGGAATTTCTGGCACATTTACATCTGTTGAGAAATTAAGCGCGTGTATAGGATTATACTTGGCTGTACTTGAACGTTCTTTGATATAGTCACAGTTTGTCTGTTCACTCACATTCTCATTCATGACATGGCTTTTTATTACTTCATTGTCTGTAATGGAATCATAACTAGGAGTTGATCGTTCAGTAACAGTAACAATATCAACTGTTTTGTCCTCCATTGATGGTTCAGTAACACTGTCAACTGTACTGTCCTCCCATGATGGTTCAGTAACAGTGTCAACTGTACTGTCCTCCATTGATGGTTCAGTAACAGTGCCAACTGTTTTGTCCTCCATTGATGGTTCAGTAACAGTAACAACTGTTCTCTCCTCTACTGATGGTTCAGTAACAGTAACAGTATCAACTGTACTGTCCTCCATTGAATGGTTCAGTTACATAAGCAGTATCAACTGTACTGTCATCCAGGGACTGAAGTCTTACTCGGTCAGTTAAAATCTCCTGAGTTGCATGACAAGTGTTTGTTGAAAGTTTTATTTTTTCTGCCAGCAAAGCTTGAGAGTCCACCCTTACAGCTGCACATTCATAAAGTGTATCTTCATCTGATACCTTCACCAAGTATTCACCAGGATCAGTTACGGGGATTAAGCAAAGGTCAGGTCCACTTGCAAAGAGTTCGTTGTTTTTATACCACTGAAAATATGCACCAGAATTATGTTCTTTATAAAGTACTCCAAGTATGATTTCCTTGTTTTCTTGCTTCTCAAAACCCACAATCTGGTCAGGTGTATGAATTATTCCTTTTGCATTTGATGTAGCTGTTGGATATTCAAAGTGGTTAGAACTCGGATCTGCTTGGCTCAAAATAGAGATCTTGTTGACTGTTATGCCTGTCACTTTGAAACTATTTTCCAGTGGATTATACCCATCTCTTTCTCTGTCAGGATCACTTACAATTGTGTCAAGAAAGCAGTCATCAATGGTTTGACAGATTTTTTGTGAACATTCTGCTGTGTATGATGAGTTGCAAAGTTTAGTGTACTTTACACATATTTCACCAGGTGTTTGGTCATTTACTATCAATGATGTTAAAGGAACCGGAATGCTTTTATCATCTACATGCTGTCTAACTGGCTCTCTACCGTCAATCTCCTGTTTTTTAGATGTTCTCAAATATAAAAAGTACTGAGAGGAAAACACGCCGATAGACTTCAAGTATGTTTGCAAATTACATTCTTCCCCATTTGGCATGACAAATTTTGAGATTACTTCTCCGTTATATGTAGACAGGTTCACTACCATATCTGATAACTTTCCCATATCATTTTTTCCATCTGGAAAGAAAATGCTAGTTGCATAATTTATAACTGTCTGAACAGTTTGCTCTTCTTCTTTTTTAAATTCGTATATTCTTGTACCGCCTCCTCTCCGTGCGGTAACTTGTCTTAACTTCCCACGAGTTTCATGAAGCCATCCAAGGTGCAACTTATATATGGCATGTCTACCAGTACCTCGCTGTTTCTGAAAGAAGAAATAATAAGCTATCTAGAGTAATTTATTGAAAATACACCAAGGGATATAGTTTTATATAGAAATTTTATGAATCTTTCAACCATCATAACTGAATCTCATTGAAAACTTAAATGTATACGTTATTTAATAAAGCGCCCAAAAATATGTGTCACTCACATGAAAACTTGCTGTTTATTTCTTTCAAAAAAGTACATAATTTTACGCAATGGTCGTATTCATTGATTCGTTAAATTAATCTAGGTTTTGACAAAATCAAAACACAGTCACCAGACTAAAATTTTAACTAAGTGATCTAGTATTTACCACTCATTTAATGTCCAATATTGAGAATACCTTATGAACACTTTGAACATGTTTCATGAAAATCACAAAAGAAATGTTACCCTGTGTTAAAATACAGTCGCGAGCAACCAGTGATCATGATGACTGTGTTACCTGATTATTGCAAATTAAGCAATTGTATTGTTCTGTTAATTTTTCAGCTACTTTGTAGCATGTTACAGTTATTGTGTAGCAGGAGACACAGACATCAAACAGACGGATGGACACACAGACACCTGCATGCTCTTAATTTGATTTGACTTCTTGACTTAATTTTTGATTGCACTCGACCAGCTTTCAAATAAAACATTTATAGAGATGAAACATTCTGTCAATGTATCACAAAGACCAGAACGTATTTTGACTTTTTATGTCTTAATTTTGACTTTTGTATATGTCTTATGTATTTTGACTTTGTATTATGTCTTATGTATTTTGACTTTTGTATTATGTCTTATGTATTTTGACTTTTGTATTATGTCTTATGTATTTTGACTTTTGTATTTTGTATCATGGCATATGTAATACGGCTTATGTATTGTGTATTACGGGTTAAGAAGTATGCATTATTTGATTTATACAGACATGTAAGAAGTAAGAAGTCTCGCAGCTTGCTCATCTATTACCCTATCTCCTTGGTGATAATTTTACTTGCGAATACTAAATTTGACTGTTATTTGCATGTCGGTTCTGTGCCAAAATAATCATAAATGTTCAAACTGTTTTCTACAACTGAATCTTAGTGTTAATAGAAATAAAAGAAGATTTTGCATGTAGGTTATTTAAAGTGTTTATTTTTATATTATGTAGTCAAACATTGCACAAATGCTTTAGAAGAATGAAAAGTCAAACATTTGTTATTTGTCATTTTCAAGAAATCTTTATCGATTTGGTAGAGAACCGCTGCATGTATCAGATCATTCTTTAAGTGATTTTACATTTCCACCTATTGATCATGTTTAGAAAAAAAACAAAGAATTGGCTTCAAAATGTCATATTTTAAATTATAAAAAAAATCCTTTTTTTCACCATAGATTCCTCAATATCAGATTAATAATTATCATTTATTGTACTCTTTGTATTTTCACATATTAATATACATTATAGTAAAGTTTCATAACATAAAACATTCAATTTGGAGAGGAAAAAAGTAATATTTTGAATGATTACATACTACAAGCTGTCTTACTTTTCATATTAATTACATATCATTGCATGTATATATATAGTGATATCAAAATACAACTGATTCAGGTACTCTCATATTTCATTCCTCCACAAAATATGATAAACAAAATCAACAAGTTAAGGCAGCGTTCAATGAACGCAAAAAAAAGACAATAGTGTGAAACTTCTTATTTATTTATAATTTGAATAAGTTATGCTGAATTAATGCAATTGAATCAACCATTTCACTTAACTTGATTTTTATATTAATTAGGATTATATGGCACGTAATCTGACAAAAGAACAAAGTTGTACATGCACAAAGTATCATAGTAGATGACTTTAAGCATTAAAGATGCATGCCTCCAGATGAGTCAAAATATTTTTAAAAAAAACTCAAACTTAAGATAAATATGCTAAGATTTTAAGAAAAGTAAAGAGATTCAAGAATTAAGTTATAATTTACATGTTGGGATAAATCACTGGTTTTGCATTATGTATCACCATAATTCTCCTAACGCGTAACGAAAGGGCTATATTTGCCAATTTAACCACCTTTGCTAATTTACGTGGATTGTAAGTAGATTATTACTTTGTTCATAACAATATTTTCCTTTTCATATTATTCATGAGAATTTTCATGAATGTTTGAAGTATGCTGCTTTAAAAAGTTAAAGAGTTAATTAAAATCCTTAATTATTATATATTAAATCATGACTCAGATAAAGATGTACATATATGAAAGACTGTTTTTTCTAAACTAAAATGTTTATTTTTGTTGCAAGTTTAAAGGCATGGGACATGTTCTTCACACTTCTTTAGGAGGACCCAGCAACTGCCAAAGCAAAAATTTATTTGGTAAAACATCATTATTCAGTATCTAGGGAGTTGTACTTCTAAATCATAAACCTGTTTCTTGAAAAAATACTTTTTATTTTCCATTGTAAACAGAGTAACGTAACAGACTGAATGTCTCATTTTTTACCTTTTTTGGATTTTCCATCATAAGCTGTTTCTTCTTCTTTTTTTGCCCTGCTATATTTTTAACTAGCTTTCCTTAATTGTTTTCTTCTCACATTTTCCTGTAGGAGAAAATAATGTATATTTCATACAGAATATTGCAAGAATCAAGTTTCACAAATGTATCAAAATGTGTCTGTCTTGCAAGAATCTTGTTACTTAATCTAACAAATAATATTCATTCATAAATCAGATGACCAATAATGGAATAAGACCTAGAAAACCAATCAAAACATTTTCCTGGCAAATCTTTACAAAATTTGCGGTGAAAACGTAAATTCTAGAGAGTTAAGATTTAGGGCACTGTAAACTACTTTTTCTCACGAAATGAAATGGTCCATATTAGGACTCGTCCGAGAAATATTTGGGACAAACATCCTGACCATGTTCAACAGAGGCAAAGGAGTGACCATCAGTGTATTAATGTGGCTGGACATTCATAAAACCTTACTAAGCCACTGTTTGACTGATGTGTTCTAAAAAAAGAACCTGATATTGAGACAACTTTGCAATTAGAATCGAGGTGAAAAGTAAAACTATAAAAGAGCAAGATGGTTCTAAAATGTACGTCAGTGTTGGTATACTTTTCTGGCCCTTCGTGATCTTTGATGCCAGCAGTATTAAGTGTGGATAACTGAGTACCGCTCAAGACGGTACAAGTTGGCGTGAGGGATGTTGCACTTATTCATTATCCCTCATGTACAGACTCAATCAAACTGAGTCTGCAATTTTCGCATAATTTTGTTGTGATTAATGCTTCAGGGGGATCACTTTGTTTCCATTTTTTTCTTTTCAGTGATACACATGCCAGTGAAGAGCTTGGAAGTTGAATTTCTATTATTAACAAAACAATATTTTGAAATTTGGAATAATTTTTATATATCTTAATAATTACATTTTCACACATAAATCATGCTTTGTTGTTTGCTACAAAATTCAAATTCTCCGTAAGTGAGATACCAGGAGTGTATAGTGAGATATCTCACAGATGGCCGGGAAAATGCAAGGGTTTCCAATACACTTATTCTCCCAAACCTTTCCTTTTTGTAAATATTTACAAAGGTACTTTATGTTTATCTTTCCATAAATCTACTTCAAATGTTATGTTTCTCAAAATCAAAACTGACATTCCTCGCTTGTGTTATCCAATTCAGTTCTAGAGAACAATAATCCTGCTGGTCAGGTTTTTTTTAATTGATTTTGTTATTGTAACTGCTTTAAAAACACTTATTAAAGGCAGTTTTAAATTAAAGTGTAGCATTCTTATAAGTACTCCATTATAACATTTATACATGTCTCATATAAAGTTGTGTTATCAATTGTTATTAGCCTATGACACAGAAAGTGTTACTTCGATATGATTTTGAAATAGATATTGTTATTTTATTCTTGATAAATTATCATTAATTATTCCTTGAATCATTTAGTGGTCTCCTGAATAAACTTGTTACACATGAATAGATTATTCCAAGTGTTGTGACTTATCAGTTCATACCGGGTCAACATTGCATCATTTTATATCTCACCTTACAGTAATAGCCAGCAACTTGAAAGATGTAGATAAAAGTGATTTATATTTTCCCTGTTGTTCGCATAGTTTCTATACAGACCATAGTACAGAACAATATATACAAACTGAATTAAAGATAAAACTCTAGAAATCTAAATGATGAATTTATAGATATTTTTGAAATTTTATGTGCTGTAAAAAATTCATTAAGTGAAATATGATCAGACCTATAAATATTCTTTAATGTTATTGCTGTTTCTCAAAATACACATCACCTTACCATACATTACGTGTTATATATGCTAACTGGCTTTAATGACGCTGTATCTGCCAAGTGGTACCAGTCCTTTATTAAGCCGTCAAGTGTATCATAATCCATGCTTTTTTAGGGAATGAAACTTATTCCGCTTTTACACTCATGAATGAAGTTTATCTATATTTGAAATTTGATTCTTATGACAGGCATTATCCCTGCTAACATAAAAAAACAGGTGGCCATAGTAAATCATGATGTTTGCAAACATCAAAGCAGTAAAATCACTTATTAATTAATCTTGGATATTTTTTATTTATTTCCTTACTATTTCAACACAAAGAAAGTCAAAATATATTGTTCAAGTGATTGCACAGGTTAATGACCAGATTTGGTGAGATAACACTGTGAGGAGTACTTTGCACTAACAGCAGGAATATTTACCTGTTAAATTGTCTAAATTTTGTACTCTTGATGAAATCTTTGTAGTTTTAGCTGATACATGAATCGGAGCAAGTATGTGCTATAAATAAATAGCATAAATAGTGTTCGCTATAAACAAACAATAATACATTGAGAAATAAGCTTGTATAAGGGAGCCTAACTGTTTAAATTTCAACACTTACCAAATTGTCTTCTGTTTCACTATCAGATTTACCTCCGTCAGCCATAATGGGCGCATGTGATGAAACTTGCCTTTTTGCCGCCTTTTTTGTCAAGTCATAATACATAAGACAAAAGTCATAATACAAAAGTCATTAGTCATAAGACAAAAGTCCTAAGACAAAATGGCACTTATGGGCTTCCGTAAAAATGTAATATTGTGCTGGAATTTTGTCGGAGGGTCCTTAGGGGTTTTGTAGTTAAATAGTTTTTTTTCGGCGATAATGGTTCAAGAATATAATGTTTTCAAACTATATGTTCATCACCATCAGTGAATTTTTAGTTAAATGTATGCAAAATATTTACTCACAGCTATATGATATAGCGGTTTATGAGCGTTTTCCGCGTATAGCCTCCTGGGGTGTACTAATAAGTTAGTTTTCCTTAGTTATCACGCAAGCATGATCCATGTCTCTGATGTAAGCGACAGTTTACAATTATTTGTCTTTAAAAAATATTAAGGACTATTAATGGTTTATAACAACAAAAGAACATGCATGATATTGAGAATACGGTGTTGCAACGTTCTAGTTAATGACCCGTCATAAACATGGTCGCTGCGTAGTAATTGGAAAATTGTTATCAAAAATAATAAAGAATATTTGCCACTAAATTAAAGCATTTACTTATAAATTTTCATTTATGCTTTTTGTTAAAAAAATATTGATAAAAGTTATTATTTTGAAGGGTTTTCATACCAGAACTATTTATTACAGACGTACGTATGCCTAAACCTGATTACCGCGGCAGTATGACGTCACGGAGTAGTGATTTAAACAAAAATCAAGAATTTTTCAGAGAATTATTATCTTTACAAATTGCAGATATGAAATTAAAGAATGAAAATATTTTCATATTGTAAATGTCTGTGATGAGTGATGAGTCAGCTTAGAAAAAATCAAGGTACTATTTTTTGACCTGATTACCGCGGCAGTAAGATTTGACGGACAGTTATTAACATTGGGTCGGCATAGCCTCCCCAAAAATGTATTGATACAAGCAACCAAAAATATCAGGAATGGTTATGATATTTGTTTGTATGACTAATTTGAATTCAGTCTTGATGGGCTTGTACTAATCACTCAAGTAAATGGAAATGAGATAGCAACGTGTCAATAAGACACAGATGACCACATTCCACTGTTTTGTCAATCTACTGACTTTAGGACAAATGTTTTTGGGCTACATGTGACACGAAATTGAAAACTGAAAATCCTTTACTTAGTCAATGACAAAAATACTGAAAAAATCCACAAGCAAACCCCAATGTGCATAACTACACATGCTGACAAACATTCTTGTATACTTTCAGGACTATAGGTCAATTAGTGTTTGAGCTATGCATGAACGAGTCTATAATTTATAATAAGTCAATGGCAATAACTCTAACAAAACTAAAAAAAATCCATGTGCAAAATCCCAGGTGCACAGCTTCAAAATGATGTTGATCATCATTCTTGTAAAGATATTTGATTCTTACTCTAGTACTAAAGGTACACTTAACAACATTTTAGAATGAGTTTTACTAAGTCAAGGACAATAACTTTACTACAAATATTGAATAAATCCACACGCAAACACCCAGGTGCACAACTACACATGCTGACCAATATTCCTATAAATGTCATGACACAGATGACCACATTCCACTGTTTTGTCAATCTACTGACTTCAGGTCAAATACTTTTTGAGCTACATGCGACACAAGTTGAAAATTGCAAATTTTTACTTAGTCAAGGGCTGTTACTCTACTACAAATACTGAATAAATCCACACGCAAACACTAAGGTGCACAACTTGCATTTAAATGTGGTAAAACCTCACATGCTGGAGTTATATAACTTGAGAATCTCTTGACCAATACCAAATATACTAGGCTCTGAATCTTGAAGCTTCCGACAAGATTTCATTTTGAAAATATATTTTTAGCTCAAGTGACCAAGTTATTCATAAAATCATGATCATTAATACAACTCTTGGAAAGCTCTCACTTAAGGTTGGTAAAATTTTACTGAACGGCTTGAGATGTCATATGTCATTTCAAGAAATGACAGCCCATCACAAAGTCCCCCAGTAAGCTCAAGTACAATTAGTATTTATACCCCCAAAAACGAAGTTTGGGGGGGTATATAGGAGTCACCCGGTGGTCGGTCGGTCGGTCGGTTGGTTGGTCGGTCGGGCGGTCGGTCGGTCGGTCCAGACGTCCGTTGCATTTTCCTTGTCCGGAGCGTAACTTGAAAACTAATGGTTGGAATTCAATATAACTACTTACAATGGTCAAGCACATTGAGAGGAAGTGCAGTGCACAAGAACCATAACTCTATCTTGACTAATTACAGAGTTATTGCCCTTTGTTACTTTTCCTTGTCCGGGGCATAACTTGAAAACTACTGGTTGGAATTCAAAACAACTTCATACAATTGTCAAACACAATAAGGGGAAGTGCAGTGCACAAGAACCATAACTCTATCTAAAGTAATTACAGAGTTATTGCCCTTTGTTGCTTTTCCATTGCCTTCTTTTTTTTGTCCGTTGCATTTTCCTTGTCCGGAGCATAACTTGAAGACCAATGGTTGGAATTCAATATAACTACATACAATGGTCAAGCACATTGAGAGGAAGTGCAGTGCGTAAGAAACATAACTCTATCTTGACTAATTACAGAGTTATTGCCCTTTGTTACTTTTCCTTGTCCGTGGCATAACTTGAAAACTACTGGTTGGAATTCAAAACAACTTCATACAATTGTCAAACACAATAAGGGGAAGTGCAGTGCACAAGAACCATAACTCTTTCTAAAGTAATTACAGAGTTATTGCCCTTTGTTGCTTTTCCATTGCCTTCTTTTTTTTGTCCGGACCATAACTTGAAGACTAATGGTTGGAATTCAATATAACTACATACAATGGTCAAGCACATTGAGAGGAAGTGCAGTGCATAAGAACCATAACTCTATCTAAAGTAATTACAGAGTTATTGCCCTTTATTACTTTTCCATTACTTTCTTTTGTCCGGACCATAACTTGAAGACTAATTGTTGCAATTCATTATAACTTCATACAATGGTCCAGCACATTGAGAGGAAGTGCAGTGCACAAGAACCATAACTCCATTTTGACTTATTACAGAGTTACTGCCCTTTGTTTCTTTTCTTTGTCCAGAGCATGACTTTAAAACTACTGGTTGGAATTCAAAACAACTTCATACAATGGCCAAGCACAATAAGGGGAAGTGCAGTGCACAAGAACCATAACTCCATCTTGACTAATTACAGAGTTATTGCCCTTTGTTACTTTTCCATTGCTTTCTTTTGTCCGGACCATAACTTGAAGACTTATTGTTGGAATTCATTATAACTTCATACAATGGTCAAGCACATTGAGAGGAAGTGCAGTGCATAAGAACCATAACTCCATCTTGACTAATTACAGAGTTACTGCCCTTTGTTACTTTTCCTTGTCCAGAGCATGACTTGAAAACTACTGGTTGGAATTCAAAACAACTTCATACAATGGTCAAGCACAATAAGAGGAAGTGCAGTGCACAAGAACCATAACTCCATCTTGACTAATTACAGAGTTATTGCCCTTTGTTACTTTTCCTTCTCCAGAGCATAACTTGAAAACTACTGTTTGGGATTCAGTACAACTTCATACAGTTGTCAAGGACATTAAAAGGAAGTGCAGTGCACAAGAGCCATAACTCCATTTTGACAAAATACAGAGTTACTGCCCTTTGATACTTTTCCTTGTCCGGAGCATAACTTAAAACGTACTGGTTGGAATTCAAAACAACTTCATACAATGGTCAAGCACAATAAGAGGAAGTGCAGTGCACAAGAACTATAACTCTATCTTCAGTATTTATAGAGTTATTGCCCTTTGTTCTTTTTCTTTCTGGACTTATTACGGAGTAATTCAATTAAACTTCATCAATGGCCAACCACATTGAAAGGAAATGCAACATACATGAACCACAATTATCTTTAATTTCCCTCAACCATAACTCTATGTTTCAATTCTATAATAAAACAAGGTATTCTGTTACTAGTAACATCCTCATTTCCGAAGCAGACTTGTGGGGGTATTAATCACATTTAGTGATAGTTCTAGTTTAAACTAGTCATCTTTTATCAATACATGTATTTAATTTTAACTTAATTTCTTTTTTTAGCAACAGTGACCGTGATTACATACACCCATAGAGCAACCCAAAGCTGCCTCTTGATAGAAGCTATCCACACTTTATCAGCAGGCCAAAACAAACTCAAGTTATTGAGCAGAAACCAAAGTTGATTCCCGCCCCCTTTCCAGTGTTAACAGTTTTATGTAAATTGGCTAACTTGTTATCCAATTGCTACACTGAGATAATACATAGTCACTGGTTGACCTGGTTTGCACAAAAGAACACATGGTTATGTTTGTGATACTGTTAGTGAGCAGTTGACCTAGCAATGAATGGAAAAGGTGTGACTAAATGTTCTGCTACGAAAAACCGGAAAGGTCCATAATTAGTTTTGATGAGATGATCATGATGCTACAGTAGTTTAGAAATATATTTTCTGCCCTACAAGCCAAGCCTGTGTTATGTCTTGCATTACATAATCAAAGTTCACTTCGCCACTTGTATAAGGATTTCAAGAATCAGTCACAAATACAAAAAGTACCTCTAACTACAGCTTTCGAGTCAGCATCGTATCCTTACTAAGTTTATACAAACTTATTTTAGTTTGTGTTGAGAGCTATAAGCTTATTGAAACACTCTCAAATCAGTTCCTTGAACTAACCAGTACTAAGCAAGGAGAGTAGTTACTTCCTCATGGAAACAACAGCTTGTATCGGAAGGGATTTAAACCCATGCATCCAGCAGTCCTTTATATTACTAGCTCAATGTGTTATCGTCTTTGCCACACCACCACTACCACTAGGCTTACTTGACCCTTGCTCTGCTTGTATCAAGTGATTGTCCTTAGCCACCGATCAAGGCCAGCTTGCTTATCTGTGCTGTCTCACCAGATATACCACACTTTTGGTAACCTGACTTGTGTATGAAACTTTTAAGGGACTGTCAAAAATTCTAAGTTGAAACAACCATTTACATTAAGACGTATTGGCTGCAATAAAATCAGTAATAATTGTCACAACTCATTGGTAGCATTAATACATCTACAAAATGTAATTAATTCAATGAAAGAATAACAAACAATTTTCACATTTCATATTTTTTTTAATTTAGATTTGTTAATGATTATTTGTACATGATAAAGTTGTATGTCCTAAAGCCAGTCAGATCTACGATTGACAACAAAATAGAGTAGAACTGACCAACTGCTATATACAATAGAGAAAAGTATAAAATTTGATTTGACAAATTAACAGAACCTATATTCAGGTACAGTAAAAATGAAACAGTGATTTCAATTCCTGACAACAACTCGATCTACCTCTTACCCAAGAATCATCAGATTCATGGAAGAAATTGCAATCTCTTTTTCTACCCACAGTGCCACATAGTCACCTTGACATGAAACAAATACAACTGCATATAAACGAAGAAGCAGTTTTCAATAGTTTAGTGTTGAGGCAACAACTGGTAAGTCTGGTGCTATCTTCGTAAGATTCTTGTAAGTTATCTAGTTGTTATTGCAACAATTTAAAAAGTTTGTTTAAATGTTTAAAATATTAGTATCTTTCAAGTTAAAAAAAAGACCCATTCCTTCCTCAGTGTGAATAATAAACATGTAAACTGATCTCTTTTTTTTTTACAGAATCCTCAAATTTTTAATTGTAAGACAAAAAAATGTCAAAAATGATACAAGTTCACAAGAGTTTCATTTGGAACTATTCCACTCGACAACGGTTTTCTTTCAGAACACAGCTTATTTACTTATGGACAACACTGAAATGCTGAGAGATGAAAATGCTACACGCAAACACTGAATTAGCCTATTCCAATACATTTTTGTTGGGACCAGCCCACTTATTTGACACAGTCTTTGATTTGTTCCACAGTTTTTACAATTACCACAAAATAAGCTTGCTTTGCTTGTAGAAAGAACAACAAATGTACCTCCTTAAATTTAGCCTTAGTAAAACAACAAAAGATTGATTTGTTAGTATACAAGAAGGGAGATCATAATAAAGAACAAGACCAGAAATGACAAAACTCTGTTTTAACAAAATGGTTTTTTTTTCTTAGTAACCTTTAAGAATATTTCAGTGAATGACACTTTACAGAAATTAAATTTACTTCACGAAAACACTTACTCTTTCAATCCAGCTTGTCTTATCATATAGGAATCTTATGAAAATTCATGTTCCTAACGGTTGACTAAATACAAGACTAAAACTTGTAGTTCTTACCCACTTAATATAATGGAATCTGCCATCAATCAAACAAATTTCTTTTGAAATTTATCGGGCAGCTTAAGGCTTTAGTATAAATGATTTAAATGTCCCTTTAACACTTGCTTAAAACATTAAAATTTCTACTTGCATAAAAACATTTTTCCAAGTGATTTTATTCATCAAGAACTTGTTTAACTCTGAACTGAGCTTTGACCTGTCTGTTGTAAATTTAACTGGTTTAGAGATCTCTGAGCAGCAAATAATTTATAGAAGGCCAGCCTGGTTCAATGTTGATGTTGCAGGTAAAACATTTTCTGTCACTGATGCTTAAAGACTTCACACGTAACTACTCTAAGGAAGAAGTATGACATCAATTACATATATATCGTCAATCATATACAAATAATATCACTTCATCTACGTTTTTTTTATTTCCTCAAAAAAATAATGAATTCATCAAATATACAGGAGTTAAAATTTTCTTACATGATAATCTTATGAATGAGAAATTTACAATGAGGATGATGGATGTATGAAAAAAAAAACACTTCTCCCATTAACACACAAACACATACACAAGTGAGAGTAGTCAACTAATTAGTTCTCTACCATGTGACATATATTTTCATAACCATTTCCCCCAGTTGGATTTGTGTTGACACACTTCCTCATATGAAGAACTGTCCATTTCAGAGTTGAAATATAACACAATACAGCTTACAGGTTAGAATGTACACAAGTACAATCTAACCAGGGCTTTATACTATTTCATGTGACCAATAATTTTCATCACCAACTTTAGCACTCAAGAGTAATAAAACATCCTGATTAAATAAATAACACAAAGCAACACACAGGGGTAATTTAACAAATAGATTTTAAAGGGTAACCAATGCTTATAATTACTTAGGGTAAATAAATACATGTAAACTGTTGTTCGGAATCAATGTTCAGATTACCAGACAAGCTTTTACTAGAGTATGCCAGAAAACATGTCACCAATTATCTTTGAACATCTATTTCAAGACTTATGGAATTCTATGTCCTAAAATTTACTTCTTTCATGTATTTCCATTAATGAGACAGATTCTTTACATAAATTGCTTCTTGTGGAAATACTGATTGTTATATTCAAAGTAAGAGGCCTATAACCATAATATTGCATTTCCTCTTAAGTACTAGTTAATATTTCAGTATTCTTCAGCTGCCATTAACTGCCATACCACTATGGATGGCCCCATGACCAACTGAACAGCACTGAAATTATATAGGGTATGTATACTAAGAGGAAATGCTCTATTACATTACAAGTCATCACTGTAAGATAGTCTGTGAATGTGTTCATAAAGAATAAAATATATAATTGTATAGAAATAAAACAAACAAAGAAAATGTGTATTAATTAATTAATAATAATAATATGCCTCAAAGTTCATTCAGTACATTTCAGATGCAAAACATTCCCATCCGCATTACAGACAACACACGAAAACAAAAATAAATGTAAGGTTTTAAATAAAAGCTGTACCAGAAGGTACAATGGGAAAAAAAAACAGTGTATGGAAAACAATTTTAGCACTTATATATGATCTTTGGTGAAGAGTTATCAACAAAAAATGACCACATTTTCTAGGGCACAAAACATACAAATTCCTCTTTCATGTTTAAAATATGTTGTAGCATCTATAAAACCTATCAATACTTTCATGTTCAAATATCAAACAAAAAAGTTCCTAATAGTCCATTATCATATATTTTGATCAGTTATTTCATAAAAATAAAACGTATGGCATTTTTGGGACATATATAAGTCTTTGCTGAACTTGCAAAATCTAACATTATTATAACAATGTCATTATGGTCACAGATTTGCAAGTGTAAATGACTAAACTATTTAATCTATGAATTAGGTATGGCCCTATTCTTTGATAATATGATATATCAACTTTGGCAACATATTATCAAGGTTGTTTACTGGCCAATTATGTCAACAAAATGTACTGTACCTAGCTAACAAAAAAATAAAAGAAACCCAAAAAACAATACTTTAATTTGCATTGGCAGTAGAAACAATAAATATTGCATTACAGACATGCTTAGACGTAATTTTCTTTCAAAAATATAGAATAAAAACATCTTAGAAAACAAAACTTTTTGTTTCCCTATGAACAAAAAAGGCTAACATTCACTTTACTTATGAAACCATACCATCTTACATCAAAGACTACTCAAGGACCATTATTCCTCTGTCAAAATAAGAAGATAAAAACTCTTAAAATGTTTTTTTATCTACTTTGAACTTGACAAGACAAAAAAAGGTTCAATTCACAAAATAAAAAAGATACTGTGACATGTTTAAATATATTTTTTTGTAAGTTTATTTCACTATGTAAAAAAATCCCACACAATTGCTGCTTTTGAGTAAAAATCATCAGTCACATAGTAAATGATGAACCTTATTGTCACAACATGATCCGCATCAGAAAACAAACTGTGACATAATATATTTTGATTAATGATTATATAAACATGTACTATCACACACAACAATTTGACTCTCTTAATGAATGACCATTTACAATGTTGCCTAGGTTCACAAGACATGAAAGAGACAAGTATGATTTGAAGAAGACAAATAATTCTTTTAAAAAAAACACGAATAATTCTACTTTAGATTCTACATATAGTAAATGATTTTTTTCCCAATAAAATAATGTTAAATGTAAGGTGAAATATGTTACATTGAGATCTTCAGTTCTGAACTCGCATATCCGTATATTCAACTGTAATATATGTATATATAATAAAATTTATACAAAAAGTTGTTGCTTATTTTTTTGTATCTGGCGAACATATTTCTAACACTAAAGAAAAATTTATACACATTAGACACATGATAATGTTACATAGAATGGCACATATATGTCTTATACTAAACAAACATGTTCCATATTTTACAACACTATGCAAGCTACAAGTATGTAAAATATAAAATGTTTTAATTTTCAAATGCATATACAGAGAGATTTTATTCATTTGATCATTAAATAAAAAAAAACAATGCAAGGGTTCCCATTTTCAAAATTTATAATACTTGACTCTCTTGAAAATAATAAAACTTCCAACCTTCAATAAAAAAAAATTCCAGAGTATAAGTTTTTCAATAAATATCTTCTATTTGAACCAAGCTAAAAAAAATATTTTCAATGAATATCTTCTATTTGAACCAAGCTAAAAAAAATAATTCTGTACAACTACTGAAGATTGCAAACATAACTGCTCATGTTTTCTTAGATCAAGACCGCATTTTAAAAATATAAAACTCATGAATATTGACAAGGATTGCATCTGGCATAAATTTTAAACATGTATTTATTCAACCTGAAATATGTTATCAAATTACAACATATCTGGGTACACAGTCATATTCACAATTCAGTTGTAATCAGTTACAGAATTGTTTCATCTTCATTCAGATATAGAGGTAAGTCTTCATTGTTTAGAAAATAAAAAGACGTATCACAGTCATAAAAAGTAGTATTGGTCTTATTAACAATTTACATTGTTTTATTATGTAAAAGGAAACAAAATTTTATACATTATATATTTATTTACCAGTATCGAATTTCTGTTAACAAAATTAACTCACAAGATCCTCAAAATGTTCCATACGAAACTCATACGAAACTCACACATTGCCATATTATGACTTTATCTAAAAATAAAATATCCTTTGGTTGTTTCATGTCCAACCTTTCTTCAAGGGCAGCATTTCGATGTAAGGAATTGTCTTCCCAGATCTTACCACCATATCATAGATGACAGAGGAGACTTGGGCCAGCCCTTCCCTATCTATCCACCTCGCTTGATCATTTCTATTCCTCAGAAAGATATAAAAACTTTCCTATGTAGAGAAATTTTGCATCAAGCACTTCACTGGCACCACACAACAAAAATATAAATAATTATACAACAAATGTCTTGGCCAGCACAGTTTTGTAGGTGGGCTATTCTACTTAGGTCCCTGCTGTAAGTATATCTAAGGGCTTTGTGTCATTAAGTTGCTAACCGTTGACGTTTTGGCGAAGGTCCGAGAGCTGCATCAGAAGAATCTTCCTCTTCTTCGTCTGAATCATCTTCAGGATAATCTACCAGGCCTATTATTCCAGGCTGTAAAGATATTATAGCACAAATGAAATTATAAGTACAGATAATCTAACAAAAGGAAACATATATACAAATATCCAAACTTAATATGTTTCGTGTTTTTATATTTTGGACACTACAAAATAGTGGTATTGGCTCTCCAGCATTTAATCTTTGAGTGTAAGCTTGACCGAGTTGCACAATACTGGCAGGAGTTCTTTCAAGCCACTTTATTCCTGAATAATAACCTTATTCAGGTTGACAAATGTGCTAAGTTTATACTAGATCCTTATATCGGTATCCTAGAGGTATAGGACTCTTTTAAAGTGGACACAGTGGAGAAAGACTTATCAACTCAACCATGTAATTCCAGTGTAGCCTCCTCCACATTTTTGTGTTTGGGTATAATCAGTGTAGTTTAACTTGAAAGTTAACAGAAGTATTACATTATCTCTCTTCAGATAAAATTCTTTTTTAATGATTTTATTCCAACATCAAAATCTTTTCATATTTCCATTCAAAGCATAAAAACAAGAAACAGTTAGAAAATTTTATTTAAAAAACAATATTTTTGTACACACCCTTTTCCCCTGCAGTGTATTATTAACTTTATCATCACGTATTGGAGTAGCCGGCGAGCCTGCTGGTGTGGGACAAGCAGAGCCAGTACGTCCTGGTGACCCTGGACTGTTCGGACTGTTTGGTCGTTCTGGTGATGTTTGTGGGCTGGTTAAAGGACTTGATTTTAATGTTATGTTGATCGGAGACGCAGACTTATTGATTATCCTTGTTGGTGTTTCTTTCATATCATTTTGGACCTTGTCTGAAAAAACAGCAAACAGAAATTAATCTTATTCTATGTAACGCACTGCCCACACAAATAGATATATGTATTATAAATGTTTTTAACTAAACAAAAACTATACATCAAGTTGCAAGTAATTATCTAATTTAATCTTTTATCTTTTTTTTTTAATTTTATAATAATCAATGTCGACACAAAGTTTGAAACTTCTGACCAAAGAAAAGTTACAGAAAGACAACAATTAATTTACAAGCTTACCTCTTCTGTTCCCAATAAATTTGTCAATTTGATCAAAATCATCAAGTTTACTCTTGAGCATATCAGACATTGGCACTATATTCTCTCCATCATCTACATCATCTTCCTGATCAAACCACATCTCTTCCTCTTCTTCTAGCGCTCGCTGGTCACGTCGGAAACGATTGTTCCGCAATGACAAAGCAGTGTTACTGTATGAAAAATGGAATTTTTCTTCATTTGAAATAACAATTTCCTATTTGAAGTATCTGAAAGAAGCTCCGATAAAAAACCAAATATGCAAAGTTCATGATCTTAAAATGATTCGTTTGGGCTTAAAATGAGAAAGCTTTTAATAAGTTTACTTATAAGTTTACTATGAAATATTGAGTCAACTGTCAAGTCAACTTACAGCAAAATTGACCTTTGCAAAACATGATTTCCAATTTTTTTGGAATGTTGGCGTCATACTTATATATTTTGCCACCAGAACTTATAACAAGAAATTCCTTAAAATTAATGTTATTTAATAGGTTTTTTCTTTGGGGCAATCCATTAATCAGTCAAGCTCGTGTACATGACTATATTTTAAATTTGTTTTAAATCTAATGGAATTCTATACCGATAAAATATATTTTTGGAAAGGAACAATATTGTTTTTATGAATCAAATTCTGTAAATCTATTCCACTCTTAATGCATAAACTGTTAATGTTGTAATCATATATTGCATGCATTTACTTTTACAACATTCAATTAATGATAATTAATGTAATTAATGATGAATCTGGATATAAAATTGATACATTTGTATTAAAATAAGTACATTTGTATCTTTGTATCTTGTGAATATCCGCTAATTATTTTTTCTTACTTGTTCCATTATCCTTCTCTATTGAACAAAGGAAATAAAAAGTGAATTTTCAATTGTGACAAATTCTACTTTGCCAATATGACATAATTTTTAGCTGATGATTCAACCATTTAGCTCAAATAATTAAAGCACTAAATGATATATTGGAATTATTTCATATGAAGACACTAATGTCAACTAACCATTTTTAATCCTTTTTGATATTATATATATTAGCAGTATATTAGCAGTATATACAGCATAGATTTTAGTTGCTATTACACTTACTGTAACGCTTAAATCACAAGATTTCCAATTCAGAACTATGATTTAATCAAACTTCCATTAAGGCAAATGCATTCTTTATCATTTAAATAAAAGATTCATATCAACAAGAGGGCCATGATGGCCCTGAGGTCGCTCACCTGTATAAAGGCACCCGGAGCAGGGCCAGTTTAAGCCCCAAGGCTTTTATTTGAACAAACTTGGAAGACACCCATTAGAAGTGTTTCACGATGTTAAGTTTTTTACTACACACATATAATGAAAAACAACGATCTACCCCCCTCCTTCCACCCCCCCCCCCCAGCAGGGCCAATTTTAACCCAAGGGCTTTTATTTGAACAAACTTGGTAGACACCCATAAGAAGATGTTGCATGCTATACATCTAAGCTCTAGCTCATTCAGGGTTTTTTTAAAAAAAGATTTTTTAAGTTTTTACTATACACATATAGTTAAAACCAATGACACCCTGGGGCAGGGCCAATTTTAACCCCAGGGCTTTTATTTGAACAAACTTTGTAGACAATTACCAGAAGATGTTTCATGCTTAATATCTAAACTCCAGCTATTTCAGCTATTTGGGTTTTTTCAAAGAAGATTTTTAAGTTTTTGCGATACAAATATAAGGAAAATCAATAACACCCGGGGCGGGGCCAATTTTGACCCCAGGTCTTTTATTTGAACAAACTTGGTAGACACTCATTAGAAAATGTTTCATGCTAAATATCTAAGCTCTAGCTATTTGGGTTCTTTAAAAGAAGATTTTTTAAGTTTTTACTATATGCATATATGGAAAATCAAAGACCCCCTGGAGCGGGGCCAATTTTAAACCCAGGGCTTTTATTTGAACAAACTTTGTAGACACTCACTAGAAGATGTTTCATGCTCAATATCTTAACTCTAGCTATTTGGGTTTTTTCAAAGAAGATTTTTTAAGATTTTGCTATACACATATAAGGAAAATCAATGACCCCCGGGGCGGGGCCAATTTTGACCCCAGGGCTTTTATTTGAACAAACTTGGAAGACACCCATTAGAACATGTTTCATGCTAAAGATCTTAGTTCAAGCTCCTTGAGTTCTTTAAAAGAAGATTTTTTAAGTTTATGCTATATGCATATAGGGAAAATCAATGACCCCCTGGGGCGGGGCCAATTTTGACCCCAGGGCTTTTATTTGAACAAACTTGGTAGACACTCATTAGAAGATGTTCCATGCTAAATATCTTAGCTCTAGCTCTTTGGGTTCTTTAAAAGAAGATATTTCAAGTTTTTACTATATGCATATAGGGAAAATCAAAGACCCCCTGGGGCGGGGACAATTATGACCGCAGGGCTTTTATTTGAACAAACTTGGTAGACACTCATTAGAAGATGGTTCATGCCAAATATCTAAGCTCTAGCTCTTAGGGTTTTTAAAAGAAGATATTTTAAGTATTTTTTTTCGGTTGCCATGGCTGCACGGAATTAAATTCTTTGAACAATTTTTAAAGGTGACCACCACAGGAACATTCCTGTGAAGTTTGGATGAAATTGGCTTAGTGGTTAATGAGGAGATGTCATTTAAAGTAAAAGTTTACGGACGGACGCCGGACGAAAAGAGATCACAAAACCTCACCCTGTCACTTTGTGACAGGTGAGCTAAAAATGATACCAAAATGGGTAAAAAATGAAAATGAAGAAACGATCTACATACATGACATACCCCTCAAAGCCCGTCTTATCTTTCAATTTGTCCTGAAGTTGCTCGTAATGGGTTTTGAGAGACTCAAATGTATTTACATAATCAACATGTTCCAGATCTTTTATATGGCTTTCCACAATATGGGTACACAAGTTTTTAATGTCCTCCTGAAATACAACAACAGTAAACCATACACTTTTGACCAAAGATAATGATATGATCATAAAGTATAATATACATTTTAAGTGACATTATGTCCATCCTAGTGTAAATGGTCAGTGAAAAGGTAAAAATAAAAGTACTTTGATACTACATCCTTTACTGTTTTCTAACTTTTAGTTTAATGAACACGCATGTCAGTTTTGTTTTTCAATGTTGTATACAATATGCTTGGTTCTGATACTTGAGTCTTGCCAAACATTCAACTCAGAGTAGGACACTTTTCATAAGGTAGTTGGATCATAGTCACTATTGAAATTAGAACTCATAGTAACATCAGGTAAATAACTCGTCATTTTGTCTTTTAGTAAGATTATATGAATTAATGACTACTTACTAATCTAATGAACTCAAACAGTTCTATCATGGCAGAGTTGAGGAGATTATATTTATTGCCATTACATTTAAATGCTTCCACAACAGGTTTGAACAAGTTGCCTTTGATGATATAGCGATTATAAAAGTCTTCTTTCATACCAATTATCTTTCTCATGAACCTTAAGGCACCTGAAAGTATAAACATAAACAATATTTCTCCTATTCTAGAAAAGTTTCAAAGTGCTTTTCTGTGACTTTTGACTGCTGACTGGACCTGGAGTAAAGACCTTTTCCTGAAGTATAGAACCAGTATAGAACCAGGCCAGCCTTAACATCTGTGCAGTCTGACCAGACTCTAAACTTTGGCTGATCATCTCAATATCCCAAACATTAAAAATTTGATAGTTCTAAAAATGGATACTGCACAAGTCAATTTGAGAAATTAAGCAGAATTAAGAAATTCACATGACTTTGAATGATCTCTTTTTCTATGAAGTGCCATGCATTTTACTAACTATTAACACTATTTTGGAATATTTTTGATACTAGTTAAATCAATATTGTGGGAAAACAGTTTATACTGCATGCTAACAATGAAAGATTAAAATATACATTCAATGTGAATTTCTGCTTATGGTAATACAGAAACTGACAAATGTGGATACAAGATTTACAGAAAAGATAAATATCTTAACAGTATTTAGTGCAACCTATTTACTTCCAATATCATATTTCTAATATAACTAAATCTTCTCTTACAATTCAACCTGGAGATTTGTCAATAACATTGTTCAAGCTATAAATAACCATTAAAGTACACTTACAAAGCAGGAGAAATGCATGACGTGACCTGAGAAGGACAAGAACTCTGCGTAGAAGATCTTTACTGATGATGTAATTTTTTATATGATATGTGTGATGTTCAACACAGAATGACAACAACTCGAGAATCAAACTTAACAACTGCGCTGTCTGAAAATCATCTGAAAAGACATAATGTACACACAATAGTTTTGTAAGTAATCATTGTAATTAGTCTTATAATACTCTTATAAATAATCATAGCAGTTTTATTAGTCATATATTTAACTTTATTCTGTCTGGCATCAATAGTGCTATCAGCACCATTACACATCATAGAAAATTACTCTGTGGTTTAAATATTAAGTAGTTACAAAATCTAATACTTATTATTAACTTCTATACATAAATGATAATTTTATTATCAACAGAAAATATGAAAGAATACTCTGCTTGAAAACTTGCATGTACTGACCAATTCGGAACTGGTTCAGTTTGTATGGTTTAAGAATTAAAAGTAGTGTAGTCTAATGTAATATCATCATAGCTCATTTAGTATATCTCACAGATAATTAATTTTTTATGATTTAGGTTGTTTAGAGAAATTTTTTTCTACGTAATTAAAATAGATAGCAACACAATTAAATCTTTATCCAACCAATCAAATTATACATACCTTTGCTAGGTTTCTCCTCTGCAGTTACTGCAAACAGTGGAGCCGTCAAAACATGCATACTATGCTTGTAGAAAAAACTTAAAAATTCTGTCTTCTCTGTTTTCTATAATAACAAAACAGTAACAACTTTACAATATTATTATACAACATAATAACATTTTGATAAAACCACCTGACTTAATGTATGTTAAGCTCAAAAATCAGCTTTCCAAAAAATGCAGCTCTCCACTGTAGATCAGTCAGAATAAAAACTAGTATATATTTTAAACATTTTACTCATCTTATTAAAAGCACTTAAACAATACTACATGTTAAGTAATTTAATACATATTTAGCATAACGCACAATGAGATGATTTTATTTGGTGTGAATTCAACACTTTATATATCATCAGTGATTTTTTTCTCTTAACTGGGAAGAGGCCTGAGCCACTTGATTTGGGAAAAATTATCACTAAAATTGCTAATTTGGAAAGTAAAAAAGCAGGTTTAAGTTATGATTTTTGGGAAAACTGCATGACTTTAAAGAAAATTTCAATTGGGCAGAGGCCTTTTATCGGAGTTCTTTTATATAAGCAGGAAAATCACTGATCATATCCATAACAATGACTCACTCACCATAGTGGTTGCCAGCATATTTTCTGGATCAATTAACAACCTGATTATTCCCATCAATTGTACAGCACCTCCCAACTCTAAAATCACACATTCATTAAGTTTTTTATTAAAAAAAAACAAAAAAACAACAACAACAACTCTCAACTACAAACATAAATGTTAAAATTTCACCTCATTATTTGAACAACAGAATTAATCAAAATGTTACCCTGACAATCAGGCACAATATGCTTCAGAATTCAATAATTTTTTCATTCTTTACAAAAGTCATACGCATGTTTAATAATGTTTTAATGATGGATTTATAGTATGAGAAATAACAAGTGCTGTTGGTGGGACAGCATGCTTGACTTTACTCAGTGCTTGATAGTAAAACAAGAGCCTTGATAATGAAGAATTTTCTAAGTTAAATAAAATGCCATAATTCTGTCAAAATTCACGTAAAAATTATGGGCCTTAGAGAGCGACCTCCTATCACACTCTCAAATGAATGTCTTAAGTTCAAACCAATGCCTTAAATTAGTTTAAGGGATACCAACTTGTACACACAAACCTAACCAAAATGCTAAAGTGTCTGGTCGAGTGCAATAGCTCACCCTAATTTTTCAAAAAGTCAAGCTAAAAATAATAGCACTTCAGGGAATTAATGGACCATTAAATCTCTGAACCGTAAAAAACCATTCATTCTCCCCAATTCCCTTCCCAAGACAGAAAATGATTCACTCATTATAAGATAGTCATTACCTGTATCTGGATCATTTATCATTTGTTCTATGACTAGGTTTATTAACAGGTCATCCTGAAAAACATAAAAGAAACCAATAATTTTTTAACAGCATTCTGATATGTGATTTGTATTCTGCTCCAGTAGGACTTGCTAGGACATGACTGTTTAAGACAAGGCAGCCTCAAATGTGTGCCAAAGATACCCAAGACAAACAAGAAGTGACTAGTATAACACAGTTTTCTTACAGGGACCCTTTTATACATTTAACTGAAAAGAAATACAGTGTAGTTCCAACATTGTCAATCAGACTACATTTGTATATGACGCAAACTATCAATCTTCAAGATTTACATAACTAAATTCATGTAATACTAGTCATTCTGGCTGAATAGATTTGAGAATATAAGCAAATGTTTTGCTTTTACTATAGATTGTTATGAACTGATAATGAAAATGATTAAGTAATCATAATACAATTCTATCCTGGTTTGCTATCTTCCTTAAACAAATAAGGGTCAATGACAATATGGTTCTTCAATGTTTGCCAATTTGATGCATTTAGTATTATGTATTAACACAAACTGACAACATCTGACATGACATATGACATAAACAACATATGCATTAAACTACACAAGTTTGAGAACTTATTCTATATTTTAATGCATTTTAGGTATAAACATTACTAAAGCTTATTTTGTCTTTTATATATTTTGTTTTAGATTGCATAAAACTCGACCTCTGTCATTATGTTAGAGCAATTTTAAACTTGTAACCAAATGATATAAACTTGCATCATACCAAAACCCAATATGACTGTCAAATGTACATTACCTTTTTCCAACAATGTGTATATGAGGATTTCAACGACAACACAGGTTTAACCATCAGATACAGTTTTCGACTATTATTTGTTCGCTTCATTGGCTATAGAGAAGTAATCATAAGAAGAACCTTTGTAATTATCATTTTCATATTTTTCATTTCAATGTATAAATTAAAATGTTCAATCAAATAAAGATATAAACTTCCTTACATCTTCCTGATTTTGACCCTCTTTGAGGATGAACTCTCTGACCATGGACGGACTAAACTCTACAATGTATGAGAAAATGTCAATAGCGGCCGACTTCATCTTAATGTCGTCTAAACCTAGTATGAATTCTATTGCTGGCAAAACGCCTAACCCTGATAGTGTCTGAAACAGAGAATAATAAATTATGAATCTGAGTCTTGATATTATCAAAGGAAGAGAGAGGAAAAGCGATCACAGCAAAATTAATTTTAACACTTATGTTTGCTTAAAAGTAAAACTAATGAGAGTAAAAATTGGACAGGTATTTAATGGAACTAGAGCATCAATCAAACAAAGGACCATGATGGTCCTGAAGTAGCTAACCCAAGATCAATTACTGGAAAATGAAATAATGCGCACAAGTACTCTTGATGGTACACGCCAAACACCTAAGCTCTCACCATTGTTAGTTACTGAGAAATTATTTTCATTATAATTTTATGCAAACTAAATATATGTAAACTAAGGGGACACCCAGGACAGGAGCACTTTGATGACCCCAAGTGGCATGATTTATCTTTATGTCACTATTGTACCTAGGTATGTAGACAATGCTATATGCTCTGGGCATTGAAGACTAAAATGTGTTTTACAAAAAAAATCAATGTAAACTAAGTAATCCCTGGGATGAAACAAATTTTGATCCAAGGGGCATGATTTATGAAACCTTTTTTTAAAAGGACCTCAGTCTCATTCCTGGGAAGTTTGGTAAAAAAATCCACATTGTGGTTAAAGAGATAGTGATTTATGACAGGGTTGCCAGCACTTTGGTGAAATAAAATTCTTTGACTTTTCCCTGACTTTTCCCTGACCAATTCATGTTTTTCACTGACCAAAATCGTCAAACACATAAATGGCCCCCTGACCTCCCCTATAGCCGTCCAATCCTCCCATTATATTTTTGCATGTAAACTTGTATTTATTTTCCAAAATATAAAACATTTACATCAAAGTAATGATTCAAACATTGTGTTCTACTATTCTTAACTATTTCTATTCAAACGCAGTGTGACTTTTGGTCAGTGAAACATATGACATGAAAATCAGAAGAATCATAATGTAAGCATCTGTATTAGAAATCACATAAGTCACTCTTTCCTTCCTAGTAGTAACACATAAAACACCAAGACTATAAGAGTAATACTTGTATGACAAAACTTAAAATTCAAACATCTCTAAACTATAAGAACAATAAACATTTAACACAGTTACTTGTATAAGGCATCATGATAAACTCCACTGATTGTGAAAACAAGAACATAGGGCTGCTTTTGGCATATCATGAAATAATCACTATAAAATTAAAGACTTTGAATGAGTGAAGTAAGTTAGTGTGAAAAAAAGTTAGTGTGAAAAACATAGCATTGCATAATTTAACCAGTTTCCATCATGTTTGCAAGACAAATCCTCTTGTACAATTTCTTAGTGTCAAAGCAAAAAGCAAAGAAGGGCTTTTAATTACTAACAAAATCTAGTCAGTATACATGTATACCAAACTACCATATTGGCATATAACCTGCTTTGCTTTTTGCTTTGACACTAAGAAATTGTACAAGAGGATTTGTCTTGCAAACATGATGGAAACTGGTTAAATTATGCAACAGAAATTACATATTAGTCAGCTCTGGAGGCAAGGGCTGCAAAGCTTTTCAGTCTTTAGGCTGAATGATGTTCTAAGGTAAATAATGGGTATTATAATCACTAAGTTAACATATAATGCTTCTTAATATCACAGTTTACAGTTATTTGAATTTAATGCTTAACTGTGAGAGTGATAAAGTCAAATATTAAATGCTTAAAGACTGCCATAGCCAAGAAAGACCTTCAATGCGTAAATTTTTCGACATTTGAAATAATTTTTCCCTGACTTTTCACTGACTTTTCAGGATTTTCATTTTTCACTGACTAAATTTCAAAATTCCCTGACAATTCCCTGACCTTGAAAAAATACCCAATTTCCCTGACTTTTCAAGTCCGCTGGCAACCCTGTTATGAAATTGTTAATAAAGACAAACAAGAGACACATTGCCATCACGGAGAACTTTCTGGTGAGCTATAAAGTGTTATTATTGTAGTACACTAACTCACCTTGAAGAAATTATCCCTGTTTGGAGGTTGAAGATTCTGTGAGAATGTGCAGAATTCTTTAAGAAAGAAGACAAGATCTCTGCGGGACTCATCATCTTTTTTCTCACTAGTAATACTAGCAAACAACTGCAGTAAGAATTTTTCGTCCTCCTACAATGAACATTTACAAATTATACATTATAACTGGGGTATGCAAACATTTGTATAACTCTTCCTGCCATGCTTGCCATCTGGTATCAGTGATTTTTTTCTTATATTTTACAACAAACAATAAAGACTGTTTCCCCTAGCCCAAAATAAGTATATTTCCCATTAAACTGCTTTATTTTCCCCAACATATGTCACAAGATAAATGACTTGACAGCAGCTGACTTAGAATCAACTAGTTGATAAAAGCTGTCCCTATATATAGCCTCTGCTGTGTACCATGCACATTAAATTATTTTAAACTTGAAATTGTAAATTTTTATAAAATGTCAGGTTTAATTCCTTTCTCACTTGTTGGAATTTGATTTCAGGTTTTCCCCCTTTTCTGTTTTATCCACACAAAAAAATCACTGGATATACTATGAATCAGTTCATGCAAATTATTTGTTTTTGTATTTGTTGCTGTGGCAACTGTACAAGTTTGTTTACCAACAAATTAATTTTCAAATCTAGATTTAAGTACAACTTTGGGTGGCACAACTGAATTTCGCTGAAACTAAGCACATGTGTTCAAATTTTGAATTTTTTATGGTATGAATCAGCTGTATTTTCAATTATTAGTTAGCTTAACATAACAATATTATTAACGAGAAGTGTTTTCATCAACAATTCACAAAAATCATTCAGTGCATACACTAATTTAAAGGGTTTTTAATTCTTTTCTACTATTTTCTTCTTTCTTTCTTCCCCCTTTCCTTTTCTTTTTTCCCTTTACTTTTATTTTTGATATAATATAGAACACCTACACTTATATGACATACATTTAATTCCATATCATATAGAGCATGAAGTCTGTGTATATCTTATAACAAGTTAAAGCAAGTCAGTATGTGTGACTCATAATGCTATTATTAACCAATATGCAATTTTAGGCTTTCAGTACATTTAAATTTTAAGTAACATAGATTAGATATAATTATGTAGACTAAACATTTGTTCATAATGACAATTATTGAAGGGTCAATAAAACCCTTCTTCACCTTTTATAATAATTCCAAGACTATATGTGAAAGAAATAAACATTATCTCATCCCATATGTATATGGCAAGATGTTTTCATGTAAATTATTGTATGATACCAAATGAATTCCAATAATGCTCAAGAAAGTTTGATTATATCCATAACATGTTCAATTGAAATTTATCATAACTTGTCTGAATTAAATGTACATTAATCAGAACTTCAAATATCTTTGATCTAAATTAAGTAAAATTACAATATTTTATTTTTAACCACACCATTTTTATAACAAAGCTTTGTTTCTATGGAAACCATTAATGTTAAAACACAATGCAGTCCAAAATAAGGAAATTGTGAAAGGACAGTCACGTCTTTTGGCAGTGTTACCACTATCAGACCCATCGGTACTTTTTCCCAAAATGGCCAGGAAAAAGCATGACAGTTAAATGATGGTTATGCATATGTAAATTAGGAAACATTAACATATTTACATAATCATAATAAATTAAATTACACTTGAATTAGTGATTGAGGAAGACATAATGATATATATATATATACCTGATGACATATACCAACTTGGATCAATTTACTGCACGAGATCATTTACTTAATATCACACTTGCATACACTGTTTTACATGATTTTCAGTGGAAAACTTCCAAATGGTATAAATTACCTTAGCATTACAACCAATACTAGGTCTTTATGCAGATCAAGTCTGTCAAATAAATTTAACAGTGCACAAGGTTTAGGCTGCTATCATGATAATTTTTGTTCTGGATATTGCTGAATCATGAATAATATCACCTCAAACGTCTTAATGAAAATAACCATAGTTTTACTGATATTTTAGTTAACAGCTGACAAACCAAAACAGATAATAAAAGGTGCCACAATGACTATTAATAAATATCAGCAAAGCAGGCTATGTATTTATTTCATATATATTATATTGGATCAACACTATCTATTAGACTGTCCATTTCATTAAATAGAGGACAATTGTTTTGTCCTGTGTAAGATCATAATATATTTCACCCATTGAACACCAAAAAATATATTTCACAAGTGGCCAGCCACAAGTGAAATATGATTTTTAGGTGGTCACAAGGTAAAATATATGAGCCGCGTCACGACAAAACCAACATAATGGGTTTGCAACTAGCATGGATCCAGACCAGCCTGCGCATCCGCGCAGTCTGATCAGGATCCATGCTGTTCGCTTACAAACCCTATAACAAGTAGAGAAACTGATAGCGAACAGCATGGATCCTGATCAGACTGTGCGGATGTGCAGGCTGGTCTTGATCCATGCTGGTTGCAAACCAATTACGTTGGTTTTGTCATGACGCGGCTCATATACTGATCTTACACTAAACTAAACAAATTTTCTTTTCATTATATGCAAAGAAACATTTAAAAGACATTTTAACCTAATACTAAATGAAAAGCGCGCCAAATAATTATACGACATGACGGCATTTACGTCACATTATTCAGTTGGTTTCCGGTACTGTGAATGCTGGTATTTCACTGAAAGGGGCTTAAAATCAAAACAGTGAAATTATCAAATTGATAATTTCACTGCTTCAAACAGTGAAATTATCAGTTTTATATTTCATTGATATATTTCTATAAACCACGGAAAAGCATGTAATAAATAATTATAACAAAATTATGTTGGTCTGCAACAAATATCTTATATTATAAATCCACTTCTACCTTCAACCAAAAACTTTTGAAATTGTTGCATTATGGCGTAATTTTAAAGCAAATATATCAACACCATGAAAACCAAATAAGACACTACTGTAGCTCAATTTTTAAGTAAGCAAAATTGTCCAAATGAGTATGTAAATTCTGGCTATCAACAATACAATAAACTTGCACATTTAGCTTATACTTTAAATACTGAAGCTAACCATTGTAAAGAATACAGTGAGTGAACAGAGTATGAAAACTTAAAATTTGCGTACCTGCACCATGCTCACTATTTCCACCTTGTTGAAAAAAATGAATGAAGTCAAGGTTGACAACATGTTTTCCTCAAACACTGATGGAGTGGGAAGTATCACATCTTGAATATATTGAACTCTATAAGTTTGGTGTATCTTAGATACAAGTTCTTTGTTTGTAAATGGAATTACTTCCTTGAATTTGGCAGTTTTTTGTAGATATTCTCTATGTTTAGCTGGCAGAGGGTGTGAAGGGTCATACTCAAGTACACCTACAACATCAAATATGGTGTCCTCTTGAAACAGAATTTCAAATAGAGCATTTTTGTTTAACAAGAACACACTTTTGAAGATGTCATACAAATGATGAAGGCCTTCTATATTTTCCAAATCCTCACACATATGAAACAAGTCTAGTAACTTTTTAATATAGCCGTCCTGTTCAATTACTAGTGCTAGTTTTTCCCTACGGATGGGTGATGTAAGAACACTACCAAACAGCTCCGAGATCTCTACAAGTTTACTTAGTTCACAGACAGGTAAATCTATAGGGTGGGCTACTTCAGGCATCTCTTCAAACCTTTCGTCTTCAGATTCTTCTATAATATCTTGTGTTATATCAACAGAGGGATCCTTTCCTTGAACCTGAAATATCAATGATACAACAACCTTCATTTACAAACTTTATTTTTTGACAAGATGGTCAGTAGAATATGAAACTTAAGGTCATTGACCCATCCCACAAACTGGATATTTTCAGGGCCACAGGGTAGATTTAGCACTGGCTAACAATTAGATCAATACATACAATCTTCTCATTCATAAATTATAATTCCATTCATAGGAACTTATTTATAGTTCTTAAGATCAAAGTCAAAAATAGGGATGTTCATGTGGTGCCTGTTCATGCCTGAAATAATGCTTGGAAGGGCACCACCAGTAATGCCAATAGTCTCCTTAAACCAATATTGTGTTGGTGCGACATAAAACTCAAATGTCATAAACATGTAATAATTATTAAGCAAAACGCAAGTGTTGAATAAATGAAGCTTTATTGAAAAATAAGAGGAGATGCATATCATAATGTAGCACTTACATTACATATCTTCTCCCAGATTTCATCACATCCTGCTTTCTCCTGGAAGCTAAGGGCAAGATCATAATTCTCTCCTTCAGACCACACTATCAGAGTTTCCTGTTGGAGGGAGTGAAAGATTATACAGACATCTTCTAATCATAAGTTCCATATTACTAAAGGATGAAACCAATGAAGAATGTATGAACCTATTGTTTAGTATGATGATGTAAACACCTTTACTTCTGAGTCATTGAATGTTTTACAATAGCATATCTTTATAGAGAATTGCAGGTTGTATGTATTTTGACAATATCTTTATTGATTTTACAAATTATTACATAGATGAAGTAAAAAAAAAGTATTAAGGTTATTGTGAAAACATGCACATAAAAAACAATTAACACTCAATTTAAGCATGTCATCAAAATAGAGGATACCTGCTGTTTTTGATAGGCTGTGTCAGGTTGAATTTTAGACTCAAGGAGTATTGACCCTGAAAGAACAATAATTCATCATAAGTATAACAAAGGTCAATGATGATAAACCATGAAAACATATTCAAACCTAATGTTTTAATTGTGCAGCTAGGCACACAGACATGCAGTTTCTGCTATAATTTGATGGAAATAAGTTATTACACTTTACAACCTGACTTTTTTAAACAATGCTAGATCATGGTATGCCAAATGAAACTAATTATGGGATACACAGTTGTGAAAATGTCTGAGGTGATGACAAAATGTTTAATTGCAATTAAAGTATTTGTATATATATGTTAAAATAATTCTTATTTTAAAGGGATACACAGGCAAATTAATGAAAAAAATATTAAAATGATCTTATGTACTCAAATCACGCTAAAATGACATTTTTTTAAAGTCCCAGCATGAATTTCTGTATAAATTCTATATATTTTGGGTTTTAAGTGTAAATATATCTATATATGTTGAACGAAATTTAGACGCCGACTGAATCACCGAGTAGTTTTAAAACAAGTCATGTGACTTGAACAAACCCTGGAAGTTACAATAACAGATATTTTGGATATTGTATGATTGAAACAAGTCTAAGTCGTTCATTTGACATGTTCTTTAACGTTTCCAGAGTTCACTTTGACAACTATTGTGAAATCTTAACGCTCTAACCTGACCCACGTGGGTCAGGTTAGGAAACCAACATTTAATTCTTTATAAGGAGAAAATTTTGTTCCTATAACTGCCAAGTGTACTTGTTTTGAGGACATTTACAGAATAATGAATGAAAAACTTAAAACAAAGAAATGAAAATTTTGCCTGTGGGTCCCTTTAAAACCACAGAAAATAAAAATGGGTAAATAATTATCCCTTGGTGACTGTTTAAAACAAGGGCTATCTGGACACCAACCATGCTTGACTATTCTCAGCGCTAGACAGTAAGAAAAGGGGCATAATTCTATACAAAAAAGAATCTCAGAGTTAACCAAAGTGTGGCAGTGACACAGAGTTGAATACAACATGAATACTCAAACTTAAAATGTTACTATTATATCAATGGAAATGTTGATGTGTCTGACAAAATTTTAAGAATTATTTTTGTAATGTTTTTCCTGTCATTTTGACCATTTTTTTATATGGACTTGGAATAAAGTCTGCTGTCAGAGTAATTCCTGTTTCAAGCCAACTGCCCATTACAAATTAGTGTTGATGAAATGGGAGAGTCATTACAAGCATCATTTCTGATACATGTCCATTACTTCCAAACAATTGTCAATAAGTTATTAAGATTTATAACATATGTCAGGTCCAGGAAAATTATATTTCTTACAGGCTATCTATACAAATATACAAAACCCTACAAAATTTCAAATGATATTTTATTGTTAATATCATAAAGTTGCTATTGTAAGACTTGTGGTAAAACAATCAAACTGCAGACATCATTTCAATCAGAATACCTGTCAAATGAAAAACGGATATTGATCTCGTGGCTAAGTATAAAACTATACTAAACGGATATGATGAATCGAATAACCTCCCAGTTTCGTAAAAACAGCAACCTCAACTATGTTTTAAACATATGATGCAATGCATTCTAAAAAATGTTTTATTCTTAGTCTTGAGGCCGATTTCCATAGCACTACTAGCAGAATGCATTAGAATTTCAATGAAATAAGTATACAGGCTATGTCTCTGATTATAAAGTATGAAAAGTATTATAAACAATACGAGGGGTGTCCCAGAATTACGTGAACTTTTGCTGTAACTCAAAAACTACTGAAATTAAAAACAAACAAAATTAACATGAACAAAATGCAACTTTATTGCATTAGTACAAAAAATTTCAAAGTTTTCCGGCAACTGGATCAGTGTCTGTGGGCAGGGTAATGAGACAAGGGGTAGCGGGTGCGGGGCAGTCCATTCCGACGTTACGACGTCATTCCGGTGGCGTCGCTAGTTGTTAATAAATGCGTGGCGTCGAATGTCAGTTTTTCTCAACATAGTCGCCGCCTAACTCAATACACCTATGGTGTCGATATATCCACTGGTCGTACACCGCCCTGTATAATAATAAAAAAGCATACTATTAACTTTTGTTACGAAAATAGTGTTAAAGACGACGGTGATAATGCTGACGCGGTATTATTATTATTATTATTATTTATCATTATTATTTTTATTATTATTATTATTATTATTGTTATTATTTTTATTATTATATTATTATTATTATTATTATTGTGGAGTTTATTTTGTACGCAAAGACAATGTGCGTTAACAAGGGAAATAACCTGCGCACTGCTTACTATAGCAGTTTGAGTTCACTTTCTTAAAAGCTGAAGCGGATAAATTGCGTTTAAAATAATAAATTGTGATTAGCTTAATTTTTAAAAATCATTTTTTTAAACGCAAAATAATGGCTTACCCTTGAATAGTACTCAGCATTGACCTTGGTGTAACGCCTGTCCCGATCTATGACGTCCTTGACTTCCTTAATTGACGCCGCAGTCAACGTTGACTTTCTCCCACGACCCTTGTCGTCTTCAATGTCCTCTCGGCCGTCTCGAAAACGCTTATGCCACTTGAAAACGAGTGATCGACAAACAGGAGGTCTCACTTTTGCAGTCTCCAACATTTCCTGCGTCTGTGTTGGCGTCTTCCCAAGATTAACACAAAACTTGATGATAGTCCGATGTTCCGCGTAATCCGTGGACGTCATTTTTTGTTAAATATCCAAGAGCAACGGTTGTCAGTTGTCCGCTGGTAAACAATAACGGAAACAGCTATGACGTCAAAATTTCAAACGAACGTTCATATGACGTCACTGCATATGCTTACGACGTCGCGCCATTTTTTACGTATAAATACGCAAGATATACGAAAGTAAAGACAACTTATTAATACAAAATATTGGACTGCCCCGCCCTGCGCATACTGCGTTACTATAGCGACGTAAAATATAGAGAAGCAATGTTAGAAATTTAAAAATAATGGACATATTCATTAAGGATATGTTAAAGGTATTGTGTACAAATTTGCTAAAAAATGCATTAAAAAATAAAAAAGTTATAGCGAAAGTCCACGTAATTCTGGGACACCCCTCGTATGTAACTGAATAAAGCTGGTTATACCGATATAGACCGGTACATAGTATATTTGAGTCATGTGTTTTTGATTCTATTTTTGTCAGTCAAAATGCAGGGTGAGTTACCCTAGAAAGATTCTTTGAGACCTGCTATGACCTGTTTTCATTATTGCCAATATGATTACTTAGAATTTATTTTTAAATACAAATTAAAAACACTGTACGAGGCTCGTCACAAGTGAGTCTGTACAAATTTTCTGCTTTGTATCCCAGTTTCATAGAAATATCAAATAAAAGTCAACTTCGCAAAAAAAGGTATTGAGTTCCAAGCGTATATTGCATGGTGATCTTAAAGAGTTTTATCTGCCTATATGCGGGTCTACAGACTATCATCAGATAATCAGAACTATGATTATGTAGAAGCGTGGATCGATTAACAACATATTTCATTGGTAAGAGACATGCTTAATTTTGTGGGTTTGGCTCCTTGCAATTGGTAGTGCGTTGCTGGTTTTTGTTAGGGGATGCGTTCATTTAATGTTGCCCTTCCTTGTTGATCTTTGTTTTCACATTTTATGCATTGTAAGTGTGGATATAAAAGTAAATAACTGTGATATTCTCGAATTAACTAAGCACTGCACTGTTGGTGTTTAATCCAAGTAAAGGCAGTGATTGCTATCACAAACCAGTATTATTACAACAAAACTTATACATGTATATTTATTATATAACTTAGCAGTGTCACCTTAAAATATTTTAAGTTGAAATTGGAGATAATTAAATATTTTCTGTGATATCAAATTAGAAATTGGATTGTGAATAGACAAACAAATTGTGTCAAGTATCACCATTCTTTTTCCACAGTTTTATGGAAACTGGTCAAGTTAGGTTAAAATTTAAACAAATCTATTATTATTGACCAAAAGTTGACAAAATTGTCAATAAAGTGTTGTTTTTTCTTCGCTTAATCTAATGCAGAAATTGCACAGCAACTGGTATAAATAGGAAAGATTATTCAAAATGGTAATGAATCACAACAGTGGTTGGGAAAAATTCGAGATATGGTATGCCTAGTCCTAGGTTTATATTATATGTAGGCTGGTATAAATGTATCATATTTTAAGCTAAATATTAACTCAATATACTGGTCATTATATCTATGATGTAATAAATGTTAACTCTTAGTGCCACAATTACAACATGTAACCAAGTATTTAGTAATATTTTTAAGGTTTATTGTTATAATATCAAACCAAAGAATTTAATTCGTTTTTCCCCCTATGTTAAATACTTTTCCAGATCCTGGTCATCCTGGTTCTTGGATCCAGATATTGTCTTCTACAAATGCATGGTACTAGAAATACCCTGGATGGCCTAAAAGCTGATTGCAGGGTTCCCACTATTATTTAGGAGTGAAATTCCAGGTTTTTTCCAGGTTTTTTCAAGGATTTTTTTTTAAATTCCAGGTTTTTCAATTTGAGAATTCCAGGTATTTTCCAGACTTCCTACGAGCCCGTAAAGGGTGAAAACATAATATGTCTCGTTTTTCAAACGGGCATATAAAAATATTGTTCATTTTACTTGCACGAATGACAAATCTTAATTGGCCTGTAAGAGTTTTGTCATTTTAATGAAAACAGTATATATTTACAATATTGGCATAAAACTATTAAACATGGGTCAGTCATAACAAAACTTTAATAGTGAATGAGAAACGAAGCAATTATATTAAATTTTCAGCAAAGTAATTACATATGTTTTAGCAGCACCACAAGAAAACAAACAAAGTGCTTGTGTGACTAGCATGGATCCAGACAAGTGTGGCTATCCATGCAGTCACATCAGGCAGGCTTCGTGAAAGTTGCCGGACCGTCGGACATGTCCGGCAATAATCAGGCCGGTCCGATTTTTTTCCCGAGTTCCAGACCTTATGTCCGGTACGAATACCGGGATATATGATATCCAAGGCCGATCAAGATCGAGTTTTCTCCCTTGAATAAAATAATGTAAAACGAGTTTTGATTCGCCGTTTCATTAAAAGTGTCCAATCAAATTCTAGATACATAGGACTTTCAATGACCTTGAACTCGGAAGAAAATGTCAGTGTAACTGCATTATTACGATGGCGCTACACCAGGCTATCTAATGAAGAAAAAAAAAAGCGAAACATAATCTTTAAAAGTTGCTATGTCTTTAAAACAAGAGCGATCAGTAATCACATGTGTCGCCTCATGATGGCCAATTTCATGTTGGGACAAAGTTTGTGACAGACGGACAGACAGACGGACAGTGCACAACTAGACTTGGTACTGATCATTCCTGTAAAGTTTGGATAAAATTGCACCAGTAGTTTATGAGGAGTAGTCCGGACAAGCTTTTGCGTATCTGGCAACACACAGAAAAAACACCTTTTTATTAAAGGGCCATAAAAATGTTACACAAGCTTTAGGCAGACAGTATGGATCCTTACAAGACTGTACAGATGTGAAGGACTCACCTGGATCCATGCTTGTCACAAACACACTTGTTTTCTCATGGGGTGGCTTATATATATTACAAAAGATGTCATTTTTGATGCCAGTCATATCCAAATGTATAATAATAAGGTGTAATTTGTTTTGTTGATTTTTTTCCTATTCCTATTTCTCTGTCTCGCAACTGGCGCACTAGCGCAGACGACATATTTGCTGGACGACTGTGCAGTAAATAAACACAGACGTGCTTATTATTTTTTTGTTCGTTTTCATTGTTAATTTCTAGCGAGGTTTCAAAGCCATTACGGCATAAAAAGCTGAATTTGATTTGTAAAATGTTCAAAATACCAAGATAGCTTGTTAAAACCATCCCCGGTGGAAGAAAACATCAATAATCCAAACCAGGAAATGGACGTTGCTTCGGCGGCAGCCATATTGTTCAATATCGATTACTTCCCTTAGCAGTACGGACTAAATACCAGACTATTCCCGGACTGAGCAAATTCCCGGCGTTTTCACGACCGGGAGTTGCGATTTTGAAAATCACGGACTTTTCCCGTTTTTCCCGGTAGCGTGGGAACCCTGTGATTGTCTCATTTTCAAAGTAAAAATGTTAAAATATGAACGTTATGTAATGTAAAAGCAGTATTTTATGTATTTGAAGAGTAGTTCTAGCTTTCAACACTTTATAAGCCGCTTTTTGCTTTTTTAACATTTTTTCTTTATTCAAAGTTTTGGATCAGACCCGTTATGAAACCTAACCAGAATAAAACACATTGGTGAAACCTTATTTAAATTTGCAAATATCCTTTAGCTTTTTCACTATAAGTTCTATATTTCTTAAGGTATTCACTTCAAACTTAAAATATAAGTTTCTGGTCATCAACCACATCATATGTGACAAGGTTTACAACTCTAGCACAAAAATTATCAGAATGACCTCCCTTGAACTTAGAATTTTTATGAAAACATGTTTATAAATCTAGAATCCATATTTCCAGAATTATCTCCTTAAACTTTGCATTTTTCTTATTCATTCTTTAACTTTCTTATTTCGTCATGGACTTACGTAATTTATTCTTGCCCATTGTCCGATGAATATATCATTTCAACATCTTTCTAGACTGTTTAAATTATAAAATGTTAATACTGTCAATTAAATTGCATATCATACGGTGAAACATCAATTAAACTTGCTGATGTCGACCATGTCACTTCGGAAGTATGCGAGACCTCATATGATGTAATTCGTGGGAACCACTTTGAGTACTGGCATGTACTATATAAAAATATCTTTCTTGACAAGACATGATTTCAATACTCGAGATTTTGTTTTAATTTACTATTTTTTATTTTACAGTACTTAAATAAAATAGTAGAATATAACTCAGCAAATCACCTTTAATAATTATGTAAAAAAAAGTATTTTGTAAAATAAAATGAATAAAAGGACATCAGGGCTACAGATAACATTTTGTGTATATTGGGTAATTACCCCTTGTTTTGTGATCTATTGGGTTTTTTCTATTTTCTTTGAGTTATTTCTGTATTTTTTACCCTACCCCCTCTAACCAATTTGGGTTATAAAGCACAAGCTCATGTATTTTACCTTCATTGTAGACTGTTGTAGGTTTTGTATGGTTATAAAAAAGCTACTTACTACTTTGCTTTATGGTTAATTGGCCTAGGAGATTTCCAAGCTGCCTGATATAATTAAAAGGTTAAAACAGTCTGAAACAGTTTGATCTGCCTGATGTACGCGTTAAGTAATAATTTACGTCATTAAGCACCAGTTCAAATGTAGTTTGCATAAATAAGAATTCATTTACTTTTTTTACCCTTAGTTATTATTTCTATTGGGTTTTTAGACATTTTAATTGGGTAATAACGCAAATACGCATGTTATCTGCAGCCCTGGGACATGACATTGTTTTCCTAACCTTCCACGCAGGTCAATCTTGTACTCATGTGATCAAACATTTTGGCAAGATGGTGAAAAAACAGTAAATATTTTCACCTATCAGAAACCGATCAGAAATTTTTAGGTAGTTAAAATTGTTGTGTGGCTGATTTGCCTAATTTTGAGGCTTATTTGACTAATTTTGGGGCCGATTTGACTTGGGGCTGATCTGACTAGTTTGCTAAAATTTCTTTTGGATAATTGTTATATTTATCAAAAAATGGTAGCTTCTATAGTAAATAACTATTTCATTTTAGATTTTTTCTGTATAATATGATGGTGGGCCTAATAAGGCTTCCATTCCCGGTAGATAGTACAACCAGGATATATAATTTAATTATCATTTGCTTCTCTTTACTTCATGGCGTGCTCAATGAATACTATTGGTTGAACCAAGTTAAAAAATAAGATTTTCTGTTACCTTGTGGTTTTAACATCATAGATTATTTTATATAGATAGACTGTAAAAAGTGGGGTATGGTTAATTGGTTTAACCATAAATCCAGAAATTTCCTGGATCTGATTCTTTAACTTTGGAATTGTAATTTCCTCTTTGATATGATCACCATCGAATTTTCATTTACTATTCAATGACTATTCCTTACCATCTGTTTCTGATCGCACAAGAAGAGACATTCCTTTCAACCTCTCTACGTAAGCTGATGATACATGACCAGTGCCTCTGTCATCCCATTGCCTTTCCTCATTCAGCATGTACAGCTTCACTCTACGTCTAGTGCTCGTGTCTGCCATTATTTTACTTGGTAATTACTTTGTCGAGTTTAATAAAATATCGTTTTCATTAAACTACCGTCTCGATCGCAACATTGGAGCGTCTCTACAAACAAACGGACAGATAAAGCCGCGATCACTGAAAAAGACAAAAATTAATTTTGGTATAAAAGAAAATCAAAAGAAATCAATTGAACTATTGACAGCAGAAATAATCGACAGAGCCAAATGGATAAGAAGTCATATGAATTACCTACTGCAGGATTTAATGGGACCTTTAAATTGTGAAAATGAGCCAAATCCAGGTCGGATTCAATTTAGTGTATTTGTCGCCATCTTGAATGTGATTAAACTTGATTTGGGGTTTTCATTTGAAACTCCACGGTGATACGGTGTCATTTTACTAACTGTGTTCGTTTCAAAAGTCCTACGTGAATATCATATCAAAGGACTGACGTTTCGTTTTTCAGGATGGCACTTTGTGTTAATGGACTTGAAGATGTAGGGCCATGAGATATGTTTTCTCTCATTGATACACAAAATAAAATCTACGGATGATGATATAATAAATACATTGACCAAGATGGAGTTTAATTATTAGAACATGTATCTAAGTCAACGACCTCAAATTTCTCTTTCAACTTTTGTTGAACAAAGTAGAACAACACCGGCCATTTAAAGCTAAACTAGATACAAAGAGTAGATCTAATTAATATATAATTGATACTGTATATTTATTATGTCAGTATTTTTAGAAAGATTGAGTGAATTTCTTAAAAATGACGAAAAAAAATGGCCATGTATTCAGCCGATTAAAATTTAGCTTTAATCTAAACAAATAATTCTTTGACAGTACATTACATGCAATGTTTCTATTACCGACAGAATTGCTTACACCGACCCTTTCATGAACTTTTTTTCCAAATAGAAACATTTCAGAATTCAAAGCATTATCATGACGGTAGCAAATGTGTGTGTGTTTTTATTTATCTCGTGCGCACGAGATAATATGTCGTGGCCACGAATTACTATGTCGTGAACACGAATTACTAAGTCGTGGCCACGAGATGCTATGTCGTGGCCACGAGATTATTAAGTCGTGGGAACGAGATTATTAAGTCGTGGGCACGAGATAAGTATGTCGTGGGCACGAGATAGTTCGTGGGGACAAGATACTCTGTGGTGGCCATATCTCATGATATATTCATATGTGAAATTTGGGTTGAATATGTGCAACCGTTACTAAGATAATGAACGGAAACTGATGATGACGGAAGGACGGAATGACGGAACAGGGTAACACTACATATATAACAAGTAGGGACCTAATGGGTCGTCAATGTTACTCTCCCTTTTTGAAAATAATATCATAAAAAAGTAAAAATTTAATTTAGAATACATGTTTTATACATGAACGTCATATGTAATACGGTTCAAAGTGTCCCTTAGAACTGGTTACAAGCCAACTTTTACAGTTAATTCAACGCAGATTTTTTTTATTCATAACTTACTGGTACATAGTTAACACTGGTTGTCGGGTTACACGACTTACCGGAATCGGCCGAATTACCGGAATCGACCGGAATCGGCGGTGAATTACCGGAATCGACCTGTAACTTTGTAATAATTAAACTTTTTAAGTTTTTTCTTGCAATTTTATAAAATATAAACAATATCAATGATTTATGAAAAGATTTTTATAAATAAAATCGCTTTTAATTAATTTAACAAGAGATCTAATATCGGCGAGCTACTGCCAAACTGCCCGTGACCGGAATCGGCCTGTTATTTCGTTGTTTATGCAACTTTTAATGTTCCTTTTGCATGTTTTTATAAAACCTAAATATTAACATTAATCTTCCTAGAGATTGTGAAAAAAATCGCTTTTAAATAATAATAATAAACAAATATTTATGATCAGCGAAAACGGGCAAACTGCCGGAATCGGCAAAGGATTACCGAAATCGGCCTGTAATTTGCTTATCTTTATACTTTAAACAAAATATTTGCACCCTTGATATTAAATAAAATATAGCAATGATATGTAATCAGATTATTGTCAATAAAATCACTTTTTATTAATTAAACAAGATATTTAATATCGGCGAGTTACTGCCATACTGTCGGAATCGGCGAAGGATTACCGAAATCGACGTATAATTTAGTCTATTGTACATTTTTAACGTTTCTGTTGCATTGTTAATATTCGTCTTATAAAATATAAATATTATGAATGATATTTAAAAGTTTCTTTCATTCTTTTATTTTGTAAATTTCAATTCGCCTTTGGTGAATAAAGCAAGAGATCGAAGATCGGCGAGTTACATATACTGTCATACAGCCGAAATAGCCGAATGATTACCGGAATCGGCCTGTATTATTGTAATTTATGGACTTTGCAAGAAAAAAATGAAAACAATATCATTGATATCTAAAAAGATTTCTGAAAATGAAGAATCCTTATTAAATAATAAACTAGAGATCTAAGGTCGGCGAATTACTGCCATATCGCATATATGCAGTGTCAGGGCTATCGGACAATTACCGGAATCGGTCTGTTTTTTCCCCACCAATATTTCAACGTTTAAAAAATAACCTTGAATTATTTTATTAAATGCAAACACAATATAAACGATTTTTATAATGTTTATTGAAATCGGTATTAAATAAGAAGCAAAAGATTTATGAAAAATCGCTGTTATATAATAATAAAAAGATTAATATTGAAGATCGGCAAAAACGGGAAACCTGTCGGAATAGGCGATGGATTACCGGAATCGACCTGTAATTTGGTTATTTGTGAACTTTTTAAATATTTCTTTTGCATGTTTTTATAAGATATAAACATTTTCAACGATATTCATTTTTGTAAGTAAATTCGCTTTTAATTAATAAAACAAGAGACCTAAGATCGGCGAATTACTGTCATACTGCCGATATAGGGGAAGGATGGGCGGGATCAGCCTGTATACTATAGTTATTTTTATGTTATTTTATTAAATGCAAATAATATCATTGATATAAAAAGATTTTTTTATGAAATAAAGGTCACTTCTTATTATAAACTAGATGTCTAAGATAGACTAATTACTATCACAGTGCCTGAATTAACAGGTAAATACCGGAATTAGTCTGTTATTTTGTTATATTTCGGCGTTTTAAAAATATCTTTCCATATTTTATTAAATACAAACAATTCAAATGATATTTAATAATATTTATTGTAATCGCTATTACATAATAAACAAGGTGATCTATGATTTTTTCCATACTACCGAATCGACGAGCGATTACCGGAATCGGCTTCACTTCGTCTAGGATTACTGGAATCGATTCTAATTTTGTTATGAATGTGAACTCAATATTATTATTATCATTTATTTTTGCATGTATTTACAAACATTATCATTGATCTTTTATGGAATAATGCAATATCGTCTTTACATTATATTTTTCAGGACATTGCTAACAGAGGATTGTTTGAAATGACGGATAACAATGGGCCAGTTTAGTCTTTCTTTATGTTTGCAAAACTCAATTCTTGATTTCATAAAGTAGTCGATTTATAATTACATGCAATAATTTTTATTTGAATCTTTATTTAAACAATACAAACCTTATAAAATATTCACATGAAATCAATGTTTTACCAGGCAGTTACTTGACAGTTCATGGTCATTCTGGAGTATCAAATCAATTGTCGTCATTTGCGTTATTGGTGCACCATAACAATATTACAAAGATTGCGAATAAGTCAATCGTTGAAACATAGATTATTTAGTCTTAAAATAGTAAACAAATCATCTATACCCGTAAAGTATAAAACAGTGAGATATGGATGTTAACTATATACGCACAGATGATACTGTCACTTTATTGGAAGTAAACGAGCTGTATATTGGGAGCTGTGTATTGGGAAGTGTGATATATACTACAAAAAAAAACAGTGGGGTGCCAATATACGGTATGCTGATATATTTCATAGTGGGAGGGTCTGTCTGTTACAGAAAGCGTGTTGTTTCGGGGAATGATTACCGGAATCGGCCTGTAATTTTGTTATTTATGAACTTTTAAAAAAAAATCTTGCATCTTTTATAAAATATAAACAATGTTAATGACATGTAAAAATATTTTTATAAATAAAAATCGCTTACGATTAATTAAGCAACATACTTAAGATCAGCTAGTTACTGTCATACTGCCGGAATCGAGGAATGATTACCGGAATCGGCCTGTAATTTTGTTATTCATGAACTTTTATAAAATATAGACAATTAATGACATGTAATAAGATTTTTTATAAAAAAACACATTTGATTCATTAAAACAAGAGATTTAATTATGATCAGCAAGTTACTGTCATCTGGGACATACGATATATCGTATGTTCCAGCTGTCATACTGCTGGAATCGGGGAATTATTACCGGAATCGGCCAGTTATTTTATTTATGAACTTTTTAAGAATTATTAAATACAAACAATATGAATGACATGTACAAAGATTTTTATAAACAAAATCACGCTTTATTAATTAAACTAGATCAGCAAGTTACTGAACTTACTGTCATACTGTCGGAAGGATTGTTATTCGGGTAGTTTGGCAGTAGCTCGCCGATATTAGATCTCTTGTTAAATTAATCAAAAGCGATTTTTATTTACATTTTTTTACATTTCATTGATATTGTATAAAGATGCAAGAACCTTTTTTTTTTTAATCTTCATTAATAACCAAATTATACGCGGATTTCGGTAATCCTTCGCCGATTCCGACAGTATGGCAATAACTCGCCGATATTAAATATCTTGTTTAATTAATCATTTATCAATGAGATTTTATTTACAAAAATCTGATTACATATCATTGATATTGTTTATATTTAGTCAAAGATGAAAAAATATATATACATCACATTAAAAAGATATTGTGTGTTTATTTGGGATGTTCGCGGCAAATGTCATTATTAATTCAGTGTCATAAGCCAGAGACTTAGATGACTACATGTATATATCATAGTCCTTAACTTTAAAGGATGTTCTTCCATTTTTTATTAATAATTAAATGGGTCAAACGGTTTAGAAATTATGCTAAACTTTGAAAAGAATCTTTAGATCTATACAGGGTGTTTATATTGTTGTTTTTGTTTTACATTGACTAAATCTTAAGTCTTTAAAAATTACGAAGTTCAATAAAATCCTATGACTTAATTCATCTACAGCTTGCTGAACAACAGGCATTCTCTAACAGATAGTCTCTCCCACTATGAAATATATCAGCATACCGTATATTGGCACCCCACTGTTTTGTAGTATATCACACTTCCCAATACACAGCTCCCAATATACAGCTCGTTTACTTCCAATAAAGTGACAGTATCATCTGTGCCGTATATAGTTAAACATCCATATCTCACTG